GCTTTTGCAGTCCTTCACCCTCTGGTAAATTCCTTGTCACTGGAAACTCTCTGGCACAATAGACTAGGACATCCTGCAAATGCAATCCTTCATCATCTTTGCAGATTGGGTCTTCCCAAAATTACTACACAGGGGGAGACATCTTCCTGTAAAGGGTGCACTCAAGGAAAAATATCTTCCAAGGCATTTAAACCTTCATGGAAACATGCTACTAAACCTCTTGAATCAGTTCATGCTGACCTTATGGAATTACTGGTGGAATCTTACTTCTGCTCCAAATACATCCTTACTCTTTTGGATGACTATTCTTCCTTTGGCTCTTATCTCTACCTTTGCAATAAATCCAACACCTATACTGCTTTTGCCAATTGGATGGTCTCTGCCCAGAAACAGACTGGCTACCATCTTCTTGTGCTCCATTTGGATCAAGGGGGAGAGTTTATGGGTTCTACTTTTAAAACACTCCTTTCTACATGTGGTATCACCCATCAGTTGTCAATTGCCAATCAACCACAGCAAAATGGTCATGCCAAGCAATTTAATCACACCACTTCTGAGAAAGCTGGTGCTATTCATCATCATGCTTGCATTCCTAAACACTTTTGGAACTTCACACTTGACTGTGCACTTCATGTATACAATTGAACTCTGCTTAAATGGATTCTCTTCAAGACTCCCATGGAACTATTTTTAGGAAAAGTTCCTGATATTTCATATTTCCACACCTTTGGCTGTAAAGCCTTTGTTTTGGTTCCAAAGGAACAAAGAAAAGACAAATTGGAACCTCATGCAATCAAAGTGGTATTCTTAGGCTATGAACCTAATACCAAAGGATATCAGTTCCTTCATGGACAAAAAATTATCCTTTCTCATACTGCAAAATTTGTAGAAGACTCCTTTTCTTTCTGCTCAGATTCAAAGACCAAAACCTTTGACCCCAATTCCAAAGATGACCAATCATCATCATCTGACTCTGAAAGCCTACATTTACTTCTGGATCCTGATCAGATCCAACCAAGGCCTCATCAACCTCATCCACCTCATCCTATTACTCCACCACAACCAAACCCACAGCAGGAAAGAGCTTCAGACCAGCCTAGAGCTCAACCACCACAAAGAAGAGCACCTGCTGCTGTACCACCAGTCAACCCTTGATTACCTCAGCATCCTTATCAACCACAACCTATTCCTGGAGACTCCCAAAACCTTCAGAGAGCTCATCCTGAACAAGCTGAACATTGGGAACCTTGTCCTAAATGATGAATTATCCCTGTCTCTCATCCAGAGAATATTTATGGAGCTAGACCTCCAGTTGAAATCAAAAGGGATATTCATGATAATCACGATACTGCTCAGGAGTGGATTCACAATGCTGAAAGGCATGCTAGAGATACTCAAGAGGATTTGAGACACATTCAAGAGGAGAGAAGACCACCTTCACCAGTCTTACCACCTCAGTTACAACCTCCTCAGGTTCCTAGAGTGTGGTTCAAACATCCTCAAAGGACTACTCCTCCATCTCCTCTTACTCCTCTACCAGAATCTCCAATGCAAGAACAGGAATTCCAAATGCATCCTTTCAAACTTGCACTTGCTGCTCAAGTTAAAGAATCCCCAGAACATTATAAAGATGTTCTAAAACTTACTCCTGACCTACAAAAGAAATGGTTTGATGTGATGAAAGACAAGTTAAAGTCTATTGAAGAAAGACAAGTCTGGACTTTGGTGGATCCTCCCAGAGATCAGAAACCTGTTAGGTGTCAATGGGTTTTCACTATAAAAAGCAATGGTCATTACAAAGCTCATCTTGTGGCTAAAGGCTTTACACAAGAATTCAGAACCAACTTTGAAGATACCTTCTCTCCAGTGGTTCACTTCAAGACTGTGTGAATCTTACTCACTTTCACTGCTCAGAAGAACTGGGAAATGGAAGCCCTGGATGTTAAAACTGCTTTCCTATATGGAAACCTTGATGAAGAAATTTATATGGAGCAACCAGAAGGTTTCAAAGTTAAGGGTCAAGAACACAAGGTATATTGGCTGCTTAGAGCCCTCTATGGTCTCAAGCAAGCAGCACTTGCATGGAATAAAGCCCTACATGCATCCTTACTTTGCATGGGCTATATACAATCAAAAGTGGATGCTGGCATCTATATCTATTCCTCAAAAGCTTGCATTGTCATTTTCCTCATCTATGTTGATGATGGGTTATTCCTTGGATCAGACAAATGTCTTCTTAAAGCCAAGAAAGAAGAGTTAATGAAGAAATGGGAATCCTGTGACTTAGGAGAAGTTAAAGAATATCTTGGACTTCAAATTCACTGAGATTGATCAAAGAAGCAACTATATCTTGATCAAATTCCCTATGTCAAAAAAGTTATCAAAAGATTTAACATGGAGACTGCTCAAAATGTTTGCACTCCATTACCTTCAGGATATCAACCAGAAAAAGCTCCTTCTGATTATCAAGCAACTTCCCAACTCTGCTCACAGTACCAATCTATTATTGGGTCCTTACTCTATATGGCCCTTGGTACATGTCCAGATATTGCTTATGTGGTAATTCAAATGAGTCAATACATGGTGAATCCCACTGAGGATCATCACAACAAAGCACTGCATATAGTTCACTATATTGCATCTACTCCAAAACTTGTGCTTTACTATTCTGGACTTGAATCACAGATTTTTGGGTTTTCTGATTCTGATTGGGCATCAAATAAAGACACTCATCATTCAACCACCAGTCATGCCATGTTCCTTGGCACTTCTCTCATTTCTTGGCACTCTCTTCTACAGAAGCCAAGTATATGGCTCTCTGTGATGCCACACATCAAATCAAATGGCTCCATATGCTATTTGATGAACTTAAACTTAAAACTGAAAAGACCATATTATACTGTGACAATATGGGTGCTTGCTTTATAGCTGAGAATCCAGTCTCAGATGGACATTCCAAGCATATTGATGTCCAATGGCACTTTGTACATGAATGTGTACAAGATGGTTTATTCAGTATTGAATATGTTCAAACTGATAGACAAAAAGCCAATGGTCTTACAAAATCTTTGACATGGCAAAAATTTGAAACAAATCACTTGTCGATGGGACTTCTCAATCTCCCATTTTAGAGTGAGGGGAAGTGTTGGAAATATCATAATAGTTCTGATCATCTAGGCACATCTAGATTGACACATTTAGATACACATGTTATGTCACATGACATGCTCAGTCATACAGCTCCACAATGACATCAGTATGACATCATTTACTATGTCATATTCCATGACATTCTCCACTATTCTTTACCTTACATAGTAGTACCTTCCTTTTATGCTACCTGTCCATGCATAGGTCTACATGTATATAAACTTGGGGGATTTCTGCTGTACTCCCCATCAATCTACATCAATTTACATCATTCTACACTGTTATTGAGCCCTCACTCTAAACTTCAAACTTATCACTCGATTCAAGAATAAAGGCAAGTGTTCTGTCTTTGCTCTTCGCCCCGTCCTGTTCCTCTGCGCAATAAAAAGTATTGCAGGGAAGAACTAGCAGAGGAAGATCTTGGAGGCCCCGTGCATGTATGTGTCGCCTATTCGACAAATGGCAACAGTCACATACAGGGATGATCAGTTCGGCTGGTCAAGGGAGTATAATGCGGGACGGATCCCCAAGGAAGACGATAAGATGAACCTGCGGTGGCGTGGGGTCAGGAATCGACGTGGATATTTCTATTGCTGCTATACATTTTGGAATAGAAGGCAGGGAACTAACGTTCGCGCACTATCGACATTTATGTCCTGACAATGGTTCGGATGTCGACACCGGCAAAAAAAGAGAAGTCCAAATGACTAGTCCGACGAACGGCAGGCTTATCGCTTCCCGTTCACCTAGCCTGCAAAAGATTCAACACAGGCCCTACCAGCAAAACGGAGGATTTGCAAAGCGTGAAACCATCCTCTGATAATAACGACGTGGCATTCCCTGTGAAGGCCTAGTCACGTCTCGAGCCGTATCCTTGATCGCATCCATAGTCTTGAAATGTTCTGAACTTCTGGAGCGCTACCGCAGTTGGTGCGTCCGTTGCGTATCGTCCCGTTTGGGCCTAGGTATAAGCGGGCAAACAGTAGGCAGTTTATATGTGTGTTCACGCGCTTCGATTGGGGCGATGTCCTGGAAATCGTGGATAATGCTTGACAGAAATGATCCGGGTGACAGCCATATACGTTTGCTTTGGTAGGTATTACCTACAGCGCCCGATAGTGAGTACTTCATATAGACGCAGAGACAGCGTGCGGATTTACTGGACCGTCGTAATGAAGGGATGGCTATCGACCTGAACTATCCCCGCCCATGTATTGCGGATGCGCTCCAAGCAGCTAAAGACTGCTGGGATAAATCTCCGCGGGTAGCGATTTGCGAGAGACGCTACAGCTTAGTGGACGAGTATGATCATTATGCACCCGTCTGCTCCATTCTAGATAGTGGCGTACCAAGGGCCAGCCCTCGGAGAGAAATATAAGGCGGGGCACGTTCCAATGCCTCGAGAAGCACGACCTACGGAGGGCGGCGCATCTTAGATGCCGAGAAGCACTCATTTCAGCAGAATTTCAGTAGGAATGCCTGATTATCCTTGTAATCTATCGATGGAGTTTCGTACCTGTTTTTGTCACCGAAAACGATATGAGCGGAACCAAGTAAAATATTTTCCATGAGATGACATACCCTCTGCGTGGAAGTCTACTGTGTTTCGACCATTCAGCAGGGAGAGTTTTGATGGAGAAATATTTGCACCTGTTAGATCGATATCAGACCCTGAAGGTATCGTAGCCTTCGCGTGGAGGTCCGCTGTGTTTCAGTCACTTGGTGGAGAGGAAAATTTCACGGCAGACGAACTCTACACCCGCTAGACCGATTTTCCAACGGTTAACGCTAAAGCTGCCCCTGACAGCTCAAAACACGACAAAACATTCTAGTGCTGGAATTGGAAACGCGCGCGATTTAAAATGTGCATTGTGAACCTCTACAGACATTGGTTTATAGGCACGATCTAACTTCCATCGAGCAAGGAGCACTATCAGAATCCTAAGTATTTCATCGTACTGAACCTGCAGCTTGTAGATCGCGTTGACCAGCACACGATTAACCATAGCTTTAATTTCCCTCTAAAGGGAATACACGAGCGCCAGATTCGACGTGTTGTCTGTTGATGCTATTCACATCCAAGATCGGCAGACTCATTTGTCCTACGTCTTTAGGGAAGCTGTGTAAGGGCGATCCCCTCATGTGTCCGAGGTGCTTCTCGCGGATGTGACGCACAAAATTGTGACGTTTAAGAAGTTTGAGACACCTCATCCAATTGCAAGGAATATCTTCCCTGCGGGACTTCCCCTTGACACCGTGACTAGCGAAGTGCTCTGAGACAGTGGCACAGGTGATCATCCGCAAACACGGAGTCCCGTTTGCAGAAACACGGAGGCAGCGCATTCGCGGGCACTTGGCATAAATCTTTGCCTGCAAAGATGCGATCAACCAGATGTGCATCGTGAAAGTCCGTGAATAAGGAATTGTTGCTTACATGACTTGGGCACCTTGTATCAGGGTTTGCCTTGTGCCTGCTGTTCACTTCCTGTACCAAATTTTGAGCAGTAGCGACACATTTTTGCGATGGTCCCCACGCTACATCTCTAGAGATGCCGCCAACCATGTACGACGTGTTAGAATGCTGTTCAAGCTGCTGGTGAAAGTGCCCGTCACAAAGCGCGGTCAACCAAGACATGGCGAGATGGCGTATGATCGACACCGCTCACCTCTCCGGAATTGAAACTACTAGCATGGGTACTAGGAGCTTGGGTACATGCCGTACTCTGAACCATCCCATGAGCAGCAGGGGATACGTCATTCGGAATTACGTACAACTGGGCTCGGGTAGTACTCGACAATGCCATGTGATGAGTCGACCAAGCCTCCTTCACGAGGATGGGTATACTTGTCAGACCCAAACCAGAAAGAATATCAAAATCAATCTTATGACTCACCTGGGTTACCCGTCTCAACGCACTGTGAATTGGTAGGTACCAATGTGATGGGATTCTATGCTGATGCTGAGCACACGGAAAATGGTCTCCGGAAATATACAGATCGAACCTGTCCCGGTCCTAAAGCGTTGCCAAGCGTGTACGATTTACTTGTTAGGCTTGTCAGCAACGGCGAAAAGGTGTATAGGAGTAGGGACGTACCGGTTGATCAAGTTCGCATGCATGGATGAACGACCGGATGGGGGACGTTTGTATTCCACGAGCGAGCCCTCATATATACGTCTCTTAAATATGCCAGACCATGCCAGATCTACATTTTGCGCAGAGGCCTCTGGAGGGCTCTCTGGAGGGGTCCTAATAGACGGTGGTGGGGTTAGTATTGAGGCCTCCACCAACGTACGAACCTAACCTCAACTGCGGCGGGCTCTATTCAACCCTGGATTAGCAAAGAATCATTTCCGCTTTCTACACAGAAAAGATTCGGCAGTAGAACCCGACGGTACGTTGGTTAAGATTGGCACCCTCGGCTTGCAGATCTAGTATAGTAGTTTCATATCATGGTGCAGTCGGCAGTGACGTGTATGGTCGATGGATGAACATTCCAAAGGCTTACGATGAATTTTTTCTCTCTGTGTCAGGATGCTGGAACAAGGCACTTGGCGCCGCATGCACATACTCCGCTGGCGGTCCAACACAGAGGCCGTCTAGGTTCCCACCTGTTTACCAGGGATCGATGGAGTGCTCCTCGTCAAGGTCCGAATGTCAAGCGAAATGAACGACAGCTTTGGCTGGGCCCTCCATGGAGGGCCGCCACCAACTGGGTGGTGAACACGAGCTGTGAGTCTCGGAAGAGAAACGTTCGAGCGCTGGGAGCAAGTTGATTGGGCGCCACCACCAACATACATGCATGTGCTGTATGTAAAATGGCCACAGTCCTACTAGCGTGTGAAGTCCTGCAATTGGTGCATGTACTCATCGTCGGGTTCCTAGTGATTAGAGGAATTAGACGGAGGCGGCGGTTTTCTGTATAAGCCTACCTTTGCATTCCATCTGTCAGTCCACTGCGAACAAATTTGTGAGGTGATCTGAGTACGACACGCTCACCGATGCCATCAACTCAGTGTATTGAGCTGACCTGAGGTGGCGTGGCTGTGCGCGCCACCCTTGGACTGCGTACCGCTGCACAGTTGCTGGCTTGCTGCACGCCTTGCAAGTACTGTAATTCTTTTGTTTCGTTCCCTCATGTCCGCCTCATCGACCATGTCAACTGGCCTTGGCCATGAAATTGTCTCCGTCATCAATAAGCTCCAGGACGTGTTCAGTACTATTGGCTCATCAGGCTCCCAAATAGACCTCCCGCAGATCTGCGTACTGGGCAGCCAGAGTAGTGGAAAGAGCAGTGTTCTCGAGAACATCGTAGGGCGAGACTTTTTGCCCCGTGGAACGGGCATCGTTACACGGCGGCCGTTGGTCCTGCAGCTCATCCATCGACCTGCTCCCGCTTCGCAGCCGAATGGCACACCAGGCTCGTCCAGTCTAGCTTCCTTCGTCATCGAGTAGTGCTGACACTTGCTAAAAGTGAAAATGAATGGCCCAGACAAATTCGCAAATGAGCACGAGTGGGGCGAATTCCTCCATCTCCCAGGTCAGAAGTTTTACGATTTCTCCAAAATTCGAGAAGAAATCGTCCGTGATACTGAGGCCAAGACGGGGCGCAATGCTGGCATATCTCCACAGCCTATTAACCTACGTATCTTCTCGCCCAACGTTCTAACCCTCACCCTCGTCGACTTGCCGGGTTTGACCAAGGTCCCTGTGGGTGACCAGCCCAAAGACATCGAGAAACAGATCAAGGACATGCTTGTGAAATATATCTCCCGACCCTCGTGCATTATCCTTGCGGTCACAGCAGCCAACACTGACCTGGCCAACTCAGATGGTCTGAAGCTAGCACGTGAGGTTGACCCAGAAGGCACGCGGACAATTGGCGTCCTAACCAAGGTGGACCTCATGTACGTTGCTGCGGATTGACTACGAGACGCCGACTCTTACTGTTTCCAACCAGGGATCAAGGAACTGATGTCGTCGATATCCTTGCTGGCCGCGTCATCCCTCTTCGACTCGGCTACGTGCCGGTCGTTAATCGGGGCCAGCGCGATATTGATACTTCCAAGTCGATCTCTGCTGCTCTGGAGGCTGAACGCCAGTTTTTTGAAAACCATCCATCATATAAAGGGAAGGCCCCATACTGCGGGACGCCCTTCCTTGCTCGTAAACTCAATATGGTACGTTTGTGAGGGTATAACGCTGATCATCTGTCTTGACGCGTTCCTCAGATTCTTATGCAACACATCCGCGCAACCCTTCCCGACATCAAAGCCCGCATATCACAGCAACTTGCAAAATTCAATGCCGAACTGGCTTCGCTGGGTGGTCCAATGGGTGACTCGTCGGGCAATGTTGTTCTCTCTGTCATTACAGAGTTCACGAACGAGTTCCGCACTGTCATTGATGGTAACACAAACGACCTTTCTCTGAACGAACTTAGTGGAGGTGCTCGTATCAGTTTCGTGTTTCATGAACTCTTCAATCATGGTGTAAGAAGTATCGACCCATTCGATCAAGTCAAAGATGGAGACATCAGGACAATCCTTTATAACTCATCTGTGAGTGTTCGTCATGCCAGGGTGAACCCTATCTGACTAGATTTTAGGGGTCGACACCATCGTTATTTGTGGGCACCCAAGCCTTCGAAGTCATCATCAAGCAACAGATCAAGCGATTGGAGGAGCCCGGATTGAAATGTTGTCAGTTAATCTACGACGAGCTTATTCGGATTCTTGGGCAATTGCTCCAGAAGATAGTACGTCCATTTGTTTGTGACATAGGATTGAACCAGCCAGCTAAATACATCAATTGAACAGCAAATGTTCCGGCGTTTCCCGGCACTCAAGGACCGTTTCAACTCTGTGGTTGTTAACTTCTTCAAGACTGCCATGAACCCTACGACGAAGCTGGTGTCAGATATGGTTGCGTACGTATGAATTATTATTTTGTGGTTGCGTTCTTTGAGTTCAGGACGGTCGACAGTATGCAAACATGCTACGTAAACACGACGCACCCAGATTTCCTTGGTGGTCATAAGGTGCGTCCTTCTGGCTGGCGGCACGAATGGCGTTTTTGAGCAGTTCCAGGCCATGGCAATCGTTCAAGATCGCTTGAATGTCAACAAGCCTCCGACGCCGCAACCGGATGCGAAATCCAACAGGCTTGCTGCGAGTCACAATAGTCGCGATCTCGATGTCGAACCCAAGAAAGATGAGCCCAGTTTCTTTGGGTCGTTCTTCTCTTCGGCAAAGAAGGGACAATCAAAGAAGGCTGGGCCTGTTATGGAGGCGGTGAGTATCTTGAGAAATGTACATCCTTGGAACGGTGATTAATTGGATTCTCGGCAGCCACCTCCAGTTATTAGACCGCAATCCGCACTGAGTGATCGAGAGACCATGGAAACCGAAGTGATCAGTATGTCCTGCCAAATTAGCAGACATCGGAGGTTGTGAACTAACCGGGCACGCGCAGAGCTTCTTATTAATTCCTACTTCAATATCGTGAAGAGGGAGATGATAGATATGGTCCCCAAAGCCATCGTCTACACGCTCGTGAACCACTCCAAAGAGAATCTTCAACGCGAGTTGTTGCAGGAGCTCTACAAGCCTGATGTCTTGGATGACTTGCTGAAGGAGAGCGAGTTCGTCATTAACCGTCGGAAAGAGGTGGCCACAATGGTAGTCGCACTCAACAAGGCGGAAGAGTGAGTGTTTCTGTTACGGTTTTCTTTCCTTGTTGCACGTGCTGACCACTACCGCTCTACAGAATCGTCGCTGGCGTCTAGTCGCACTGGTCAGATATTCCTATGGATGACTATGGTTGTGCGAGATCGCATGTACCCTCGTACAATACCCACTCTTTTCTGTTGTATGCCTCGCATGGCGTGTAGATAGGACCGTGGCAATCTTCACACCTTTTTTCTGATATGGTCTGCGAGGTCGATCTAATCGGTTCGTTTGTTGAATAGATAACAAGAATGGCCACACAACTGTACGTGGTATGTAGGGAAGAAACACATGGATGTACGTTCTGGTCTCACAACTTTTCCCCCTTAATCCAATATACGGCATCCAATGGCAACTTTCAGCCGAGGTTGAGGCGGAAGATGTCATTGTACCTAGTGGTTGTCAGCATGGCGGGCAGAATGCGTTCTAGATAACTTACACGTAATAACTATTGTCGCTCGATACTAGGTGGAATGCCTGGGTGTATGGCATAGGGTTGACACTATCGTCGACCTGTCAAAAAAAAACACTCTTAAGTTCAAGTCGGAAGAGATATTCGGATGTAAACTGCGCACCAGTAGAAGCCCAGTCACGCTGACGATCAGGTTGGCCGTAGCAGGGACAGACGGCTGTGCGTCCACTGTAGTGACTCGATGCTGGACCTTGCTAAAGGGTAATGACTGTGATGGATGGGGTCACAAGCGTGGTCGCGAATGCGGCGCGGTGGACGCACGGTAAGTTTCTCGGTTATCGCGCTGACACCTAGTATTTGTTGACCCTCCCATGTCAGCATAGATTCGGGTCTCTGGCGTTCATCGATGATCAGCGATCGAGGGGATCGGGGTGTGTAGCTCACGTATAGCGGGGCCAGTCGGCTTCGGTCGGCGTCGAAGGTCTGATAGTAGAAATCGGTGAAGTTCTTTGCGATAGCGTTGACGTCCATGGTCTAGTTGGGAGACCGATGAGGTGGTGGCAGCAGGATGTTACGATGGTAGTACTAATAGAGTGCCCTCCCTAGATATTCCTAATTGGGCAGATCGCCTGTTAGCATTTTCTCATTGGCTGCAGTAGCCGATTTCAGCGTAGGGCATATGGCAGCGGTCTCAGCCAGTCAGACAGTTGCCAATCACCCCTCAAGAAGCCCTCCGATGTCTGAGCTACCCCGTCCGGCGATGCGCAGAAAGAGCTCTGCACAGAATCTCTTGACGTCCTTCAAGACGCCTGCTGGTCCATCGAGCTCCGGGGGTAGCATGTCTGCTGCTACTGGTGCTGCCTTTGCTGCTGCTGCTGCTGCACAGACACAATCGCCCAACATTCCACCCGGCAGGGAGTGGGACGGCCAGTCCGTGCACTCAGACACACTTTCATCGACAGCGGCCCTCGTCGGCAATGGCACGCCCGTCATCGCCCAGGGCACTTCCGTCGAGTATCTACGTGACTTGGTGCAGAAGAGAATCATTACACTGACATACATGCGCACTGTCCACGAAGGGTGTGTCTATGACTGTTTATCTCCGCACTCAGAACTCGAATGTCTTCTCAGGCGCAGTGATTGGTTTCACACGATTATGATGTCTCGCACCGAACTCGACAAGGTGTTTAACAACATAACGATGAAGAAACGGTCAGTGGAATGACGGACGACTATGCTTGCTTGCTAAGGGATCCCTACGACAGGACGCACCGCTTCGCTACTCTTGCTATGTCACTGTCCAATCTCCTCGACATCCCTCAAGCACAAGATTATTTACGCGGATTGCTGAACACCATGAACGAGTACGATCAGGCTAAGGAGGAACCTGACAAACCAAAAATCGTGATTCCGCCTCTTTAATTTCATTTCATTTTTTCCCGCCCTTACGCCATCCGTAGCGACTATTCCGCCCAAAAGTTGCCAAACGACAAGCTGCAGGCGGCTTTTGCTGAATACAATGTTCCGTTTTCTGACGGGACGGAAGCTTCATATCTTGTCTCGCCACATATAGTTTGTGCCTTTTCCTTCTCCTTGTCAGTCAAGCGTCCTGACCGAGACTTACACCAACAGCCCTTTCCTCTCGATTATCACCAGACATTGCTATCCCTTTTAGATGTTATCTCGGAAGTGTACAATAAAATATCTCGCATTCTTGGTCCTTCACCATTTTCCAACTCAGGGCAGCATATGATGGGTCCGCTTGGACTTCTGGCTCCTCACCCGGGTGTATCTTACTTGTTTTCTGGTCAAGACTCTTTACAACGACCTACGGATGACGGTGATGGGAGTCTGTGGGGAATAGCGAATGCTCACATTACCAGCCACGGGTACGGAGGCGCTATGGGCAGTCCACCCCCAAGTTGGACTCCAGCCCTCGGAGATACGCTCCTGAAGGTGGATGCCAAGTTTAAGGTATGCTTTACATTTAAATTTCCTGTGCAGATATTTCCAACAAAATGAACAGAAGATCACATCTACGCTCCTAAAAGAGCTAGACGCAGTTGCACGAAACGGAATCAAGGACGAATTGGCGTCCCTCGATCCCTTACTTCGGAACGTCACCAGCCCGGTGGATGTGCGGGAACAGTATGACTTTGAGGGACATTTGTGACTTCAGCTTCATCTTACGGACATTTGGATTGTGTATTATGCTCTGTACTACTAATACTACTATGCTGTATGCTCTCAAGTACTGCTTATAACGCGACCTGTCACGCAGGCAGGTCACGCTGTCACACCATCATTCGCGCTTAGTACTACCGCGTCTGCCCCTCTCTACTCAAATCTACACCATATCTACTAAATTATACTGGCCAAGCCCACGAAAATGCCTACAAACAACTTACAGGCGCTTCTGTCCGCTGACATATCTGACCCGACGGATTTTCCGACCAACGAACTCCGCCAGCTTGATGCAAGCCTTCGTTGCACGATTTGCGGCGAATTCTATGATGCACCGGTGATACTTGCTTGTGGCCACTGCTTCTGCTCGCTCGTATGCCCTCTTCTAAATTTCTGTATTACCCAGACTTGCTTATGATAACAACAGTGCATACGAGAGCACACTGTGAGAGAGACTCAGTGTCCAAATTGCCGCAAATCAACAGCAGAGGCCCATTTTAGACTGAATCCCGCACTCGAAGAGGCTGTGGAAGCATGGAAGAGGTCACGGTAAGAATTTATTTGCTCGTTCACAAGTACCAGCCCCCATATCCGGCAATGTAGCCCAATAGTGCTCCGGTTGTCGAAAGAAGAGCAATATCGTATTGAATCATACAGCCACGTTGACACCCAGAAAACACCAACACGCACGCGCCCGCCGAATAATAATAATACAGCAAAGCGGAAACGACGGGCACGTTCCGAGAGTTCAGACTCTGAGATCATCCATGTCGCAGGACCCTCCAATTCGAAAGCGTCAAGCGAGGTTGTAGACTCCTCACCAGCGCCAGCTTATGATAGGAGACCCTCAAAAGCGGAGGGACACTGAGCCGTCGTCTGACATTGGGGAAGAGGAGTTAGGAACGTAAGTCGTCCAGTATGGGAAAGCAATTTTGACTGAATTTGATGGCTTCAGCAGATTCTCTGATCAGCTGCCCCATATGTGGCAGGTTGGTTGAGTACCAGCTTATTAATGGTCACATCGACGGACCCGACTGCGGTAACAGCAAAGCTGCACCGAAGTCTAACACCCAAGTACCAAATTCCGGTGCAAGAAATGAGTGGTCGAAGATCCTGGGTAAAAAGTTCCTTGAAGAAGGGTAAAAACAAGGAGAGCAGGTGAGGCCTACTGATTAGTTGAGCTTCGCCAGAGTTTGACATCTCGACGAAACCTGGAAGTGATTCGGATGGCATAATGGAACGCTTACCAAAGGTGTCATATGCCGTACTCAAGGACAAAGTACTAAAAGATTTGCTACTTTCTCAGAGGTTGCCAACAACTGGTGACCGAATCACTTGGATAGCTAGGCACCAAAGGTATGTTTTGAAGTATAGTCAAGTAGAGATGCTGATCGTCCTCCAGATGGGTGATGATGTATAACGCGAATCTTGACAAATCAGAGGGGAATCGCAAGGGGTTAGCAGAGTTGCGCAATCAACTCAAGAGATGGGAAGAAGATCGGAAGATATCCAAAAGGGATCGTCGAGGATGTTATCGCACATGAGGTGAATTTAATCCTGGAGTCGTCACTTGACGTGGCATTGATGGGAAATGGCAGACGGCTTATCGCGCTGACTTCCAGCGATTGGTGGAGGAAGCGCGCCGGACTAGGGCAATTCCTGTAACAAATTCGCTGCCACATGCTCTGCAAGGTCCACAGGGACAATTGCAAACAAACTATCGTAGATGATTCCGAGGAGGACTGAGAGTAGCATCATATATTACAATAGCCTTCAGATCCATAGGAGGAACCTCATTATCGTATGTGTTGGTGAGTAGAACAATCCATTGTGCCACCTTGCTAACAAATGCAACTTCGCCTAAAGCTGCTATGTCGTAATACATAGTTAGATCCCGCGGGTAACCGGAGACTCGACACGATTTTGGTTCACAACTCCGCAATGACGACCTATATCTTCTTGAGTTCATTTCTCTGTTCACCTTCGGGGAATTTGTGGCACAACACGTGGTTCTAAGGTTGTGTCGTGTATAGACTTTCCATTTCTTTTGGCCGGGTATCTGGGTGCAGAGATGACCTGCTTCTCCTTTGTCCGTGTATTTCCCGATACCACACCGGACATACGTGCGATAGTGTTATTCATGCACAATGAACGCCTTTCAATTCGACGGTGGCTACATTAGCGTCATCGCTTTGTCTGCATCATGGCCCAGTATTGCTTTGAGTGGCAGGCAAGATATTTAACGAGGCTGAGTAGGTCCTTCATCCCATCAGCTAGCCAGACGCGTCTATAATCATGAGCAGGATTTCTCAGACCTTTTCAGTGAGTCACTCTTCGCGCTGCAGGAGAACGATGCCGTTGCTAATATCACTCGTCATAGCTCCTTACTAATTTAAGCTCCCGGTCAGGCGCGCTACTACCAAGCGATGTGAGTTTGAGGTGGAAACGCCAGCTTGCCACGACGGCGCTGAAACGGAAGTTATTAGGACCCCAACGTAGTCAATGTCACTGAACAGTTACTCCCTCGCAAGCAAGATGCCGCATTTGGCGAACAGTTTGTCTTTCAGACAAATCTGCACCATCAACGCGTTGATGCGAGACTGCTCCTGCTTCCCCCGTTCCCATGTGACAACCCACCATTCGCCAAGTCCGTAGCTTACCTTTCTAGTCGTTCCGGTTCTGTCAGGGCCCGCGTTGTGAGTCTTCATTCCAGACTATGCCTCTATTATGGAACGGAATTGCTGAAAACGGTATACACCGTTCCATAGCACCGTCTTCCTGGCGCAGAGGAACACCTGTTTCGCCTTTGTATTTTTGCACGCGAGAGGGGTGTGAGAGTGACGTTGCCTCCGATGTTTCGTGGAGTAGTGACTATCAAGGACCACGACCTTGTTCGTCGCAGGAAGCAAATTCGATGCTCGCGTGCTTTCCGCGAAGCGCATGCGGTGTGGGTTGATCAAGTTCGATACATGCGCGTCGGATAATGATGACGAGGTCTGCATCCATGCCGACGGAAAAATCGAACTGCGGTTGATGACCGGCGAAGACAAAGAGAAGCGTAGTTGGACACGGTTGGAACCGACATGTAGCGCCGGGATCTTCAAAGCTGCGTAGCATCCCACGCTCTTTCTGTGTTGCGGCGCTGGCTCGCCGGACCTAGATATTATCGTTCCTTTCAAATTTGTCCTTGTGTTGTTGTTGATTCGAGTCACACTCATCCCATGTAGCGTAAGTGTCGTACCATGGTATAAATGCACCATGAAGCATTTGTCAAACCATCCTACCGTGAGAGGCCACATGGCACCCGGTTAAATGCAACGTTGCGAACTGACGGCATCGGGTTCCTTTGTTACATGCATTCCAGCCTTTTGTTCTCGAATACAACACTTGCCTTTCTGGGCATAATAGTAGGATCACTTATAATTACCCACACCCGGGCCTGGTCATTTCCCCCCACACATATCGTCCCTTTCTTTCCTTTGGACATTCCCCTCGGTCGAGATGACTAGTTCCTGTTCCATTTCAGCAGAGGTAAGCTCAGTTTTGTGGTGACATTGCGCGTAGCTTGAACGTTGCACCGCACAGAGCTCTTCCTCTTTTTTCGGGAAATTCGGCCTACTGGTGAGATGCAGCATATTTTATTCGCCTCCTCTCAAACTTACCCCAAAGTCATCCATAGCGACATGAGCCTCAGGGGACACATAAGGTCCACTACAAAGAGTCCTGTGAATGGGATTTTGTCCTTGAGACGCCCAAAGAAATTGACATGTCGCTTGCCATACCACACTACCGCGCACGACATCAACCAATAAACCAGCGTTTAAGATTGTTCGTCGCTGGAGAGTCCTCACCTATTAAGCTGAAAATCGTAAGTCTCGATGATCGTGTCGTATGAAACACAGTTTATGAACCAACATGGCAGTGCCGACCGGTGCCTCGCTGTAAATTCTACCTGGAGGTCCAGGCAACTTCTTCGAATGTGACGATATGGTTACCTTCGGATTTCAGAGGTCGCATTTGTTATTCAGGGAAAGCGTCTTTCTCTGCTGGATTTATCAACCGTATCATGGCGAATATCCGGCTGAACGAGGGAGGCAGCGACAAGTGGACCGGAGACGAAGTCTTCGTGGAAACAGAAGGCATTGTCACCTTCAGGATGTGGGACGTCCACACGAATGCGCCGGAAAAGGTGCACAGGGAAACCTTGAAACGATTGTTCAGCTGCTCGAGGAATACATGCGAGACTCGCATTAATTGGGATTTTCTGCTGGACGACTAATTTTTTTTCGCAACTTTTCGTTCGTTCGTTTGCCAGCTGCAGTTGGTTCATTCTATGTCTTTCGAACATTCTTAGGGATCAGGCCCAGCGCCAGAGATTTGATTTTACCCCTTGCTACTCATTACGCTGTAGCCAATTTGCATATGCATTTTTGTAGCCATAGTCAACTACCCACTACTGTTTCACACTTGCCATAATATACACCACACATAACAACACAACCATACTCATTAACCACGTACGATGGCGTCTGGATTAATGTTCATCAAGTAACCCTCACGGCCCTCTTTGGCCCTCTATGAAGTCTTCGAAAGGGCTTGAACAACGGGAGGAGCTGCACCGAAAGAAGCAGCGGTGTTGGCTATCCGCGATATGCGAGTTACAAAAGCAGCCCAATCATTCTTGCGAACCGGCGGTGGCAAGACATTTCTCTAGTGTTTCTAATAATGCTGGGTTCTCTAGGGCGGCTGCAACCCGTTCCTTGTCATTGAGCTGTTTGTTGACTACAGCGACTTAGCCATGGAGAGGACATCTGCATAATCAAACCTACCAGCCAACTCGCTCTGATGCGACCCCGGTTTAACGCGGATGTCTACCTTGAATCTCGGAGGAAGGCAGCGCATCAGCCTGACTCTGATGGATAGTCCTACGATGACCAACTTCAGTAGGTGACAAAGTATAGCATGGAGTCCCAAATACCTATGAGAGTCGACATGCCGCAGTGGGGGACAGTAGGAGTAAACTCGACAGTTATGAGATTGTTTCCAATGTCTATCTGTTCCGCCGACACAACCCGCAGTTCTTCCAGAGAGTTTGGGTGCTCTGGGTCAGCGATAGACCTGATGAGGTCTATAAAGAGAAGGAAGCGTAAGAAAAACATAATGTGGTTGAATTCCAGATTTATATACCAAAAACCTCATCCTGGTCGATGGGCTCGACGTTAGAAGCGTCGCTCCAATCCTGCTGCTCAACGTCGTCTACCCAAAGTGATTGCCCGGTTTCAAAAGGCGACTTCCTCAAGGAGCGCTTGGATTTGGTATATATCGTTGGATTGGCATTGAAAATTTCATTCATATTGGTCGGGCAACTGGAAGTTACACAGTACCAGATGGTCAGCGCGAGACCAGAGTGGGTAGCCTATCTAAGCGCTAGTAGTATACGTGCTTATTAGTCATCGTTGAACTACCCCTGTCTCTCGTTCCGTGCCTCTCCAAAACAACAGGTGCTCTGATTCTGACAGTGGAGGCGGGTCTTTTGCGGATACCACTCCACCGTCTTTTGGGGTATGGTATGCCATTGTCAATGCTGGTTGAAAGTTGAAAAACTTTCGTCCAGCCGACAGCCCGGCTTTAACGACCATTTTCGCACAAATTTCAGCTGAGTCCCGGGAAACTACCCTCCAGCGGCTCAGTTTGGTTTCAGAGTTGTACGAAATGTGGGCCGAGTCTGACATTCCCTCCGGGTTCGTAACTACCGGGCATCCTTCCGCCGACTTCGGTCATCTTCCTTCGTAGGCTTCCAGTTCTGATGGTTCCAGAGACTAGCGGACTGAGGGCGGTGAGGACATCTAACGTGGTATTATTCGCACTCCGGTTCTACTTCCCTAGGGAGCTGTGGAGCTTTTGAACGGACTGTTCAATCAAATCTCTGTGTAGTAGGTACCGTTGACGTGTATTGGGCTGGCCAACTAGCGAGTTGATTCTTTGTCCTCGGCCGCTGCGTTTGGCTTTATCCAGTTTTCGAATGTCATAGCTGCACGTGAACCTAAAAGCCGGCATCCGCAGGGACCAACTAGTCCCCGTTGTCCCTTACAGCAAACCATACGACATTATGCTACCGGAGTTAAGGTTTTACACTGGGATGGAACATCATACGACGACTTTCTCAGCGGTACGGACAAAGCGCGAATCTTGTATGGCATTGCCCTTAAAACTCGATGGATTATGCCAAGCCCACTGATGCGAGGGACTAATGATCGTAAGCATTCGAAGAGAATTTCCTTTCTCTGAGGTTCAGAAAGGAGACGATAGGATTCAGGGAATCCTTCTGACCTGGTGAATAGGATGGAGCTAATCGAGGGACAGCTAGTTACTACCAAGACAACCACCATTAAACCAATGAACCTACAACAGGTAGGAAACTATCCAGTATGCCACGAACAGGGTATCCTACAGACTGCATTGACCATGCGACAGACAGCACATTTGCGACACGTGTTTAGACCTCCACAGGTGCAGAACTGACTCTGCTCCCCACACTGCCTATCCAGTTTTACATGAACCCAAGAAGCTTGAGACCAGTCATGGCAACTGAGTTGGTGCATGGTAAATTGACCCAGAGTGGCGTAGGCGACGGAATCTATCCTGACGACTTCGAGGCTGCCTGCGAGTGTACTAAATGTCGCCGAGATTGAGAAAGGTAGAATAGACACAAGCTTGGTGGGGACGTCGCAAGCTGTTGTATGGACACACAACATGACAGTTGCACTGCATCCATCTCTTTGCACTCGTTGGTGTCCTTGGTAACCAAGAGGGGAGATGGCTCTGATGCACTGTAAAAACACCCTCATATAAGTACATGGTCACTGATCGCTTGGACGTTACATGAATACCATATTCTGCAGCTGTAGCCACCACAATGACCACCATCAAAAGTTTTGCCAGGATGCACGTAAGAAATGCGGCCGCTCAGGGACAGATCTTGCCAAGGCTCAGTCAGTGTCGCCAGGGGAGGGTTGGACATGGAATGGAGGGAGCAATTTATGGCAGCCTGATTGTTATCCATCAAGATCAGGAAGCGGGGATGGCTACTATACAGACTGTGTACTAACGTTGTTGTGGCTAAGCTAGCTCTGGCGTCGCCAAACGATACCAGGAATGGCCACAGGTTCTGCGATTGCCAGGATGTACATGAGAATCGAAGTTATCAGCCTGGACCCCACCAGCCGAAGCAAGTAGCCTCATCAAGAGCTAAGATGGCGACTTCATTCTTCAGGACGGTGTACTCAGAGAGGTGCGAAATCATCGTTGTAGTTCGGCGAGACGGTTAGTGGTTGGGACGAGAGATGGCAACACAGGGGCAGATGACCGAAAATTATTTGTACGACTTTATTAGGAACAATCCGATCCACACAGTTGCAAAGAGGCACAAATAGTTTGCAGTCATACTCAGCACTGCCGAGCCTCACTCGCAGACCAAAGAACATGATGACCCTCACTGATGGCCCCGCGGTGATGCCCAAACCTCGAGCGTGGGATCGCGGAAGAAAATAGGAATAGTACATATTATGTGCGTACGTGACACACGCCAATTAAACCGACCATTACGAACCCGCGCCGTCATGAGACTTCCCTCTCTTCCAAGATACAAAGTCGTCTAGTAATGTTGGCCATGCCTATGGTGTCGTCAGAACCGAGAATGTGCGGAAGACAATGCGACGAACCGCATCATCTTCGTAGTTGTCTAAGTTCGGATGTACTGTCCGACAGAACTCGTATACCTACAACACAGTGAGGAGACAGCCGCCGGTATGCATTCAGGCCATACATACCATGTTCCAGATATCCTTATTCGCCCCTCTGTAAGACGAATTCTCCTGACAGGCAGGTAAAAATTATGAAGAAGGGACAGAGTCTACACGGGATGCTCACGTTCAAAAACGTCGTAATATCGCCTATGATGGGATATCGTGTGGAGAGTAGAACCGACCAGAGCGCAGTTGCTGTCTATGCAAACCATAAAGACAAACTGACAGCCGTATCTCCTGCAGACGCTCACCTCCATGTCCATGTTTCTGCTTTGCCTGTAACGAGCATTAGGGAGAGGACGTGCGGAAAGCTGTAAACGCACGGTGGTTTTGACAGCGTGAAGCAGAACTGGTATAGTTCGCCAAATGCCCGCTCAACATTCTGAGCGTGATCCCAGTAGCGTGATCTGTTGTATAACTCGTGTGTTTTCGTTGTGCTCGCACTAGTCCTCCTTGTCACCGATGCTACTGGCGAAAGTGGCCGTTTGATTGGTTCATTTCTTTGGATGACTAGATCATCCAATTCCCTTAGCGCAGTTGCCAGGATAGGTAACGAAGAAATGCTTGATAGATGATAAGCTTGGTTCTTACGCCTTAATGAAAATAAACGCACCGCAGTGCGTCTGTACCCCGCCGCCACTCATCTGAAGTAATCTTCCCAACCTCAGAGCACCCAAACTGCCAAGCTAGGATGAGTGGCTGAGCACCATCCAAGGGCACGCCTGCCTCCGTGCACAATTTCTCTACACCCTCTGGACCGATGACACCCGGAGTGTCAGAATCTGCGAACTTCTGGAACAGGTCACGCGAACGCTGTGGCGAGTACTCTTCGTTTCCCGGGGCCGTTCGCTGTACAAGGTGGACTGATTATCGCGAATAGGAGGAAAGAAGTGGCAATAGAACATACGGTCGAGAGTTTGATATCCTCCAGTGCTTGACTGTGGACGGATCTGTTAGATACACAACAAAACAAAGACGAGAGTGGCATGCGAAAACGCCGTCGAGTACCCCGAACTTAAGTAAGTCGGGACGTTATTGAGAGAGAACAGTGAAAGCCGTGCAAGGTGTGACTCAAGGGAGAAAGTCGGGGGCGAACTCACGCATTTTTGTCGGGGTTCGTCGAGGTGCTGACAAGTCGCTGTGGGGAAACAACCAACCCATTAGCTGAGACAGGCCCATAGCACTGTACCGTTCACCATGCATCTTACGTCATCATTACTTCATAATGAAATACTTTAGTTAGGGGCCAAATATATTCCCTCACAATATAAATGCTCACACAGCCCTGGAGCTTCGACTTCTTGCACCTGTCGTCTTGGCAGTCGTGCTTCTGGCTTTCTTTGATGGCGCGGACTGCCAGATAATGTGAACACAAGATAGGAAGGACACCAGAAGAAGCCCGCCTCACCTCCGTTTCGGCCGATGAGAAACTGTGCATGTTACAATCAAAACTCCGTCATAACTTAGAAACAGCGCCGAACATACGATGCACTGGTGTTGACATTATCCTGGTTCTTGCCTTGGAAGTAGAAGCCTATCAACAAGCGAAGACAATTTAGCACGCCGCACCATACCTGTTCGGGTGGACTTCCGTGTACTTCGCGTCGCAACCCCGGCCTCCGTCTCTTCACGCTTACGCTTGGAACGTAGTGTTGTCGGGGCATTTAAGGATAACGAAAAACGGGTGGCTGCTCACCTTGGGGGGCATGGTTTTTCCAAGGGTGGGTTCAGATGTATTAGTTGAGAAGAAAGGACAAGTCATTTTGTGCTCGACCACCAGCTCTTTCTTCGCGTCACAGCGAGGCACACGTGACACACTTTAACACGCGGGAAACGGCCGCTAGCAGTTGAGGCCCTGAGCACCAGATGTCACTCATTACTTACAAATTGGAGACATTAGCTCCCCAAAATCCCTCTATGGAGGCTGATCAGCGAGGTTCAGAGCAAATCGCACATATATCTCAGATCGAGTTTCAAGGCGATTCCCGTATAGAAAACTCAACAAAACAAGGACAGCCCCAAAAGGACACTGGATTGGCGTGTGACCTCCAGTTAAGACTAACCTTAGTAACCTACCCCTATGCTCAATAGTCATCGACCTCCAGCGGCCGCACAGCCTGGACCTTCTCCATGGCTTCCCTCAACTCAGTTTCTGCAAAGACCGCCGCCTCTTTCGCCACAACCAGTTTCTTCTCCAGCTCCTCCACAGTCATGGGCCTCATCTGACCGTTTTCCTCGATGAACCCAATGCTATCGAACCGGCGGAGTGTATTACCAACCCGAGGTAACGATTTCTGGCAGCCCCAGCCATTGTCGTTAAAAGCTAGCACGGCGCGGACGGCCGCATTGTTGATGTCGCGATGCAACTCTTCGAGCTTGGACAACTGCACTTCCATCCAACGAGCACGCCTTTCGAGCGCCTGGGTCAGCGCGGCTACTTCATCCTCTTTTCCAACTGCGTCATCACCCGTCTCGTCAAGGAAATCGTCACCTTTGAGCATGTCCCTGAGAACACCGTCAAACGATGAGCTGTCGTCCCAAGTGGTACGGGGAAGGAGGCGCAGAAGATCAGAAATTGTTTGCGTCAAGGTTTCCAGCAGCTGCTGGAACGATGACACGGCATTGTCAATGGAACCTGACGGCATGCTGGTCGCAAACGAGCCCCCTCCGACTGACAACGCAGACAGCGCATGGACAAGGGGTGCATATTCCAAAGGCATCTTAGCAGCGGGGTTGATTTTGTGAAGGTCGAAGAAAGGATGGTTGGGAAGATTCATATATAGATTCCTCGCATCGATCTCATCCATAAGGTCCGCCACAGAAGCCCGCTCAATAGGTGACACTCGGTCAACCGATTGAGCTCTGGAGTCGCTCGGGCTAGAAAAAATGGTTTGATTGCCCGTACCAATAGCTGGAGCCGAAGTCTCTGTTGTAGACGGGATCTCTTCCGTGTTGGTGTCAATCTGCCTTGGGGATCTTAATAGGTCGCGCTACAGGCTTGTTTTTCTTCGGCATCTTCGACAAGATGGGTGGTTGGTCGACAGTTTCAACGACCTTGCGAGAAGTAGTTGCTTGCTCCTCCATCTCGGTCAAGGTAGGCTGGGCAGTGCGACTAGATTTCTGTGGAGCCACGTTCTTCTTCGTCTTCAGGGTCCTCGCCTTCGCCTTCTCTGCCTCGTGCTGATTCTCCCCTTCAGTAACTGACTGCGCAGTCTCCTGAGGGACCTTTGCCTTCTCCTCCTTCTCATGAGCTGCTTTCTCCCTCTCCGCTTTCTCCCTTTCAATTCGCTCTCTTTCCCCTTTCTCCCTCTCTTCTTTCAAAATGGCCAGCCTCTCCTTCTCTGCAGCCTTCTCTTGAGCAATGCGTGCCTTCTCAGCGGAACGTGCCGCAGCCCTCTCCTGAACAAATTTTTGCCGCTCGAGTGCTCGTTGTGCAGCAGCAACTTTCTTGGCAGCCTTGCGATCAGTCTTTGCTTGACCTTTGCTACCCTCGGCGGTAGACCCGATCTCGCTCGCCGCTTGGGAATCACCCTGTGTGGCAATACTGCCGGTAGCAGTAGTACTGGCGCCTAACGCTGGAAAATCCTCGGGGGAAAGGGTGGGCGACGACGTAGGTGCAGGCGCAGATTGGGGGACTGAACATGCACAAAGAAGGTGGAAGACCAAAAGAGAGTCATCAGTAACGTTGTACCAGACGATTAAGCTGCGCCCACAGAAAACGGAAGAAAACAGAGCGATGCAACCAGGCGAGGGACAAAAGTGAATAATAAAGCACACTAGCACTCGGGGAAACTCCAGTTTTCGGCGTCGCCAGAGGGATGAAAGGAGATGGGTTTCTTTGAATGGAGGCGACGATGAAGACGTAATGGAAGCGAGTATCCCTTCAACCAAGAGAGGAAAAATCATGGTCGTTGATAATATTTCCGCACTGAAAGCACGGCACTCGGTACTCTGACCTGGGGCACCTTCCCCCTGACGAAAGAAAGATACTCACCGTTTGGAAGGGCATTGAATCGCGAGGGATCTATAAGCGAGTCGTCGTTGCTTCGCAAGTGAAGGACCGGCGCTGCGTGATTGGTGGGAAGACCCGGTGGAAACCCTAAACCCGGAGGGGGTCCCAGTGGGACGTTCGGTGGTGCCTTGTAGTCCCCTGTACCCGGCAGGCTCCCTTGGTAGCTTGCTGACGCAGCCATTAGTGAGTCGCGGGGAAGCAAGCCTGGCAGACATGATAGCAGGATCGTGGAACTGGTTGGTTCGGCGTATATTGGTACTGCTGCTGTTGCTGCTCCGAAGCTTATGAAAAAGAAGATACAAAGAAAATCGAACGTTGTGATACAACATGCACGAAAATTACAAAAGAAAGGAGGATGAATCACTAGTCAACATCTGCCTCACATGCATCAAACAGACAGAAGCCTCCTACCAGCTGCGCCGTTCTGCATAGCATTAGCTCGCTCTCGAGAAGTCTGCAAAAATTCGCGGAGTTGTGCCTCGCTGACACCAACACTGGTATCGAATGGCTGAAAGCGGGGCTGCTGCTGTGGGGGAGCTTGCACCACTTGCGCATGCTGCGCTAGCGGCGAAGTCGGGTAGCTGCGATCGAAATGACTAGACGAGTTCCAATGAGGTTGTGCTGGTGAGGCGGTTTCTGCAGAGAAGAAAGACTGATGACTATCACTAGCACTTAGGGGGGAGGCAGCATGAACTGGTGATGATGCAGCCGTGGAACCCTGGCGCCCTCTAGCAAATCCAAATCTGGACACCTTTCTTTCCTCATCCGGAAGTACCGACTTCCCTGAGGCTGCCACTTGTGATTGTGAAGCTGACTCCTCTGTACTTTCTCCGAACGGGTTGAAGGTTCCCATGTAGTTAGAACATCCCGTAGATTGGTGATCGATGGGTGTACCCCGCATTGAAAGTGGATCGTACACTGACCGGGAGGAACTCTGAGGGTATGAAATGCCTGGTGGTGGTGCAGTAAATGACTTCGAGGACGGCAATTGCTGCTGGGATCGGAGGGCGGGGAACGTATCTATGAATCCACCGGTATATGGTACAGTGGTTTCTACTTCAAGATCCGGGAGAGCGATATCTGTGTTAGGGTTGTTGCCCGCCAACTTGGGATCTAGGTTGAAGCTAAAACCACCAAATTCATCCTCCCTGGAAAGCATGCGAAGAGTGCGATCAAGGTCCGGGAAAATGCTCGCAGTGGTGTTGGCAGGTGCGTTCTCTCGCCGAAACTTAACATCATCCAACAAAGCTTGTGCAGCGGTAGAGATTTGATAGGTAGATTGAGAGGGTTGGATACTTGGTGCATGGAGGTCAGATTTCCGGGAAGGGGGAGGCAGGCCAGGAGGGGCAGAGAAACCAGGCGGTACATCTGGGCCACCAAGGACGTTAGACGGAACGGAAGATTGAACTGATTCGGTGGACCGTGGTCGGGCAGGGGATGGTGGTACATCCTGGGACCCTGAACCCAAGTCGGACTCGATTGTGGTAGAGGGCGCCGGAGACACTGGTGCACCATGCTCTTTAGAACGGAGAATCTTGACGTCTGTAGGAGTTGCGGGTCTTCGAGGGAGGCAAGCCACTGCAGGTGTCGGAGGACGCGACAACGAAGTAACCGAAGGTGTCTTCGTGTTTCCTGCGGCGGGACCGGGTTTTCGATCGTGATGGGAACGGTTTGACGACTTCGAGTCTGGATTTGGGTTGCGGGCTTGCCGTTGACCACCCCGTCGGTTCGACCTTTGCACAATCGTGACCGACGAAGATGGCATAGTCGGGGAACTAGTGACTGGCACCGACGCCTTCGTGCCCCAGGCTGCACCCCGCGGCAGCCTTCCTGCTTACAATGTTGACCTACACAAACTGTTTAAAGTAGCTTGCATGCTTACCAGCATCATCTTTCGCAGAGCGTGTTCTATTCTCCGTGTCCTTGATCGTGTGTTTCCTGCGCGAAGACGGTTGTCAACGTCATAACAACACGAACTTATGTGATACTAACAATGTTGTCAAGTCTTCCTTGGTGAAGCAGTCTTTCTCGTCGCCCCATTCGTGCAGGCTCATACAAGTGCTATCGGAACAAGTAAGACTCCGGAGAAAAGCCATGCAATATTTCGTAGTGCCGTAGCTGGCCCTCATCACTTCCCGACCACCACCAGGAGAGGGGGCGCCATCAACAGTAGCGATACAGCGAGCCGCATCCTCCCGGCGGTGATAGGTTATGTACAGACCAAGTACAGGGGAACCGCCTGATGAAGTCCTCTTAACGAGTATAATCTTGGATATTTTGCCATATTGACCAAAATACTCGTTGGATCGCAACGTAGGTATAAGCTACAAGGGAATTGTTGATCAGTTGGCCGCGAGTAAATGAGACAATGGCACATACCTCTTCCTTGGCGAACCTGGGTCCAATACCCACGACGTAGACCACGTTGCGCTGCACCACACGCACGTTCACGAAGTGACGACGACCGAGGGCATCAAGTTCCTTCCGTTCGCGTTCACGTTGTTTCTTCTGTTGAGTAAGGCGCTTGTGACTGGGACGAAACAAACGAGGTGATTAGGCTAAAAAGTAGCCAAGAAGGATTGCTAACTGACTCTTCTTGTGGGATTGGCTTGAACTGTACGGCATCGTCGGTAGTACTCCCTACGGCAAGCGGGACAACGCCCATTGAGGTTTTGCTTGATGTGGTGCCAGCAGAAACGGCAGATCTGTGGCACAATAAGGGGGAGGCAAAATTGAAGTTGATCAGACAAGTCGTACCTGGTATCCACAAACACAAGGTTTAAAATTAAGGTCAGAGATGTCCATCTCCTCCAGACAGAGGGGGCATTCAGCGTCATCCTGTGACGATCGGGTGCAACACAGTGACCTAAGGGGTACATGAGGAGAACCACTGAGTAACCTACTGCATCGTCGTCGCTCCAGTACGCGTCCTGGACACCAGCCAAAACGTGGGACTTTGACTGATGAGCAGAAAACCCGACGTGCATAGCGGGCGCTGGCAATGACGGATGACCGTGAAGCTTGGCTGATGACATTCTGCAGTGCTGTGTGGATGCTATATAACAACTTGCTATCGAGGAACGACGACGAGGACGGCGACGGCGAGAGGGGGAAGACGGGCAGAGCTGGAACAACTCAAAGGCCGAATTGCACAATGAGGCTCAAAGGGTACGGAAATTCCCACGTCGCTCAAAACGGATATTTGCCCCTGTTTGCTGGTGGCACGCATGTAACAAAGACAGCATCAGCACTCAAATATTCAATGCAACTCGTCAAAAGTGTGCTTCGGCGGGTGCTAATAGGGTACATGGCCTGCGTAGTGACAACATGCATTAAAAATCATCATCATCATCGAAATCCCGCCTCCGTTGGTACTGATCAGTGAACGTCTCTTTCAATGCTTGCACTTCAATGCGAAAATCAGGCAGACACTCACCACGATCGTAGTTTTCTTCGTGTTAGTTTTGGACTGCGCATCTTCCATCTGTTGAGCCCACATCATCAAGCCGACCGCATTCCAGAGTCGTAAAAGAATCTCTTACCTGTTCTAGGAGGTCTATCAGCTGCGACTCAGTCACTTTTCCGCGAAGTTGACCCGTCTGTGCCATCCGAAGCAACACAGCTTCGATCTGCTGCGACCGTTCCGGGCTCACCAGCGCGATACGAGACACTACAAGGGGTGGATAAAATCATGTTTCTCGTACATCAGCCAGATCCGTGCACCCAAACGACGAAGAACAGACATTACTCACACCTTTCACGCGCTGTAGTATCGAGAATAGTCGCAATCATATCTCTCCGCATGGCCTCCTGGGCCGCTCTCTGTGCCTCTTGTTCGGCATTTGGCTCAGCTGGTGTCTGTGGTTTCAATCCTTGAGGTAGGCCCTCCATATCGTTGAGACAGTAGTGGAGACCAAATTATAGTACTGGTGTTTGTACAAAGCCCATCTGTGGTGCGAGATATACAGGTCACCAGTTTTGGAAAACCCCTGAGAACACCGGTCCTTCACAACATCCAACCTTCGGCAAGGATAAATAAACCAAGAACGACCCCAAAACAGCTAACTACAGCTCTCCCAGCCCCACCGTTACTGACCGTCCCACCCATAGCACGGGCTTTGAACGCAGAATAAGTCTCGGACCCTGCAACATCGGCATTGATGCTAAACACCATCCCTTCTCTACAATGCAGCCCCTGTTTGCAGTATACCCAGATGGGAGTAACCTATCGAGATCGTGGTATCACTGCGTGTCGTAAACTTAACCAAGGATTTACTTACGTCGCTTATGTCGATGGTATATGTAGATTGCATACTATGGTAGAGAACGTTAGATGTAACACGTCATGTGCAGCAACTGGACGCACAATCCTGAGTCAAAACCGCCTTGACCACTGCTAGATTTGAAAGGTTGGCAAGGCTGCTCGAATGTCGATTGTGTGGCCGTATGATTGCCTGGCATGAACTGGAACGTCACGGTATCACCAGCCTGAGCAGAGATATTTGAAGGATTAAAAGTCAGCTGGCTACCGCCGACGGTAACGTTGTGATCGATAGACCCGTTCACAGTCAAGGCAAGACCTAAGAAGAGCATTGTGGTAAAAGTGGATGGGGACATGTCGAATGTTCAAGGTGAACACAGTTCCACAAAGATAGCAGGCTCTGGAGAGGATCACTGCAGGGGAAATTTGGATGTACGCACCGAACTTTATGGTGAGGCATATCTGCTATGTCCCTCGTAACTGGTTGAGAGGGGTGGCGGATCAAGTCATTTAAACAACTCGCCAAGCCCTTACATCATTGACGATTCCCCGAGTCAAGTGCTTGATAATATGAGGTGGGTGGGATGAAGAGTTTGTACGGAGTATGAGGGACCTTGATCGAGGAACAAAAAGATCACGGGGTAAATTCAACAGAACGTGTATCCGGATGCATTTGCTTTGTGGACAGACGTCACTTCGAGGTGCCTGCACATCCAAACCCTGCACGCCACTAGTCAGGGGTAGAATTCTAAATCGAACGTTACAAGTCACCCATGCCCGGGGGAGGCCACTGGTTGCTGATGTGCAGCAAAGGTTGGTAGAACTCGCCGTTTGAAAATATCTTGCTGCTCGTCTTGCATCAACACAGCGCCTCCCAGCTCCTCAATAAGCTAGTGTTGAACTTACCACCAGGGATACCTATGGCGTTTTGGAAATGTCTGGTAACTGGTCTTGGCAGGGAATTCGAGTGTCACGACTACGCAGTCAAAGTTATCTGTGCTACTTGCATGAATGTTCCGTCCACAGGCAAAAGTCCCTCACACCTCAGTGACAGTGTGCCGTGAGTCTCTTGACAATCACAGCCCATGACGATACTCGAGATTGGCGGGACGAAATGAACACGAAGCGTCATCTTCACCAAAAAGAATTGGTTACCAAAGGCAGTATGTACGTACTACCGACGTCGTTCAAGAGCAATTGTCACTGCAGATATTGTACTATGAATGCTTATTTTTGGACACTCACTTGTGGAGTGTTAGGGTGGCAGAGTCCGGTCCTTGACAACCACAGGGAAATCGCCGTTACTGGCTTCAGGTCCAAATTATTAGACACAATAAAAGCCGCACAGGTAGTACATACATAGTCCCATTCGTGGGTACAAATCAGTCGGACTATACGAAAAGTCCGCAGGTACAGTATACACCACTTGATAAGACTTGAGTCTTGCACGTGTAGCACCTGTCAGGAAAGTTCAAGAATAATATTCCTTCACAAACCTGCCTCACCTCTTAATTACGGGCTGTATATAAGATCCCATTCCCTCCTTTCGTATTTTCCTGCATCTGGTCGACGAAAAGAAAGTATTTCCCGGTGAACAACCCCACCTGATCGAACATTGTCAGTGCAAGGGAATTGTGGAGAAAAAAATGCCGTACAATCTGAAGAAGGTCTGGCTCCCTTCACAGCCGAAAGCCCACTAGAAAGGGTGCCTGCTGCAGAAGGCGATTACCTCAAACCGTTCGTTTTCGGCCACTCAGGTTCTAGGTATGGCGCATAGAATGACAAGTCTGCAAGTTCTATATGGGCAAATCGCCTGAAAAAGGGGAGCCAGGATCTCCAGCCTTCATTCGGGTCCTGAGGGGGCCCCCGTTTGTCCCGTTGTCGGTGTCGAGTTCAGCGGTGCGGGGCCGCCACCCTCGCAAGACCTGTTCTTTGGACCTATACTGCTTATCCCATTGGCAAAGACGCTGCTTGATGTTAACACTTCTACCGGCCTTTAATTTGATGATGTATGGGGCTAGAGGATCTGAGGGTCGACGAACACATCGTTAACATCGACGTGGCCTGCAGAAAAATGAACAATACCTCAAATTTCAAAGGTATATATGTAACTCGGACAATCAGTTCCAGAGGGGGCCCTTGCCATCTCTTCTTGAAGTACCAATTGAGTATGCACACTCTAATACTGAATACGTAATCTAAAGATAACGTTCTATATGGATATGTGGGACGGACCGCAGAATGCATAATTCTTACCTTTAAATTTAACATATCTATCCGCATGACCGACTCTCTCAATGTGAAATCCAATTTCTTTCACCTTCCGGTGATTTCCACAATACGCAGCGGACATAGGGTCCAACATTGCATGTGTAGGGGAGAAGTTAACGGACGAAGGGCATTTTTTATCAGCCCTGGTTGTAGCGTTGCATTTGACTTTAACTTCAACGTATGAATCCGCATGACCGACTGTTGTTTCTTTCTTTTTGTGATGGCCACAATACGCAACACGTATCTTCGTTAGATCGAGTTGTAGCGCTGCATCCGACAGTAACTTTGACAATAACTTGGCCAGAAGGAGGTGCAGATGCTGAGGACGAAGTTGAAGTTGCACGAAGTGCGTTCGGGGCCAAAGTACGCGTTGACTGAGGGAGATCGTCTGCAGCCGATATGGATGACGGATTCTTCGCGCTATGCAAGACAGGGATATCAGGATCAGTTTGTGGCGAATGTACGGTGGATACAGCAGGAGTCGGGTTTGGGTCGCAGGAGAGTCGCGGAAAGAAGTCTCTTTGCGCCGTGAGGTAGGGGTATCAGACTCGGACTGTGGCAAATACATGGTAGGTACAGCAGGTGCATCAAGCTTGGATCGCAGGGGGGTCGAAAAAGGTAGAGACTGCGAGGGTTGTAGTGTTGTCTCTAGGAGGTTCTGAGACCCTAGCGTCCGCAATGCATGCTGCACCGTCTGCGACCATTGTTCTGTCCGGGGACACGATCCAGGCATGAATCCTGGGGTATCTAGGCGTGGCGCAGATACGGCTTCGCCATGTGGCGAAGGTGGGCGATTGACGCTATCCGCCATTTTGCTCAATGAGCGTAAAGCCGGTTCAAGTCCCCCAGTAAACTTTTTCTTGTGTCCGTCGCGGTGTTTCCCGTTGGCTCCGTGACGTGACGTCGGCGGAAGGATAGGTGCGAGGGTGTTCACGCTCAGAGCACGACTGCTCGGCAGAGGAACATCTTTTTAGGTCCTTTAGCTGTCTTTTCAGCGCAAGGACATCGAAAGACTCGGTTGGATTACGGCCACGGGTCGGTTTTGAAGACTGTTGATGGTGGGTCATCGACGAATACCTGCTTAGAGAAAGTAATTATGCAGACCAGCCGGGGTGACTGCGCCTTATATCCCGTGTGGACTCGTGATGCATAATGTACGGCGAGCACATCGCAGGCAGTATTGGAATATGAAATGCACCAATCCCTGATTGCTTGTTGACGTCGGTACTGTACTACGCTCCTGCGAGAGCGGCGGCTTAGAAAACCGTTACCCGACTCACTCCCTTGAACCTCTCGTTCCGCCTTTGACACAGCTAATGCCATTATTGTTCCTTACTGCAGTGCGAACGTCTCTAGAAGCTATGAGCATGCAGATAGGCTGTCCTCCCTGAACGTGGGAAGTCACACCCGCCGCAAATTTTGTGATTGCCTCTTCTGCACGATCAGTTCCTTAAGCAGCTCTTCCAGAGATGGGCTTATGCATTACCTCTTTGTTGCCATGTATAAAGTCCCTTGTTCCTTTATGTGTGCGTATGTGACATTGGCAATCTGATCGACTTCATGATCGAGTGGGGTACGGTTTTGGAGAGGATCAGAGTCAAGGGAAGTAGGATGAGGTATCAAATCGAAAAGCTTGCCCGTCTCGTCAGGGAATCCCCAAATGCCATTCCCAAAGTGCGACGTCTTAGGCTGAGTGATGTTTCCATCAGACCTTTTGACATCTGGGTCGAGTCCCCAGAGTTTTCTGAACGACGAACAATGAGATGTGGAACCAGGAAAAGACACCAACGGTTATCGCCCTCCTGAATTGATGCCAATGCCTTACGTTGGGATCACCTCCAAGGGACAAGCGTTCTAAACGACAACAACGTTATGACCAGGCACGCGAAATTTAATGAACAATAGAACTGGATCTGTAAGGAACAGATACGAGGAACTAAGAATGAGGACGCGGAATGATGCCGAGAGCGGTGGCAGGGAGGTTCCGCAAGCAAAGAGGACAAGACTTCAGAGGGAGAGTCTAGCTCTCAACAAAAGGGTAGCCAGTGCCCGAGCTAAGTTTAAACGAAGGTCACGATTGGCTGTAATAGACTATCGCGATATGTCGTGTTCTTTACCACGCAACCAGCTAATACGTCAGCACCGGTCAGTCACTGGTACGGCAACTGTTTGTACTCAAAAACTGATTGCGACGAGGCATCGGCGGTCGCCCGTGATACGAAGAGGCACCGAGTCGAGTCGAGGCAAAGTGAGAAACGTGATCGAGCAGAGCTGGACCAGACCGTCTAAGAAGCTTGATTTGGAAATGAGTGGCAGGCTAACGTAATTTCCCACGCCTCTCCAAACAGATATTTGCCCCTGTCTGCTGGTGCACAAAAGAAAGATGTATGCTAGGGGGCTGGCGTCACGCGGGTGTTCCACACGATTGGTCGATAGCTTGGTGTAGGTGGATACCGATCGTCGACAGGGTCAGGGTGCAAAGTCTCTTAATGATCACAACCTATGACCATACTCGAGATCGGATGGACAGAATAAAGCCATGAAGCGTTTAGCACCTCACCGTTTGAAAAGATGGCTACCGAAGGTGTTGCCAATGCTAGTGTCCAGCGCAAGGAGTCCGATAGTACGTATTTGGGTCGCTCAATAGCAACCGTCATGGCATTGTATTTCGTACCAGAAGTTATGATTGCCAACCACTTTTTTGGGGGTACCCGCCTTCAGTGCTTTATTAGAGAAGTCGTCTTTACCGAGGTCCAATGAAAGCCGTGCAGAGATGTAGTCCCATTCGTTGGTATAGATCAGCAGGATTGTGCAAAAAGTCCATGGGTATAATATACAACACATGATCGTTAAACGTATGCTTGTACGCGAGGCGTAAAACCTGCAGTGCAAGCAAGTCCGAAGAGTTCACGAATAATATTCCTTCACGAACCTGCCCCACCTCTCGATTACAGGTTTAACTATAAGATCCCATTCCCTCCCTTCGTATTTTCCTTCGTTTGGTCGACGGAAAGAAAATATTTCCCGGTGAACAACCCCACCTAATCGGATATTGTCAGTGCAAGGGTAATTATACAGAAAAATAAATATCGTACAATCTAGACAGCGATTGGCTCTCTTCACAGCAGAAAGTCCACTAGAAAGGGTGCCTGCTGCAGAAGGCGATTGCTTGGAATTGTTTGTTTTCGGCCACTCAGATTCTAAGTATGGCGCATAGAGTGACAAATCTGCAAGTTCTATGTGGACAAGGCGCTCCAGACGGTGACAAAGGGGGCCAGGATCTCCTGCCTTCATTTGGCCCCTGAGCAGGCTCTCGTTTGTCCCGTTGTCGGAATCGGGTTCAACGGTGCCAGGCCACCACCCGCGCAAGACCTGTTCTCTAGATCCGCATTGCTTATCCCACTGATCAAGACGCTTCTTGAGATTGACAGTTCTGCCGACCTTTAACTGGATGAGGTGTGCGTCAGAAGGGTCTGAGCGTCGACGAATACGTCGTCAACACTAGCGCGGCCCAGGAAAAATGAACAATACCTCGAATTTCAAAGGTATATATGTAACCCGGACGATCAGATTTAGAGGGAGCCCTTGCCATCTCTTCTTTAAGTGCCAACTGGGTATCCACTCTCAGATACTCAGGCACATAATCTAAAAAATGATGGTCTACGTGGATATTTGGAACGGACCACAGAAGGTACGAATCTTACCTTTAAATTCAACATATCTATCTGCATGACCGGTTCTTGTGACATAAAATCCGGTCTCTTTCATATTTCGGTGTTGATGACAATACGCAGCGGGTATAGGATCCAAAATTGCATGTGTAGGGGGCAACTTAACGGTCCGTGAGCATTGTTTGTTAGACTTGGTTGTAGCGCCGCACTGGACAGTAACCTGGCCAGAGGGAGACGTGGATGCAGAGGATGAAATTGATGTTGTGTGGGGTCTGGTCGGAGTCACAACGAATGTTGGTCGAGAGAAGTCATCTGCAGCTGATGGTATAGCAGGCGCGCTCTTTGCGCCGTGCGTGCGAGGGGTATCAGGATTGGATTGCAGTGAGTACACGGTAGATACAACAGGCGCATCAAGCTTAGGTCGCGGTGGAGTTGCAAAAGGTAGTCTCTTTGGGTCATGCGAGGCAGGGATATCAGGTTTAAATTGCGGTGAATATACGGTAGATACAGCAGGTGCATCATGCTTGGGTTGCAAGTGAGTCGCGAAAGGTAGTGTCTGTGGGGGCTGTAGCGTTGCCTTCGGCTGATTCTGAGAATCTATCATCTGCAGTGCATGTTGCATCGTCCGTGACCGCTGTTCTGTCTGAGGACGCGGCCTAGGCATGGGCCCTGGGGTATTTGGGTATGGCGAAGATGGACGACGGACGCTATCCATCACCTTGTTCACCGCGTGTAGAACCGGTTCAAAGCTCCCAATCAACCTTTTCTTGGACTTGCCATCCGAGAACCATCGACTGCGGTGTTTCTGGTCGTCGCCATAGTCTGCCGTCGCCGAAAGGTTAAGTGCAGGGACATTTTCGCTCAGAGCACGACTGCTCGACAGAGGTGCATCGGTAAGTATTTTTCCTGGTCCTTTGTCTGACTTCTCGGCCAGTGCAAGGGCATTGAAGGACTCGACGAGATCACGGTTTCGGGATGGTTTTGAAGACTGGTGTGGGTGGTTCATTGACGAATTCCTACACAGGGAAAGTACGAATGCGAGCCAGCCGGGATGGCTGCGCCTTATATCCCGTGCGGACCTCGTGGTGGTAGCCAATTGTAGTATGTACTACTTTGTCTCGAGGAGCGTCGAATCATATCGCCTCGAGCCCGAACACCGCCATATTGGGTGGGAGTTTCAAGAAGTCGAAATTACGTGTCAGTAGCATCCGAACGCGTGTTTCTTTTGTTTCCCCATACTACATACGACGGCGACCACAAAATCGTCGATATCTCATACATACGGTGAGTATATCGCAGCCACTATCTAAATGAACTGTACTTTGGAAGATGAAACGCACTGGGCTCTGACAGTTTGTTGATGTCACTGCATTACGCTCCTACGAGAGCGGCGGCCTAGAAAACCGTTAACTGACTCGTTCTCTTAAACCCCTCGCTGCATTGCTTAGCACAGCTAACATCGCAATTATTATCCTACTTATTGCAGTGCGAACGTCTCCAGATACCGTGCCCTTGTAGGCTGTCCTGCCTGAGCGTGGGAAGTCAAATCCACTGCAAAATTTTGTGATTGTGGCGATACAGATACAGACACTTCACGGCTCCATAATCAGTACCTGGAGTAGCTCCGATATGGCTGATATCCAACATGTTTGCTCGGCTTTGGACGAGATGACTACCAGTATGGCGTCGGTCAGGGAGCTTATGCAGTCCCTCAGAGACAAGTACGTCCCTCCTGGTGATATTCGCGTAATGTATGCTCACACCAATCATAGACAAGCTTCTTCAGATGCAGTGAATACGGCAAATGGCATATCTTTGCTATCTTGGAAGCATCATCTGATGTTGTCATATATACAATCCCTCGTTCTTTTGTGTGCTCGTCGAGCCGTAGGGGATTCCATGGAAGACAGGACACCACCGTCCAACCCTTTTAGTACCACTGACCGCAGTTCGCGCGGATCTGGCATTGGCGATCTGGTGGACTCCATGATCGAAGGGCGTGTGGTCTTGGAAAAGATTAAAGTTATGGAGAGCAGGATGAGGTATCAAATTGAAAAACTTGTCCGCCTCGCGGAAGAATCTTCGAAAGCCGTTACCGAAGGTGCGTTTAGGAGGCGGCAGGTCGTGATGCCTCGAGCTGAGTGATACTCTACCAGATCCTTTGGCGTTTCGGCCGAATCCCCAGAATTTTGTGAACAACGAACAATCAGATGGAGAATCAGGAGAAGACGCCGACGAAAAATCACGAGAGGATGGTATATACCGTCCTCCCAAATTGGTGCCAATGCCTTACGTCGAAACCTCCTCGGACAAGCGTTCTAAACGACAACCGATCCCAAAAACGTTATCATCTCTTATACACCAGGACCCCTCGCGCCCTCATATGGAGTCCACATCTGGCTTGGGTTTCACACCAGCTCTAGCCTCGGACCGGGCACGCGAAATTCAACGAATGACAGAATTTGAAGAGGATAACTTCACCCGTTTAATGATGAAGAAAAAAGATGCACGTCGGCGAAAGCGCGACGAGGAAGACCTGGCGCTGGGTGGATCCGGCACGAGCAGGGGGAGGCGTCGTGGTCGCGGCCTCGAGGATGAATTTGGGGATATCCTGCACTCTGTTAGTCGAACCAAAACCGGATCCGTAGGCGACGGATACGAGGAACTAAGACAGAGAGGGAAGAAATCCGACGCACTCGCCCGCTCAAGAATGAGGACGCGGGATGATGTCGAGAGCGATGGCGAGCACGTTCCGCAAGCAAAGAGGACGAGGTTTGAGAGGGAGAGACGAACTCTCAACAAGAAGATACGAGCTAAATCTAAACAAAGGTCGTGATTGGCTACGTAGTAGTATTATCGCATCGCGTCGTGCCACTGCCAGTGTGTCCACTGTTCTTTACATACTATGCAATCGACTAGGCCAGTCACCGGTAAGACCGCTGCTGTCATCACCCGCAAACGCATTGCGACGACATCGGTGGTCGCTCGTGACGCGAAAAAACGCAGAGTCGAGGTGAAGTAAGAATAGCTAGTATCATCGCATATGTCCTGTGAATCTGCATTGACCTCTTGGCTGGTGAAGGTCGACGACTACTGTGACTTCTTTAAAGCTCATAGATGACGGTGACACGTCGGATTTGATTCGTGCTCTGGAATGTCTTGAGCAGGATACCTTGGGTGAATCGTGGAGGAAAGCTCTGCGGGCAGAGTTCTCGAAACCATATTTCCTCAAGGTGCGAGTCTTGCAATCACGATTGTCTGAACATATGGATCCCACCAAATCTCGCCGTCTAGCTTAAGGATTTTCTGATCTCCGAACACAAATCTCATGTGGTATACCCACCAAGTGAGGGCTGATTTCCACGTGGCTCCACTGTCATCTTGATTATCGTAGTCAAGGACATATACTCGTGGTCAAGATTGACACCCCTGGAATCCGTCAAAGTCGTCGTCCTGGGTCAGGTGGGAGATGGCATTCTGCTGTAAGCTTTAACATGCTAACGCCATGCAGGATCCTTACCATAACACCGGCCAGGCACATGGTGGGTATTATTTTACACTCGATCTGGGCAAAGTTACACGGTTTACGTCCTGCATATGTTTAGGATTGTCATTCTCCGTGTTACCCCCCACAAAATTACCAGGTTCTCTCAAGAACATATATAAGCAGCTTTCTGTGGATGTTCCAGCATTCAAACCTCCGCTGATTGGGTAAGGATTGCACCATGACTAATTCTTGCACTATTGAACAAGAACAACACAGAGACTTAACTCCACTCGCTAAAGCAGGTGTTCTTTGGCTAAACACCTGTCTCACCGTTCGTGCCCACACCGCCAACTCGCATTCGAAGAAAGGATGGGAGTCATTTACCGATGCAGTTATAAAAGCGGTCTTGGATAGAGAGGATGACAGAGGGGTCGTGTTCTTTGCTTGGGGTCTACCCGCCCAGAAAACGTGTGAACGGTTGGGCATCGATGAGGTATGAGCTCTGCATCTGAGCACCGTTTGCTGTGCTGAACCACTCTAATTTAGGAAAAACATTTGGTATTGAGGTAGGTGGTTTGCTGCTCCGAGCCGCGAGAGTTGTCAACACATGTGAATTGTTCCGGATAGATCTGCTCATCCCTCTCCATTATCCGCGCACCGTGGATTCCTTGGAAATGGTCACTTCAAGAAAGCCAATGAATGGTTGCGCAAAACAAACGATTCGGAGATTGACTGGACTGGACTGTGTTCTGCAGAACCTCCTGAGCAATAGCTTCCTTATCTTGAACCAGACCTTAGCGCGCATGTTCCACCTCAACTATGCATGTAACCTACATTGTATTAAACTACGTAATATTTATATGTTTATGAGCCTTGTCGTTTTGTAGTCAGCGGTTCCTATTCCAATCGCGTCCGCCGGCAAACCGCGACATGTCTGGGAGACTGTAGAAGTTTGCATTCATGTGCGTGAACTGCTGCTGCTGGTTGAATTTGCTAGGGGACAAGTTTAACTGAGGCGCTGGCGACGGTGCTTGCGTCGGTGGACCGGATGTTTGTGGCTTCGATGGCGATGCAGATGCACCAGCAGACGCCGGAGGTTTGAAGTTCTAGTACAAATCGGTCAGTTTCTAGTTAGTCACTCATAAAGCGCAAAGCGCAGGGACTGACATATTGACGACCTTCGCGATACAGCTCCTCCAATTTCTCATCGAACGCACCCCGTTCTTCCATGTCTTGGTAGGCCTTGTATAACCGAAGTGCAGAGTTGGCGTCTTCGATAGAATCGTGCGTGTCGGTCTGAATGTTCTCTCCCAGTATGTACCACGCCAAATAGCGCAACGACAATCTTCGTTGCCGACTGCTAATGAAATATAGGTCGACAGTGTCGATGACCTGTTCTGGCGGGACATAGATGTCTATGTTTTAAAATAAGGGGGCTGACCACATCAATAGGATCGTGGTTGACTGACTGATAATCCGAAAATCCTTCGATAACCCATGACCGACGAAAATGCACCCCCGATCAACGAGCAAACGCAGCTTTTTGTAAACTAGCTTCAGCGGTGTTAGCGTGAAGGGAGACAAATGGGGGTCCAAATCCCCATCTAAAGCAAGGGATTAGTAGGTCTACCATTAGTCAGGGAGATGCAGAAACTTGCATTTGATCCCAGAAAACTCTGTCAGGTAGTCAACTATAGCCTCACTCGTATGGATATGATCGTCAATGAAGGGTACCCCTTCCTTTGGACCGTCTCCACGTAGTACAGATACGCGTGCCAGACTGAGGCGAGCTGGTCTAAGGACTCGACTAGTCCCGTCAGAACGGTACTCAATCTCCTCCTGTATAGTGTGTCAGCGGGGCTAGGATCGGTGTCCAAGTCGACTTCCCTACCTGTTGCATGGACACAAACTCAGCGTCAATCGCAACCAGTGTTCCAGGTGTAGGAAGCTCCTCAAAGCGAAGGGGCTCGTGTTTGATGAGACTCTTGTCGCGGTTACTAAACTGCGAATGAGAAAAATACAATGAATCGACAGATAAGCCGCCCACATAGATATTGACGTATCCTGGCTTAGTATGGAAGGGTCGAGTTCGTCAGGGAGTCCCCTGAAATCCAACCTGTCCCGTACGTCCGTCCGTTCTAGGTACAAAATGGAAGGTTTCTGTCATGAAATAAGTATGGCAAGTTCATAACAACGATTCAGACGCTCCTTCCAAGTGCTTGGAAAACTAAGAGCTTCCTCTTCGGAAATATTGAGGACAACGAAGTCATTGAACAAATACCATGGGCCCTTCGTGTTCACACTGGTTTCTGCATGATAAACATGCGCTGGTGGAACTAATCACAGTGAATTGAAAGTCAAATGAGTCCTACAGTACTCCACCTTTGATGAGCGCAACCAGATGTGACTGCTTCGTCTTCGTAGTAATTTGGCATACTATTGCCTAGGAAGTTCTTCAACGTGTTAAATAATAGAGACAGCGCCCGGACTAACCCTGAGTTCATATGCGGCAATCTCCGGATCTTCTACCCCATCAATTTCTCCCTGTAGCTCGATTTGCGACTGCAAAAATGACCCATGTCGAGTATCAAACCAGAATTTCATGCTCTCCTCATTGTAAATGGATGTATTGATTGCGAGAATAGGTGGAAGATCTGCGGTGGATATAGAACGTCGGGAAATGAATGTCGCGAATTGCTTGCACGTCTGGCATGTGGCTTTATGGCTCATCTCTCGGATGATAGAACTGCGAATGATATTGGCAAAGTCGGTCAAAATCTGTGGCTCGTTTGGAGACATCTGCGCAACGTCGTTAGGCTAACCAAACACCAAAATATTCGGGAATACCAACTGGCCGGGGGTAAACCATGTCGATGATGTGCGTCATGTTCTCCTTCTCCCGAACTGCCTTGCAGTTCAAACAGGTGACGATGTTCTTTGCGTCAATACCGAGTAATTGTGTGATCGGCGCCGCAGCAGGCGAGTTGGTGTCTGACGAATAAGGGTCACGCTGATATACGACAGGGTTGTGCGGGAACGAATTTCCCTCCACGCTGAGATGATCGACAAAGAACCTATGGAAGGACTGGATCATCTGGTCATATGGCGCTTCCCTGCCATAGTCGATGAGGTCTAACTGGTTGCGGGCTAACAAACAACTTTAATTATACCCGCAAAAAATCACTCAACAACATACCCTGGGCCAGTACACCTATCACCCTGCAGAAATTACTTGCCTGACAGTTTGTCCCGTGGGCGTCCTCAAGCATGCGGACGACAAACCCAAGCTCACAAAGTAAGCAATGCTCTCGCGGACAGTTTGTCGTGGTGTGCGACTTAGCCAAATTCCTGATGGGGTGCGTATAGTGCATCACTTGGAGAATTGGATTCGTGTACGAGTTGAGGATATGTGTTTCCAACCCACTGTAAGACGTTTTGTTGTAGAACCTGCACAATGCTTAGCCCAATCCTATGTGTTACCTATATGCTACGATTCTCACCCGAAGTCGAAGTCTTCTACTCCGAATTTGGAGTACTCGATTTCAACTTTGCGGTACATTCGTGGTACCTCTTCGACACTATCATCAATCGAGAGATTTTCGAGGTCCACCTGCACCATACACCGTAAGGAATAAAGACAGTGCAAATGAAACGTGATACTTACATCGTCCCTCCGACTTTTCCCGCTTCTAAAGCGACCCTGGTCCTTTGTGTTCGTGACCTGAACGCGATTTCGTCGCCCCCGCAATTCCTTCGGTAAAGCGGCGTAGGCTATATTGTCATTGACCTTCATTGTACTTAGGATCTGAGGGGGAATCTTCGGCAGAGGTGGGTAGTGCAAGCCATGTGAGACGAAGCGAGGTGTCCAGGACGACAATAGCAGCGTATTATAGTGAGGCATGCCAATAGAGTTCAGTGGACTACATTTGATTAACTTGGTCAACAAGAAGCCTCCCGCGCCGTATATAAGACCCACGTGGAATCTGTCCAGGTTATGTCGGGCAAAGGTTCGGGGACGTCTGCGTGTTCTATTGGTTGTCCTTCAAAGCCATTAAAATACAGCTCGGAGGACTCGTCTGCAGCTGTTAGGAGATGAATATCACCGGCAGCGTCGCCAAAACCTATGAAGGAACCACTGGAAGACAATGCAACAGATGTGATGTAGGCAGTCGTTTCGAGCTTCCTGGGGTTGTCACGGGTAATTCAGACGAAAAGTAAAACCGTTACCCACTTGGTAAAACCCGCTAATATTGGTAGCATCAGAAACATCGACAACGTTTACAAGGCCTTGAGCGGACGTCACAACCAGGCTGGAGGAATGTTTTGGCACAAGATTGATGAAGGCGGGCCCTTCGGAGAATGGAATGGGAGGCAACGGTCGCATGCTTCGTAGATCATATACCTTGACGAGTGGGTCAGGAAACTCGTGTCCTCGTCTGCACTTCAGTTATTGCTCGGTGATAGTGACAAGACTGGAGAGATTTAAACCTTATACTACGACCAACGGTGAAGAAAAGGTTGCCAGTAACTTGCAAGTCTTGAACGCCACTGCTGTGAGCTTGAACAGATCCTTCTCCATTCTCTCTTCGAATGCCAGTGCGGGGGTCATGAATGCGTACGTAGCCATCAATCGACGCGGACAATAAATTTGAAAGAGAGAATTGAAGGTGTGTAATAACAGAGGATACAGGAGCTTGGCGAACAGTGCTGCCTGTAGAGGTGTTGAGCAGCATCAATTCCGGCATGCTGGAAGCTGTTGCCAATAAATTTGGTGTAAAAGTCGATGGGGACGCCGCTGTAAACGCGGACGTTGGTCTGCAATATCTGGTACGTTAGATTCAGGGGCATGGGTGGCATCGCGACCTACCTGAAATACCACTTGTTCATTCCCCCCTTCGCCCATGAACCGATACCTTCTCCAGCCAAACCAAACGCTCTGACATAGTTATCACCAACAGTAATCTGCCTGACAGCAAGCCCACCGCCAACCGGGAAAGATACGCCTCGTAATCCCTGCACCGTATGGAGTGCGACGACAACCCCGGAGTCAACGCCAGCCCATACACTATCAGAAACTGGATCAAACGAGAGCGCTGTTACCGCTTGAATACCAGCATCGTGCAAGGTTGTGATGGGCTGAACCGGTTGATACAGAACCATCGATCCTAATGCATTTAATTCGGAGCTGCTGCCGCTCGTAATCACTACGGAGCAGTAGGGAGTCACGTGACTCCATCTCTGCTACAATCACATCGCCTCCACGCAGCCCCAGGCTGTCGGTTGGCTCTTGGATTTCTGAACGTTTAGTGAGTTGTCGTCTCATCCATTTGGGCGCCCTCGAATCTCATCGTCGCCTATGGGGTTGCTAATTGCAGCTGTTAGCATTGACGAGTAGTGAGGGCAACCGCCCTAATTACAGGCTGAAGCAGTAACCGGTTTGCTTGCTCAGGTGTTCCACTACCCAACCTTTCCATGGCCGCGCAGCCGAACGTCCCTTACCAAGCCTATAGGGTATGTTTGATTATCCAAGGTTGCTCCTGCTCTGACGTCCTCCGGAGTCTAAGCGCCATTCCCGCACTGTCTCCTTAGTTCCTAATGTGACTCCGCCATCCCTATCCCGGCCTTCAAGCATAGTTAGTAACGGCTCTGTAGGGGTTGTACCCCCTTTTACCCAGCCAGTCGAAGACTTCGAAACGGAGAAAGTTTCCACAGAGTACTCGGCCGTTGTTCCTGTGGTCATGAACAAGACTGCAGTTATACATATTGTACCCTCGACAAAAGAATTACCCTCTTCCCCCTCCTCGAATGACTCTCCCGTTGCAGAATCCTCACAAGATTCTTCGTCAACTAGGCCCCACACTCCAACCGTTGAATCCCCACCGGCAGACAACGTCGATCAGCAAACTAGGTCCACAGCGGTGGATAAAGAAACTGGATTGACATCCTCAGTAGCTTCGCCGTCACCAGCCCTTCCTTCGCTGCCGCCGGCCCAGCCATCACCCGCCAATCAGAAGAAGACCTCAACCTTCCGCCGCATAACCCCTCGCTCAGCCGTAACACGGTCGCCCTTACCCTCATCGCCGCTTGTAACATCTCGACCATCACGGATATCTTCAGCGCAATCCAGTGCCTCTGATCAACCTAATGTCCCTCAGTCTCCTGCCCTTCATAGTCGTGTTGCGTCTATAAGCTCGGTAATGAGTGAGCCACCGATAGCGATTCGGAACTTTGCATCTGCATCAAACCCACATCGGTCTCTGGTGGCTCCGCAGCCGATAGGTCCGCCTACATCCACCTCAATCCGGTCTCCTCCTAGGTCACCATCTCAGCTGCCACCGCCGCAGGCATTACCAAATGCTGCAGGTTCAACGACTCTATCCACACCACCCGTAGTATCGGCCGCCTCATCATCCCAGACGTCCAACTCCACACTCCCCAAAGCCACAAACCGTTTGCTTGCGCCTTACCGACCAGGTTTCCAGCCTAAAGGCGTGTACAGACCACGCACGGATGAATTTATCCTGGCTCGGAAAATTAAGACCGACTCTGGGCGAATAGAGCGTACAAAATTGGAGCGTCGACTGGAGAAATTGATACACTTGCACTTTCCAATTGGCGAAGCGGAGCCAGTGGGTCCTAAACGGATCGCAGAGCAGCGGAGGGCATCGTCTTTCTTTGACCTTGATATATCCAATATCAAGAACATGGATACTGCAGAAATCTGGAAGGGCGTGTTAAAGTCGCAGGTATTTCAAGGCGCTAAAGGTGATATTCGAGGTATGGATAGTACCTTGCTATGACCTTGCGCATTTTCACGTTTATCCATAGCCGCTGAACAGAGGATCACTCCGTGGCAGGAGGATTCTGCAGTTTCAAAATGCCCGTTTTGCCAGTAGGTCCTTGACTCATGTCTTGAGTGTCTGTACTTCATCCCCTGTAGTGCCTCTTTTCATCCGCTAACAAATCGGAAGCACCACTGCCGCTTGTGTGGTCAGATCATATGTTCGTTGCCGACTAAGCGACCCCAGAGACCAGAGACCTGCTCTATCTTGTTTATCGTGGATTCGAGAACGCGCCAGATAGAAGAAGTCGGTGAAGGGGTCGATTATGGTGTTCGTAAGAGACGAAGTATAGATCCCAATCGCAAAGGAAAGCAAGAGGACGCTCTTTCAGAAGATGAAAAGTTCTTGAAAGGCGTTCGAATATGCAGGAATTGCAAGCCGATCCTTGCGTGAGCCTATTCCTATCTCGTTATCTATACTACCTCATGCGCGTGATGTGAAGGCGAGAGAGATGTCGTCAAGATGTCATCCACGTACCAATCTTCGTCAGACTGTATGAAGTAAGTTCACATCGTTCTGTGTTGATGGGTTATTCACGTCATACCCAGGCTTTCGTTAGTTTGGAGAAGGAAATTGAAGAGTGGCTGCCTCAGTTTCAGGAACTCTTATCGACTCTCAGGTATTCAAATATCGTTATCTTGTGATCGAATGCTTAGGACTGTACAGCAACGATAGCCAACCCACCAAAGAAGCATCCGCTGCACGGAAGCGACTGTTGGATGCTTTTGCCGAATATGACGCACTATCCAAACGTATCCGCAACCTCCCGTGTCCCCCCGGGAGTTCACAAGATCGAGTTCAGCTCGCCATCTTGACACGCGCCAACATCTTTTTGCAGAAGAACATGTTCCCACTTCAGGTACGGTGTCATCTTCAATTTCCCTCCATAGTTCACTTATACGGTCGTTCGATGATCTCCCTTGCTTGGCAATCTATTAGTTCATTCCCAAGCCAAAGAAGGGTGGTGTATCAAACCCTCAACCCTCTGAGGGTCCATCCGTTCTAGACCCGGACTCGGAATTGGCCTACGCTCTTCAGCCGCTGCTTGAACAAGAAGCACTACTGGAATCGTTTGTTGGTGAGGCGATGGCACATAGGAAATTCGAGGACGCAAAGACCCTTAAGGCCAACCTGGCCGAGATAAGGTTAGAGATAGATAGAATGCTCTCAGGTGGGACTTCATAGGCATCATATCGGTCGTGTGCTTCTCTAACTTGGATATATACACTCATTATCGTCAACATCCTGTTAATCCGATGCAATACGTATGCTACTAACTCAGCGACAGATATGAGAACATGCTAGATGACGCTTATGCGGATGGGTAATGTAGAGAGTCGTTCAAAAAAGTCAATGTCGGTAGTAATCGGTGAGATATTATTTAAACGGAACAGTTCGTTAGTGCACAAAAGGACAGGCTCAGCCTTCATCCTTAGTTACATCTTTGATGCCGACAGCATGCCGGGGAGGAAGAGTGATGGTGAAGGTCTGATTAGGAAGAGCGCTCCGAGGCAGTTCGCGCATGGGCAGTGTAGATAGTTTCAACATTCTGGGTTGTTGTGCACTGCGACTGCGCGAGAGGCTGGCACCAAGCTTGTTGTCATCTAGGTGACTAGCAAGGCTGGGTTGCAAAGCATTCGTCATAGGTGAATAAGGAAGTGGCGTCGTGGACGGTGAAAACGATGAGACATGAAGGAGCATCAGGAACTCTTGCGTCGAGTTGGTCAACAAGACCATCTTGTCACGAAGATCCGGGAACAACGCGTGGGAACAGCCGTGGGCCTTAATTATGCCCGAGAGCTTGACCACAATCTACACGAGGCACGTTAGTAGAGCCAAGAAAGACAAAATTGACAAGGCGCAGTCACCTTCACAAACACGTGTGCATCTTCACGCAGCGCCTTCCTATCGGATGCTGGATCTCCACAGCGTGTCGCGTGAAGATTTGTTCGTAAGCGTTCCGTTACGATTTTGGCTCGTGCAAGGGCATCATCTAAATCTTGGCTGGCGGCGGGAGGCTCTGATCCACTTGTTACAAATTCTTTCATCATCTCCCACACCGCAGGCGCAGCGTCCACAGCTCTCTCCATTGCATCCAACGCATCCTCATCAACCAATGTCCTCGACTGAGGAATGTCCAGGGTAGGTCTCCTAGGAGGTGCGTGAGTCAAAAACGCCGAGGACGAAGCCACGAGCGATGCTTGAGACCCCTGCCGAGAGTGGTGAGCGTCTCCGTTTCGACCCAACGAACCCAAGGCAGGACTCGATGGCGCAAAGGTACTCGACATCGTCGTTGGCAGAGGTGGGATGCTAGACGTCGACGCTGACAAGGGCATCGCAGGCCGCCGTTGTCCATTTCGCAAAGTTATCGGTGGCGCGCTACTCGATAAGGCGACTGGCGGTGGTGGCATGTCATAAGACGCCAGTGACTTTCCGATCTCCACATCCTTGGAACTGAATGAACCGGCATGCCGCCGAGTCGTACGAGTCCTCCCCAAACCTTTTGACTGCGCTGGTCGCGATCGTGCAAGTGGGACAGGAAATGGCATGTGTAACGCAGGTGCGGACGCCGGAGGGACATCGGGGGTGGACAAGCCAGTCGCCGCTCCGAAATGAGCCTTGATGGCAGGTGCTTTCCTATGGTCGATCAAATGCGGCTTAACAGCTTCGGCGTACGGAACCATAGTTTGCCATGCATGTGAAATTTCCGCAACAGCCCCGTAGAACGTCAAAATCAACGAACGCATATAACGATCGTCGTCTTTGGAGGCAAGTATTTTCAGTTGTAACGCTAGCATCGCCATCGCCTTGCCAAAGACTGCAGCAGTGTCCCTACAGCTCTCAACCAATGAGGTACACAGAGACGCAGGAGGCATAGTCTTCTTCCCCATCGCATCGAAGCGTTCCAGGGCTGCATTCAACTGCATCATGTAAGTATATGCTGGATCTGTCACCTTTCTGAGCACAGATGATAATTGCGAGTCGAGAGTGTGCGTAACATAATGGGAAAGCGCCTGGTATACCTGAGATACGGCGAAGAACAATGATCTCGCGCATTCGACCAGGGACAGCAGAGAAGCTGGGAGATTACTGGAGATAGCATTGGAAGGGAGCGCAGAGAGGCGTTTGAAGTAAGCATGACGCTCAGAATCAGGGACTGGCCGAGGTCGATCCACAAAAGTAGGTGATCCTGTTGATGGTGGGGTACCGCCAACCTTTGGAAGTCTGGTAGATGCATCGGATGACGACGACGAGTCCTGTCTATGAGAAAGAGGGGAGGGGAATGAAGCATCCACCTTCGCCGTATCCTTCACCTTGGAGCCAGCCGTATTTCGAATGGACTCTGACAAAGTTACAGATGGTTGGTCCCCAATTCCACGCACGCCAAGCGGTGACCGTATGTCTGGAAGGCTCTTTTTACCAACGATCGCGGGACGACGGTCACAGTGGCCACCAGAGGAGAAGCTCTTCCCGTTCTGATGGGATCCCTCTAGGACAGCGGTATGATCATCGTCAGTAGAAGACACTGATTCGTCAGGCGTAGGAAGGTAACTTTCGGGAGAACTTGGGTGTAAAGGACCTTCATATGAAGCCAACGAACCCAATTGCAAAGGCGGCGGTCTCTCAAAGCGCGTATTGGCTACGTTCTTGGATGACTCGGTCAGAAGCGGAAACTGTATATCAACCGAGACTGATCGAGCGTGTGAGGTCGAACCTGAACCGGCATCTATCTCGCCTAGTTGTGACCATGACTGTATACTGTCGTCACTATGGAAGGTTTGGCCGTATTCGTGGCAGCGTAATTATGGAGATTACTCACATGGACTGATTCAATACAGCACACTCGCTCTTCACCGAGTCTACGCTGGGTTTTCTGTTATTTGGCTGAGGACGGGAATCTTTATCTTCCCTCAACCACTTCTGCAGTGAGAGGATCCACTCCTTCGCGGCTCGAGGATCACTCAAGGAACCACAGGCTTCTATAATTGCCTTTGGAGGCCATTCTATCGGATTATGGTCGACTTTCAGCATGTCGAGCTTGGTGAATTCTGTAAGGTATCCCGGTAGGCGGGTTATCCTGTTTCGCGATATACATAGTACCTGCACCGAAAGGTGTTGTTTCAATGATTGTGCCACAGAGGCAGGTTGGAACGTACGTGCAGATCCACCAGTGAACCTGGCTGTGTTGGGAATCGTTTGATTTTGTTGCGACTGATGTCCAAAATCTCCAAGGATTGCATCACAGTCAACTACAGCTGTCCAGTCAGAAGATCCCGATTCAGTGGCTGTATGAAACGTATGGCACATACGATATCGGGAATCGACGAGAAGTTATTGTTCTTCAGATTCAGGTATCTGAGACGCGACAAAATCCCAAAGGCGGTGGGCAGGGTTGTGAGTCGATTATACCCTAGTGTAATTCTACAGGGCGACATAGTTGTTGGTTTAGCCAGAAGGCGACGCGCCAAGTACGGACACACCTAGATATCGAACTGTCTTCTGGCAGGGACTGGTTCCCGCCAGCACACGCGAGATATTGAACACCATCTTCTCCAACGTCCGTGAGACTTTTGTGAGTGAAATCCAAGGTTGCGCCATTGTCGGGAGACTGCTGGATGGCTTCCGAGACGTGTTCGTCCGTTAGGGAAACTGAGGGCGGAGGCGATAAGACGACATTCTTGCTGCCGCTCGGAAATGGAGACGTGCGCCCAGCTACACGGTCAACGTCGGAGATGGTCATGTCATGAACAGTGAAGATGGTGAATGTCGACGGCTGAACTGTTGAAGACGTCGAGTGGGCTTGAGTTGTCAACAAACCCGAACGCGGCAAGTTGACTATGTGGTTGGATTCGGTTACAACAGCCGCTGGCAAGTCATGTGTGCGCTAACTTGAAAAAGTTCCACATGGCTGTGTGCTTCATTCACGCTTTCGAAACATCTGTTTACAATAACCACTGCCATTGCGAGAGAGCCACAGGAATGTAGTCGATACTCTTATGGGAGAAACTGTTGTTCCTCTTTATTTTTAACATTGGACACACGATCCAGACCTAAAACCACATCGAGACAGAAAAACTGACATCTTCACTCCGCATAGCGTGCCACCAGCCTGGAGGGAAGAATAACAGATCACCAGCTTCAAGCGTCACGCTAAGAGCCTCCTCTGGTACCGTGTTCCAGAATGCAGGGTATTTATTCCTGGATGCTTCTTGGACCTCTTTGGAAACAGGAAACACGTCCACCCGGGAGGTATTGCTCATGAGTGGTTCCGTGCTATTAGCGGCGGGGTGGTGTGTTTCGTCTGTGCCTGCCAACGACGGTCCGTAAGAATACATTAAGGGTGTAATTTCAGGTGGCGCAAGCCAGACGGTCTTCCGACCAACCACTTGTGCTAGCGTGAGAGCGAGGTGCGTCAGATACGGTATCGTACTTGTTCCAGCGCCTCACCATAACAATTGAAAAATGGATCCTGTCAGGTAAGCTATCAGCATCAGGCTACGTGTCGAGGGGAACAACAATTCACGGTGTGAGCCGGTGAAATCGTGCCCTTGGGGCCAAACCAGGCGTTGATAACAAGTTGATCCTCGTTCGATGGAGGTCTGTAGTTTGGATATGATGCAGAGGGTCCAGGAGACATATAAACATAATCAGGGATTGCGATATCTTCTCTTAGAGCAGGGAACTGCCTCAGGAGATTGTGTTGAGCGAGATAGAAAGTTAGCGAAGGGTCTTGCGACCGGCCCGAATGCGTCAATGTAGACAGAAACACATCCCAGTCAAGAAGCTCCTGCATCCAATCATCCGATCTGTAGTCGTCGCCTACCTCCATGGGAACAATTCGGCCGGGACCAGCCATGGAGGAAAGGTAATCGATGGAGATCCAATGTTTTACTGCGGGCCAGTCGGAGACAAATCCCTTCAGCACAAACGGAGATCTGGACCAGGTCGTCTGAAATGCGGTAAGAGAGGGGGGTGAGATGCAGGGTACATTTCCAAGTGAGGTTGATAGCTTTGGCACGACCTCTCGGCCAGCCGAAAACTCGCCGCGCTCTAGTTCATGGTCTTGCCAATGCGTGTGTGATTGAATCCACCGGATCATGTCCAGAATCAGTCCAAAGCTGGCATCACCAGGAGCGCCCGCCAAGATAATTGCACGGTCTAGCATCATGATACTGGTCCTTGCGACAGCTTCGAGCAGCACTGAGTCGGATAGCCTAAGTAGGACTCCCACGACAGATGCATCTGTATACAACTTGCGCCAAAAAAGGGATGCCTTGCAACCAGGAGAAGACATTCGGTTATATGCCTGGTCGATGACGCGGTTCATAAGGGCTATGAGGCTAGTAAGATCGAGGTCAGCTTGTCCACTCAATCTATCAACTATGTCACGCGGTATCCGGCTGAGTTCTATATCACTCTCCGATAGTTCTGTTGGAAAGCCACATCATTCAACGGCTACGATTGCAAAGTAGCGACGCTCGCTTACCCATAGTAGGACGTGCTTCGTGATCGCCTAGCTGCGCAGGTAGACGGCCGAGAAATTCATCCGCAAAGGCACCGTTTCCTATGGCCTCCATTGCGGCTAAAGCAAATGATAGTGCAACTATGCACCAAAGCCACAGACTCGACTAGTGTGTCAGTCTGAGACGATGGATGATGATGGAACACATACCACTGATGAGCAGGGAGCGTGGGAAGCTCGCAGGTGTGACGGTGACGGTGACACAATCGTGACAGTCAGCATTTTCAGGTCACGCACTGCTCAACATAAAAAGAGGAATGCGAACGAACCACCCGTGAGAAAAGTGCCCCAGGACGATCATTTCTTCCCAAAACCTAACTCGTTTTGCACCCGGCCCGGGCCGGAGGCGTTGACTGCATTCCTTTTTAAGACATGACATCCCGGTGCGTGTGCCCTCCTCTTCGCGAAGATGACAGCCCGTGACAACATAAAATAGATTGGATAGACTTCTTCTTCTCCTCGATACGGGCTCATCGCTGTCCGTGAGGAACACAGCAGCGAAGCAGCTCGCTCAGTTAGCTGCCAAGAGCGTAATCAGTGACCTCCCCGTAGAAGACGATATCAAGTCATCCAGCCGGCTGCACACCACTGTCGGTGACAGTTCAGCATGGTCGGAACTCCTGGCCGTAGTAGCACGAGTATGTCTGTGGCGCTCAATAGTCACAGAAGCGTTTAATATTTTTGGCAGATACTACCGTATCTGCGTTCGAAGAGCCACGATACCAGGACGGCTGCTTCAAACGCACTTTCGCAAATATTTTCCTTGGTACCTGTATGGCGACCACAGGACGAAGATGTAAAACCTCCACCAGATCTTCCAGCCGACCCTCCAGAATTTCCTACCTTTTCGGTACAAGAACTAATGCAAAAGGGTGCCTTACTCCTGGCATCATCTGGCAAAGAGTTTGCAAAGCCCTTCAAGCTATTGTCCAACCCAGCTGAGGTACAACGCGCACGCAGAGAAGCAATGGGCAGGCTTGGTTTAGATTTCCTTGATAGTGTGGGTGCTGCAGACGACATGGACCTAGACAAGGAGCTCGCGGCCGACGCAGAGTCGGAAACTGTTGGTGACCTATGAACCTTCAAAAAACGAATCACCTATAGCAGAGTCACCCATGAACGCTGATTTTGTCAGCAAGGAGCCCTCTCCTCCCGCTAGGTCTCATTCAAATTCTCCTGCCGTGCCTTCACCCATAACACCTTCAACACCAGCGAATGGCAGCGATCTGGAAGGTCTTTCCGCTCGAGAGCGCAACCGGTTGAAGCGCAAGCGTAAAGCTGGGAATTCTGCTTTTGTAACAGCTCCGCCGCCTACGAACGTCGGAACACGTTATACCACCGCTCCCGCAGGGTCTTCTAGCAAGTATGGAGGTTTACCTTTTAACTTTTGTTTGATTAAGTCTGGTGTTTAGGGCACGGTTGCTGTCTGCAGAAGCTTCAGACATGCAAAAGTCACGTTTGGATAGTTCCTAATCCAGCGACTAAAGGTTCCGCGCCAGACACAGTTAGTCATTGACCCTTCCAAGGGCGGTGCGGTGTCGCCGAAATCAGCGCAGCAATCCCATGCACTGGAGGTAGCATCGGGTTGTTGGGTGTGGGGTGGGATCGTTTCCGTTCTAGAAATAGATATTTTTTCACCTGCATGGGAGACTCGGCACGGCGCTGCCATGGCGCTCCGTGAGCTTCTGAAAACCCAAGGGACATCTGGGGGGATGAAAGGTTTGTTTTGATTTTTTTGTTCTTGTTGTTGACCTCTGAGAAAAATGCAGATCATGTTTCCGTGGAAGAGAATGCGCGAGCTCACGAAGAATGGTGCAACCACCTTGCTGCCAAGCTGCTCTGCGTCTTTGTTCTGGACCGCTTCGGCGATTTCGTCTCGGATCAGGCATGTGTCTCATCTCTTCTTAGCAGATTGTGTCTGAATGGAGTTCAGGTAGTTGCCCCTGTCCGCGAAACTGTTTCGCAAACACTTGCTTCTCTGCTACTTCATATGCCTCTACGCTCCGTGGTGCATGTCCACTCTATTTTGCTGCAGATGATAAGGCAAGATTTTCCACTTCCGTCCAAGGCCAAGACAGGAAAGGTAGATGAAAGGAACCATGTGTGGGAGGTGCGCCACGCGGGTCTCTTGGGGATCAAGTATGAAGTCGCGGTTAGGAGCGATTTGTTCGGTGCCCCCGAGAGCGAAGGCGAGCTTGACGTCGGAAAGTCCATCTTGCAAGGCGTCGTAGATGCAGCGGTACTTGGGTAATACTTTTTCTTCCGCTCCTTTTTCTCGGATAACTGAACGGGCACACTAGTCTCGGGGACCGAGACGACGATGTTCGCGCTGTTGCCGCAACGTGTTTACTCCCTGTCGCGGGCCGCTTGGTGGAGCGTTTCCCCGAATCACTAGATCGCGTTTTGGCTGTCCTCTGGAATTGCTTGCGAGATATGAAGGATGACCTCAGTTCCAGTGTAGGTGCCGTTATGGAGCTACTCGGTGAGTTTGAATCGGGTCGACCGTGGTGCGTGTTCTAAGGTGTGGCAGGCAAACTCGTCACTTACAACAAGGTTACCGATATCCTTGCCAATCCCGACCTGTCGTATGTTAAACATTCAACGAATCTCCCTTGCCTGCAGCTCACCTGTCGCTTAGTCTCCCTTTAATAGAACTCGCCCCTATGTTGTTCCCGTTCTTCCGGCACACAATACCAAACGTCCGCCTGGCAGTTGTCCAGACCCTTTTGTCGTTCATGACTGTGCCCTCCCTTCCTCGAGATTGGGTATCAACATTCTTCTTGCGTCTGCTATTCCAAAATCTAATTGTCGAGGAACGCGCCGACATACGTGCCGCATCCCTGGCGGCCTGGCGGACAGCAATGGAGGTCATCTCTAGCGATCAGGACCTAATAAAACGAATTGTGCAGCAGCAAACAGTTCTCGACTGGTATGCAGTCATGATGACACCACTCGGTGTTCCCATTGACAGTTCGACATTTTACCGACCAACCTTCGGCGATGATGGGCCTGGCGATACCACAGAAAGGCATAATGTGGACAGGAATATTTTGGCGCAAGACCTAGCTCTGATTTCTCCCGAAGTCAACCTTCAGGCCCGCGTCGCAGCAGCGACCGCACTAGCACTCCTGATTGCCTATTGGCCTCCCTCAGTAAGTTTTTTATTTGCGAGCCACCGCAACCCAAAGCTCACTACCATGGTATGTAGTCAGTCGATGAGCTCTTTCAGCCTATTCTTGTGCACTACATGGATTCAACAAGTATGCTACAAAAGTTTCTGGCTGCAATCGTTTCCGAGGAATGGGCTCGGGCTTATGAGGATTCCGACTCGACTATCCCCATCTTGGATCGCTATCCGCTTGCGGCGGAGCTCAGTTCTAGATCCCTCGCATTTTTACAGGCAGAGCCACCCATCGCGTACCACGAGATGGCATTTACCCTCCACCGCATTCACACTGAGTGTTACTCACTTCTTCACTGTTTCGCTAGCGATTGCAAAATACCTATATCCCTTATACCGCATCTGGGGAACGAAATCGACGTCACTGGCACCAGAGCGGACTGCTTCACGATCGAGACCGCCCAGCAGGCTGTGGGTCCGATGTACACGAAGCTCAAAGACAGTCTGGGTAGAACCAAGAAGCGTGAACTGGCAGCCATCGCAGAAAAGAGACAGAAGGTGGCTCAGAACATTGATCATTATGCGGAAATCAAAGCCCAGCATGATACTCGCGTCTCCGCCGCGCTTGCTGCTGCGTTCGTAGCCTTTAGAAGTGCTCCAGATAAAGTCAGCCCGGTTGTAAAGGGAATCATGAATGGCATCAAGGCAAGCCTATAGTATCCTTGGTGGTTACTTCGTCGCCTTATTGATTTTGCCTAGAACGAGGAAAATTTGGATCTGCAGACCCGCTCCGCTGTCGCTGTCGCCAACTTTATTGACTTCTGTGTGCAACACGATATCTCCCAGCCTCCCGACAAAATCGTCAAGAATCTATGCACATTCCTATGCCAAGATGTGGACCAAACGCCGACTTTCGCGTACTCGCAGACAACACTGAAAGGCATCCTCTCTTTGCAATTGTGGTCGAAAGCTGCTGCTAGTAAGAGCGTGAAGGATGTTCAAGACAAGGACAAGGAAAAGGGCGAGGCTTCGAAGTCAGAAGGGGAGGCTGCGAGGGCAAAGTTGTCTCGAAGAGGAGCTGGCCTTGCCTTCCAGAAGTTGTCTGCAAAGTTCGGTTCGCGACTGCTGGATGTCATCCCCAAGATGTGGCAATCCATGGCTGGTGGATTGTTGAGCGCATGTAGTGCAGGTACGAGGTGATCGGTACGCCTATTGTATACACTAATGCGATTGCATTTAGAATCACCCCAAGAAGCAGACGCTCTCATGGAAAAGCAATATGGTCAAGATGTCATCGATTCCCTGAGCGTCCTCGGGGCTGTTGTGCCGACCTTGCATTCTGACCTTCGACCTCGGGTTTTGGAGTTGTTTCCAGCCATGACAATAGCTCTGCGAAGTCGGTATGCCATTATCCGCCAATCTGCTGCACGTTGTTTCGCGACAATCTGCGACGTCATGACCACCGATGCCATGCGATACGTGGTCGAGAATTTCATCCCCCTTATGGGAGATGCGGTTATGTTGTCAAACCGACAGGGCATTGCCGAAGCTGTCTACCGTGAGTAGATACAGGCGTCTCCAGCGGTTATCTGCTGAAGCTGCTACTAGATATTGTCCAGAAGCTGGATATGAAGACTCTTCCATATGTTCTCTTCCTCATCGTCCCAGTGCTTGGTAGAATGAGTGATCCAGATGATGATATACGATCAACCGCGACCAACACCTTTGCTTCGCTGGTTAAGATGGTACCACTAGAGGTAAGTTTCCCGAGTGAAAATACCCCTTTCGGCTATCTGAGCATATCCGCTAGGCTGGTTTGCCAGATCCGCCAGGTTTTTCCGAGGAACTCCTGAAGCGACGTGAAGAAGAACGGAAGTTCCTCACCCAACTTCTAGACGGCAGCAAAGTGGAGCCGTATACGGTTCCTGTACCCATCAAAGCGGAACTTCGCAAATACCAGCAAGATGGCGTGAATTGGTTGGCGTTCCTGGCCAAGTATCAATTACATGGTATACTCTGTGATGGTAAGAACTTCTCGTGAGTATGTGCCTCAGGAACGCTTCGCGCTGACGCGCCACAGATATGGGTCTCGGTAAGACCCTTCAATCAATTTGTATATTGGCCGGCAAACACGCGGAACGTGCGAAGAGACACGAAGAGACCAAATCGGCTGATTCCGTCCACCTGCCGTCCCTAATCATATGCCCACCTACATTGACTGGCCACTGGTACTATGAAATATTGAAGTACACCGAAAATCTTCGTCCCATCCTCTATATTGGCAGTTCGAAGGATCGTGCGAAGATCGTATCGAAGATCTCCACTACGGACGTCGTCATTACCTCGTACGAAGTCGTCCGCAATGACATCTCCAGCCTGGAAGACATAAATTGGCTATACTGCGTCCTCGATGAAGGACACGTTATCAGGAATGCTAAAACAAAATTGACGAAGGCGGTAAAAGCCATACAGGCGCAGCATCGCTTGATTTTATCGGGCACTCCAATACAAAATAATGTCCTTGAATTATGGAGTCTATTCGATTTTTTGATGCCAGGGTTCTTGGGCACGGAAACCTCGTTCAACGAGAGATTCAGCAAGCCGATTCTATCAAATCGTGACGGAAAGGCGAAGTCTGGCGAAGCTGGTGAGCCCCTGTCCAGCAGTGGCTTTAGTTTAGTGCTCACACATTGCCCCAGCTGCGTTGGCACTCGAGGCACTCCACAAACAAGTCTTACCATTCCTGCTCCGTCGTCTAAAGGAGGACGTACTCAATGATCTACCGCCGAAAATTATTCAAGACTACTATTGCGAGTTGTCCGAGGTCCAAAAGACACTTTACGACGACTTCTCCAAGTCACAGGCGAAAGTTGAAGCAGAGGGCGTGATCCGTTCCAAATCCACCGGGACGGCTAAGGAGGGTGCCCAGCAACATGTCTTCCAGTCACTTCAGTACCTCCGAAAGCTTTGCAACCATCCTTCACTGGTCACGGGAACGAATGCGGATGCCGTGACGGCGGCTCTGGCCAAGGCACGATGCAAAGTTGAGAACCTCAGTGATATCCAACACGCGCCAAAACTGCAGGCTTTGCGGTATGACTTATTCTGTATTCACTGTCGCCTAACCCTAATGTTTTTTTCTAGCCAATTGCTGATTGACTGTGGCATTGGAGGAGGCCTTCCTGTTTCCTCCGACGCGGGGAAGACGGATGCTTTGGAAGGCGTTACAGAAACGAGTGGTGCATTTTCTCAACATCGAGCTCTGATCTTTTGCCAAATGAAACAAATGCTGGACATAATCGAAAACGACCTGTTCAAGCACCATATGCCGTCCGTGACCTATATGCGACTCGATGGCAGCACCGATCCTAACAAGCGACATGCTATCGTTCAAACCTTCAATGCAGACCCTAGCATCGACTGCCTTCTGCTGACAACACATGTCGGTGGTTTGGGCTTGACATTAACGGGAGCCGACACGGTCATTTTCGTGGAGCACGATTGGAATCCTATGAAAGATCTGCAGGCCATGGATCGAGCTCATCGCATTGGTCAGAAGAAAGTTGTGAATGTGTACCGCCTAATTACGAAGGGGACCTTGGAAGAAAAGATCATGGGGTACGTGTGAACGATCGTTCTAGGTTGCAGCTGCTGAATGCTCCTGTTACAGCTTACAACGCTTCAAGTTGAATATCGCAAATTCCGTCGTCACCCAACAAAATTCTGGCTTAGGAACGATGGACACCGACCTCGTCCTCGATCTGTTCAGGCGTACTTCCGAGGAAGAGGATGCTGCAGCTGCGGCGAAGAAGGTCAAAGATACATCTGGCCCTGTCAGCCAGAAGAACATTTTACAAGGTCTTGACGACCTTCCTGCCGAAGAAGAGTACGAGGGCTTAGACCTTACAAGTTTCATGGGTTCTCTTGGGATGCAGTAATTGACATTCCATCCGGACAGCTCTCCTTCAGCGCTTTGATATTACAATCTGATACCACATATGTTTGCATCTAGTAGTCAACTGTAACCATACATATCCCGAAGTAATGTGTAAGGTAGACCACTGTACTAGAAGCGAATCTTTTCCCCAGCTCCTAAAAGCCCTTGACTAACACTGACCTCTCGAGCAGTTCGAGCGCCCATAGCACAGCTCAGCGTCCCGCAGCGGTGCTTGCACTTGTTGGCAACTCCAAAGATGAATCTGTAGCTTAGATATCCCATCTTGACACAACCATGGCAGCTACCTCGGGCATCGGTCTTTCTGCAGAATTAACTCGAGCTTTCTCTGCCGCTGTAGAGACGCAGAACATCCGCTTCATAAAGGTCGTCATCCGGAATGGTACGAGAACATCTATCCACACTCCACGGGCGCATTTTCATCTTGTGGGAACAGAATCACTTGTACCAGTCACCTCAGTAGATGTTACTGGATCTCTAGAGGAGGACCTTGCATTGCTTGACTCCCGTCTGGCGGAGAATGACCCATGTTACATCCTCGCACGCCTGGACGATCCGTCTTCCGAATGGCTTCTGATCAGTTATGTTCCCGATAGTGCCAAAGTTAGAGATAAAGTACGCGTCTGCACCACTGATTCCTTTGCGAAGACAGCATAACCTCTGATATTCACGATAAGATGCTCTACGCCTCTACGCGTAACTCCCTGTCCAAGTCCCTCGGATCCACCGTATTTACTGACAGTCTCTTCGCAACCTCGAAGGCAGATGTTACCCCGGAGGGTTATGCCGCGCATAAACGACACCAGGCTGCTCCACAACCTTTGAGTGCCAGGGAGCAGGAAATGGCCGATATCAAGGCCGCTGAGAGACAAGCAGCAGGTAATGTGTATGAAGGCAGCAGAGCCCGACAAAATCACCTTGGTGACGGCAAGGTGGGTTACAAATGGACTCCAGAGGCTGAAGACGCTGTTAAGCGATTGGGTCATGGGGAGGGGAATCAGGTCGTGGTTTTGGTGAGTCTTCTAGGCACATGGAGTGGTTATTAGCGACTAAATCTGTTGCATATCCGTAGCAAATTGAGTTGTCGACCGAAACGCTCATTCTCCACTCGAGTTCAGAAGCTCAGGTTAATACATTGAGCTCTTTGATACCTGCCTCTGAGCCCTGTGAGTTGTCTCATCTCCGGTCAGTGTGGTCATCGACTAACTTTGAATGGTCAGCTTTCACGCTCTATGCCTGGTCACATTCCTACTCGGCCACGAAACGCGACATTAGTATGCCGGTCCACTCCTTTGAAATGCGCTGCGGCCTTACCCCACTTGTAATCCGTAGTATTCATTTATTCTTGCCCAAGCGCCTCACCCATCAAATATCGAATGATGTACTCCTCGGGCGCCCTGCAGATATTCAGGGAAGTAAAGGACATTCCTGGAAACCACACCGAGCTTCTTGCTTGCACCCAAGAAACTTGAGACCTCAGACCCTTCCGAACTAACAGAACGGTATTTCATGCAAGAGTTAGGCTTTAGTAGTGGGCCAGTAGATGATACCCACAACTCAGCGACGCAGAGGAACGCCTTTGCCCGGCCCAGAGGGCCTGCCCGAAGACGCTGACGACGGATGTCTGAGTAGCTTCCATATCGCTGTTTTCCTACTTAGCGCGACTCGTTGCTTGGACTATCTTTTGAATGATCCGGATTTCTGTAATTCAACCGCATGCTAGGACGTCACATGCAGAATACGGTACTCTTTTGGCAACCTGTCGAGTTCCAGCTTTCTTTAATTATGCCCCGCCCCCAAACTGAGCCACTTGGTTAGTCGTGGGATCCGGATCTTGGGAATACATATGGGCAGCGGAATTGTTGCGCCGGAAATCTCTCATCGCCATGATGTTCAAGGCCACACGACGACCGGGGAGGGTGCTCGTATCTATCGCGTTCAGACCCAACGCTCTTTGGGTATCGGCTGGGTCCGTGAGATGGTACAGTGTGAGCGCGCAGGCCCCGAAGTCCAAAGTATGGCCATCCGCGGATGAAGCAGTTAAGGACGTGAAGTCAGGTGTTACTTTGTTGTGTGGAGGTTGAGTACAATGAATCATGGTCTAGCCTCCTACACCACCTCACTGAGTCCTCGCTCGTCAGGCTTCGGACTGGCTGGCGTACCAGGTGTGTGGGGCTCTGCATCATTCAAGTCGTGACCCCGATCTCAACGGAGTTACCACTCAAGACACCCTTCTCGGGGCTCTCGTGAAGAGAACAGATATCAACGGACTGACTGCCGTGTCAAACAACGCAGGCGCAGGAGATTCCGGGCTAGGTGCCTCACTCGTGGTCTGCATCGCTCCGTCGCCTAACCTTACCGTCCACAGGTAAACTTCTTAGTAGCAAGCAAATCGACAAAATCATTGCGTCGTACCCAGGAGGGTGGGTGTTCTGTCTTGCACGAAACGCCAGTCGTTGTTGCTAACAGCTACTGCAGCAATAAAACTTTCGAAGCATTGTATCTCAATGGGCAAATATCACTTGAACTCTGTCCTCAGGGCACTCTTGTCGAGAGGTTGCGGGCTCATGCAGCTGGTATACCTGCCTTTTATACCCCTACAGGTGCATCAACCGCAGTAGAGGAAGGAGCTATCCCTGTACGTTACAACGAGGGTGGCTTCGCGAATGGAGTAAAGATACCAGGAGTCACGAAAGAAAGTCGCGCGTTCAATGGGCGTAAGTATGTGATGGAGACAGCAATCCCTGGTGATGTCGCTTTCATCCGCGCGTGGAAGGTCGATGAAGTCGGCAACTGTGTTTTTCGGTAAGATTATCGACCGACGTCTGTGGTATCTGTTTTATTCTGCACAAGGTACACGCAGAACAACTTCGGTACCGCGATGGCGAAAAATGCCAAGTTGACTATTGTTGAGGTGAGGAATCAATTTCTAAAGTTCCCTTCCCTCCGTGTACAGATCTGTGCCCGCAGGCCGACCAAATCGTCCCGGTTGGTTCGCTCTCGCCAAATGCCATACATGTGCCAGGTATATATGTAGACCGAATCGTTCGCGCCACGGAACCAAAGCGGATTGAAATCGTGTCCTTGGCGAAAGGCGATTCCAAGGGAACACCAGGGGGAAGTATGGCTGCATTGGATCACAGACACCGCATCGCACGACGGGCTGCCAGGGAAATCAGAGATGGGTACTACGTTAACCTCGGTATTGGCATGCCGACTCTTGTTCCAGAGCATCTGCCACCTGGTGTAAAGGTTTGGTTGCAGAGCGAGAACGGTATCCTGGGTATGGGACCTTATCCAACTGAGGAACAACTGGATCCGTATGTTTACAAATTGCGTTTCCCTGACAGCCTCTGAGCCGTTGTGAACCCTAGAGACATCATCAACGCTGGGAAGGAGACCGTGACGCTATTGCCAGGAGCATCGATATTTGGTTCGTACGAGAAAGTAACGGGGCTTGTTCGGTCAACTCACTGAATGTGATTAGATTCAAGTGAGTCCTTCGCAATGATTCGAGGAGGTCATATAGACGTCGCCATTCTTGGAGTAAGTAAATGCTATTATTCGCATTTCTTGTGTTTCCACAAATGTAATCATCCTGCGCAGGCAATGCAAGTCTCTCAAGCTGGCGATATCGCCAATTTTATGATCCCAGGAAAATTGGTCAAAGGTAGGCTATTTGAAAGGACTTATTATCACGCGTTCCAAACACGCATCCTAGGGATTGGCGGAGCAATGGACCTTGTCTCCAACCCTGACGAAACCAAAGTTATTGCGGTGATGGAGCATTGCGCGAAGGATGGCAGCCCAAAAATTCTTAAGCAATGCAGTCTTCCACTCACTGGAGCTCGAGCTGTCAGCCAGATTATCACAGACCTGGCAGTTTTCAACGTCGATAGGGAGAATGGCGAACTCGAATTAACGGAACTCCAGGAGGGGGTGACTCTTGAGGAGGTGAAGGCGAAGACAGGTTGCGAGTTCAGGTTATCCCTAGGCTTTTGCAAGGGCGATGAATTGGCGCTATGACTACGATGGCTTGTGATGGCGTTCGCCTCGTTCACATCTAGACTTCAAATTTGATAGGTCATAGCTAGCTAGCTGATCTATCACGCAAACCTCGTGGACATCGTTGCCAAGGTGTTGCATTTCTGTGATGAATTGCACTGAACCCTGGAGTTGGACTGCTGGGCAACACCATTAGCACAAGCATGTGTAAGCAGTGAACATTCAACGTCATAGGGATGGTCGTTTTCTTTTCCGTTGTGCGGGTAATTATGTAGGCCGAACGTTTCAACGTAACTTTGTTACACTTGCCCATTAGCATAACTACCTTAAGCTGAGTTTGAATGTGTACCTATTGCCATATCAGGAGCTACCATGCCTCGTACCACAGAGGCAAGAGGTATTGCAGGAAGAAAATCCAAGGGATGGGAGTCCATTTGAATTTTTATATACTCAACAACAAGCTGTTCAGAGGTATATGAGTGCATAGTAGTACATCGTGCACTGGGCACCATTACATAATATTAGCAATGTGCAAGTATCGTAAGTATTTGTGTTTCAAAGCCCACCGAAAACAACACGGAAAACGACAGGGGACATCGCCGCGTCGTTGTCAGGTGGCCCACCGAAAACGGATACGAAAACGTACTGTGAGCTCCCCTATTACCCATATCTTACCCGTGTCCGGTGTTTTTGTTGAGGTTTGTTTGCGTCAGCTACGAGTGCTTTGAGTGAGTGGATGGTGGAACTCCCCTATTACATAAATATTCACACTGGCTTTTTGGACACACGTGCCTCTGTGATTACTCCCATGTTCCCGAGTGAAGGGTTACATCAATGATAAGATAGCATGACCGTTCCAAGTTTGGTTCTATGACCAGTCGATATCGCACCTGTGCTCTATATTTTTCCAAAGCTCCTAAATTGCCTCATTGGTATTGGGTTCTGTCAGGCCTTGCTGCGCAGGCATGTTGGGTTTGCCACACCATGAGTGTTCCAGTTGTGGACTCACGGACCATCCATATACATCTTATGGTTCAGATTACCGCAGATGATACCTAGCAACCAATCTGAGATCTGGAATTGTGAGGAACGGAAACTGTTCGAGAAATTCACGTAAGGGGCTGGATATGACACAAGCAAAGGCCCTTCGGGGTGTGCAGATACAGAATGAATGTCCCACTGAATGATGACACGCACAAACTGCGATTACGCTATCGATCACTCGCGTCGGTAATGTCAAGTCCATATCTTGTGCAAGCGAGGTGTTGGGATGATTTGCACGGTCTAGTCTGGATACTAACCTGTATGATGCAGGGAACGGCGTCAGCGGAGTAGGCATACACGTGACGCCACCGATGATAGCGTCCTTGGCGTCCAGCGGGGCCAATAGCCAAAGGTACCAAGATAATTTCAGGCGTCGACTCTAGCTGGCACTTATACGTAAATTATTGGATTCTTACGTTGAAGAATGGACGTCAGCAGAGAACCTTGAGGAGAACTTTTAACATGGCACAAACCAGCGATCCGACTTTGATATCGATGAGTTCCCGCACTCCTGTTAACCGACATAAACAGTAGTAATTTCCGACGCTAATGACAGTCCTGTGTTACACATTCAGACGTAAGCAGAGAACCTTAAGAACCCTAAGAACCCCTGAACATTGCAAGCACGGCCATTAATTGGTTGATGTATCATCCTCAATTTCAAGCTCAGCGATTTGACTATCATGTTGCTGCGGTCGATATTCCCTAAATGCATCCTACTACTTATGGAATAGTAGTAATGCTTCTTGCTTACGTACCAGGTTGGATGGTACTCCATTTCTGTAATGGTCGACTTGGTCGGGGCACCCGGCACGTGTCGGACCGCACAACTATCTACTACGTTCTGTTCGAGTACTACCTTCCCGACTACTTGATCCGTGAAAATCAGATATTTCGGCGATGGCCCACTGGTGTCGCGATACGAGAGAAGCGCGTTCATGCACAACACCGTCTAACTACGCCATGATATGTCATGGTACCCTGTCAGGTGTTTAGCCAGCATGCCCGGGTCACGCAAATTTCTGCGGGTTCTACTCTCAGTTCTTATCTGGATAAAAGAGGGAGTATAATTCCTTGTTATGTTGGGTTGAATAAAGTTCTCTGACATGCGCCGGCGAGTTCTTTTAGACCCTTAGCCGTGTATCCTCACTTTCTCCGCCCCAGCCATACCTTCAGGGTACCCTCCAATTAATGGCGCCTATGCAACAATCGGTCTTACAAAAAGGCAAGGGGGAGGGGGGGCTTTTTGTGCAAAGCAGAAATGCATCCCTATCCACACAATTCATTTATGCATCCTGACTACCCTAACTCAACCGTCGCCTGTTCGACGTTTTTCAGCGCGCTTCAATCAAGTGATCCCTGCTTGCTACCGGCTCAACCCGTGAGCTATCTTGAGCGGATCAGGTCATGTATGCTTAAAGTGAGCATAGAATGTCGTCCCCAACGTATTAGACCATACTTGTCCGGGGTGCGGCGAAGGGGGGGGCGTTTCATCACTACAAGGTCAGCCATTAGCCTCGTTGCCGTTTTGATCACAGTCTGACAATGCAGAAGGATTCGTCTGCGAGTCGTATTCGTTCGGTGGCTCGATCCAATATACCTTGGAGCCGAGTCAAGTGATTCATCCCAGTATCACGTGCATGTCCAACAATACCACCTCGGATGCAGAGCTGGGACCAGCCGGAGTGGATAACGCCACCAGCGTTTTCCCTCAAAATGCGGTACAGGAGGTGAACCGCATATGCGATGCCAGCTGCGGCGCAGGCGCTCTCGTCAATGTAAGCAACATTTACTTAATTCCTTGCGATGGCCAGTCTTTCATGTCATGTTTCCATTCGACACCGTATTTACGGGAAACTCAGTACGCTAACTGCCCACCAACACGATGCCTCTATTCAAATGTAGAGGGGACATTGTGTTTACAAGAGATCAGCTGTGGGACGGTTTCGAGCCACTTTGTCGGTCATGGCATACGTAATAAATCTCGCAAGGAGGTTATCTACTGTGGGTGGGAAGGATGTGTCAAAGCAGTTGCTCGACACACATTTGTCCGCCATATTCGCGAAGTACACCTTGGACACGTAAGGGGGACGAGGGTCCACAGCTCGGATTCAAAGCAATAAGACTAACCCCTCTTCCTTGGAGACCCGGTGAAATGGTGCAGATCGCCCCGCTCTACGGGGCATCCCAGCCTGGAAGTGAGTACGTTTGTACCAGATAATATTTCGAGGCTACCTCTCACCTTTGACTCGCAGAACACGAGCTGTGGACTAGAATGGACTATTATTCATCGACGGAAGCATTGGAGCCTGCCTCTATGATATACATGCATAGGGATTCACAATATACCATGCTTGAGTGGGCGTAGATTGCTGGTGGCCATCTTTCTTAATTTTTCAATCTCAGTCTCATTCAGGCATGATGGGCATGAGTACTCGGACGCCCAAGGTAAAACTCGACTGTGGCAGACCGCCGTTGTTGTTGCCATCCACCAGACATTTTTTATGAATACCGATTTCGTCATCTGAACAACCAGTCTTCCAAGTCAACTGGCTCACCGGACCACATTCAGGCCCGAGGCTGTCGCTGGCTGTCGATATCCCCTAAATTGGTCAACTCGGCCGCTCGCAGAGCATAGACAATTTAGAAGTCTATGACCCAGTTCCCATTCTCGCAGAGCGTGATCAGGGTGTTACTCATCCACCACGCATGAAAGTTGAGGTTGGGACGTCGCAAATACCGATCACTACGTTCGTTTGTTTCTAGTACAGCCCTATCTATCCAAATTAGTCGCAACTGCCTTGTTATTATTATTATTAGCGATGTTACTTACCTTTCGGGGGGCAAACAGGCGGTGGCGTTCCCGGGCAACTACCCTCGTGGCTTTCAGCTAAAGGAGTTTAGGTGGCGGATATCTTGGTCTTGTGTATTAGGAGATAAACCAGCAGGGATTCACCCCGATAAAGATGATATGGACATAACTTGGGGAGTGAACCTCGTGATTGTCGCTCAATTACCACATCCGGCTTCTGTTTTGTCGGTGCAATTTCCGGGGTTAAATTCGTCATGCCGCAAGAGTGGTAGCAACGTATAGGCTTGCTAACGGAACCACAAAGCTCCTGAGCGTGGCATAACTTTTGACGAGGACAGATGACCTGTCAACATCGATAAGCATGTTAAAAGTCTCATAATTACCAATATTGTGACTGTCGAATCAGTACTTGGTTTCTGTGGATAATCTTTGTTTCGGTGCTGTGGTATTCTTGTGAGCAGTGGCGGTGTCGGTGACTGCGGGTGGAGCTTTCGTTGTCATCTTGTTGCGAAAATATTCCAGTGTTCAGGGTTCTTCAATACAACTGTCGTAGTAGTCGCGTAGGGCCTCTACTAACTGCGCATCAGTGCCGAGAGCGTGCGCAATCGCTAGCCTGGTTGAGCTGGTGTTGCTGTAGGCCGACGCTCGACCCACTTGTTGCACGGTGGCGTTCGACGCGAAAATCATATTATTGCCTTCAGCCTGCCCTCTCCCAGTGTCCAAAGCATTCGAGTCGTTACTCGAGACTTCTCCGCCTTAACTCGCCCAGTACGTTCAGGACTACGAGGGTTTGTCACGCAATTGTCGTCTAGTCATCGACCATGAACTGGCTTGCCTCCCTCTTCTCCGGTGGCAACAAGCAATCTTCGAGAAGAGGACAGGCAATGTCCACAACTCAAGAAGCCTTCTCCCTCCCAACGTCTACCCCCCACCTCAACCCTCTTACCGACCCTTACCCTTACAACTCGGACGGTCTTCGCACGGCAAGCCCTCTCAGTCCTTCGTACACTTACCCACCCCAGTCACCCACCGGTTCGTACTCTTATGTGCCGACGTCGTGAGTCTATTCTATTAGCTTTCCTCGTGACCCCCCGTTTATAATGCACCGCGTTCCTTAGTTCCGGTTCACGGTCACGACCAGCTTCCTTACTTCCCCTTCACCACGCACCCTACACGGATGCTCTAACACCTCCCCCTCCCTACCCACCTCTAGGCCATACTTGGAATCGGTTAAAGCTCTGGCTCGCTCGCGAGTACCCAGAGCTAGGTGACACCCTCAACTATGGTATTCTTCCTCAGGATCTGGCACAAATCGAGATGCAATTTGGCTTTGCTCTCCCAGCTCCAGTCCGGGAATCTTACCTAGCCGTTGATGGTCAGGAAGCAGAGTCATCTGCAGGGTGCTCTGACGGTCTTCTACTTTGGGCTGACTCTTTTGCCTCTGGAAGATGTCTTTGAGGAGTGGCGATTCTGGAGAGAAGTGGATGAGGATCCTACAACCGGTGCGAATACCCGTCTTCGTGACCTCATGAAGTCGATACCCGATGGTTGGGTGCGCAAGGAGTACTCTCAAAGGGGCTGGATACCCCTCATTGCCGACAAAGCCGGAAACTACATTGGCGTGGATCTCAACCCTGGCGAAGGTGGAAGTATCGGTCAGGTAATTGTCTTCGGCAGAGATTTCGACACAAAGGTGGTACTTTGGCGCGGTGACGGTCCTGGAGGATGGGCGACATGGTTGGCAAGTTTTATGGACGAGTTGGAGAGCGGTGAAGGTTTCGAACTTGGTCACGGAAATAGCGAGAGCGAGGGAAGTGAAGATGATATCGGCTACGAGAACTACTTTCATGATGGGACCGGGGGAGGTCAGGGTGACAGTGGTGGCGAAGCAGGTGTCGGTGGCTGGCGTTTGACTGGTGAATACAGAGGGTGGAGTCCCATCGAAGCCTGGGCTGATAAAAGCGTCAAGAAGTGGCGAGAGGCAGGACTACTTACCAAGGATCCGTCGTCAACCACCAAGGGCAAGGTAGCCTGACTTTTCCTTGACCTGACTTTTGCCTGACCTATCTATGAACTAGGTGCCCGAAAACCATGGTCTGCGTGTCCTCGACCTTTCTGAGTCATGTGCTGTCGTGCCCATACCAGTCCTGGGAGACAAGTCAGACGAGGAACCTGCCGCCCTCCCCGAAGTAACCAAAGCGGCGGCCAAGCCACCGCTTCCCACCATTTCGATCACGAAACCTCCACCGCCGTTACCCATCAGTGTCCCGACAGTTAGCGATGTCGTTCCATTACCTTCTCCACCAGATTCACAACGCTCTTCTACTGACGATCTAGAGGCTGGACGTGCTCTTGGTTACCGAGAGTCGCTGGATGACAGCGCACATCCTCGACAGATGTTGCATCCTCTAATTACTGAGGTGACCGGGCCTCCAAAAGTGAGATCGACTGCACCCGCTGTTATCGACGACCTTCTTGCAGACTCGACCCCGCTGGAAGCTGTCCCCTCTATAAGTCCGGCGAAGGAGTCCGAAACTGGTCCCCCCGATGTTCCCGATTTAGAGGCAAATTTGCCAACCCAACCAGAAGTCGAGGAACCGGCAGGTGCGACAATCCGGTTGGTTAGCGAAGGACATCTTCCTGCGGTGGACTCCTTTCCCCTTGCTAATGAAGACAAGGAACCTATGGATTCTACAGAATCACAATCACAGCAAAATGTGACTCACAAAAAGAACGGTTCAAGCCCGTCATCGGATCGCAAAAGATTTAGCATTCCAGATCTGCATCACGAGAGGGACTCGTCAGGCACTCATAGCACAAAGAGCGATGACACTCCCAAGCCTTCCGACGGCACATTCACGCTTTAATATTTTTCAACCTCGAACTGACACACACGAGCTTCGTGTTCAGGGCTTTGCACTACTTTCTACTTCATTGTGACACTTGGCCCTGTTAATAGTCTTTCATTGTTTTTCTCATCCGTTACACTGTTTGACTTGGCATTGTCGACATGACCACCTACCGACCATTGCATTTCTCTCTCTCTCCCTTTTCATCGTGGCCCTATACCCACTCGCGTGACTACAGAACAATACGACGTGCTACGCGTTGTTTATAATATATGCATTAGTTCTCCATTGAACGGTTCTTGCACATCAATGTTGCGTTGATTTCAATATTTTCTGAATCCTTAAGCCTTTTTTTATGTAAGAGGGCGAATGGCAAGTTTGTTTTAAAACTAGCCAAGATCCACGCCAACTAAAATGGAGCAGATAATTTCTATACCGTGTAACAACAGACTACGGGCTCACGTGACCTGCACAGTTGCTTTTGTATTTCGCGACGCGGGCGTGTTTCCTGCAAGTTTTCGTAGGTGCAGTCATCGTATTAGAGCAGCAGTGATGCGCTCTTTCATCTACGTGATATTCCATCCCCTACAGACTCTTAATTTATGGCTCGAAAACGACCCCAAAGCCAGCGTATACGAAGTCCTCTATCTTCTCACCGTTTTCTCGGCCTTTGGCATCTGGTTAGTCTTCGACAGGTACCAGAAAGCGCACAACAGTGCCGTGCCATTCAGGCACAATGCGCCCGAGGTAGCTTTGACCAGTCGCTTTTCCTAGTCGTGTTCCTGACACCCCTCCCCAGGCAGCCGACCCGGAATGGGAGTCGCTACGGATTCATAACGCCAATCTCAGGTCACATCTCACCGAACCGGAGTTGTTGCCTCATCACTTCATGGGAGAGAGGGATTATATCACGTGTTACGATCCCGCGAACTCGTTGCACATCAGAACCGTCATCGCAGATACCGACCGCGAAATCCATGCAAAGATCAACAGAGCCCGTGATGCGCAGGTTTCCTGGGCACAAACGACGTTTGCACAGCGACGCCGTGTCATGCGTAGTCTTCTCAAATGGCTTGTTGAAAATCAGGAGGTGTGCGCACGGGTCGCGTGCCGTGATACCGGAAAGACGCGTAAGTAACTTTTAATCGTGTGCTGCAGGATTAATGCGGTCCTCACTGGTCGTTGTCGTATAGTTCTTGATGCCGCCCTTGGAGAGATTCTGACCACTTGTTCAAAACTGGAATGGTTGATCAATCATGGAGAACGTGCTCTACGACCCGAGACGAGATATTCCAACCTGCTTATGAGCTATAAGAAATCCCAAGTCATATATGAGCCCAAGGGCGTAGTCGCTGCTGTTGTATCCTGGAACTATCGTAAGGCACACATCTCTTGCTATGTGATTGACTTCTTCCGACATCTACTCAGCTCTGCATAATGCATGGTCACCGATCCTCGCTGCGATCTTTGCTGGCAACGCAATCGTTCTCAAGTGTTCTGAGCATGTAGTTTGGTCTACTGACTGGTTTGTTGGTGCCATACACAAGGCTCTCGAAGTTTGCGGTCATGACGCAGATATTGTTCAGGTGGGTAATTTCACTTCATTATTACACAACTCTGAGCTCTTTGCCAGACCGTCAGCTGCTGGCCAGATCAAGCAGAAATTCTGACCAGGTCTCCCATGATAAAGCATATAACCTTCATAGGCTCTGAAGAGGTTGGTCGCAAGGTAAGCACGAATTCGGGGAAAAGAACACCTTTTCTTAGATGCTGTAGGTGGCTGTGGCTGCGACGGAACACCTTACTCCTGTCACCCTTGAGTTGGGTGGCAAGGATCCTGCCATTATCCTTCCCGATACCGATCTCCAGAGATGGGCAAGTGTCTGGATGCGTGGAATTTTGTTAGTACTGTTATTACCCGAGACATATCGCTGGTGACTGACGTCTGGTAGCCAAAATGCCGGGCAAAATTGCATAGGTTTCGAGCGTCTGATTATTCATTCCGATCAATATGATGAGCTCTTTGAAATCTTAACCGAGAGGGCTAAGAAAATGCGCCTCGGATCTGTACTGGCTCCTTCGAGGGAAGGTTACATCAACACCGTGGATTGTGGCTGTATGATCACAAATGATCGCTTCGACCTGCTGGAGCAGCTTATTTTCGAGGCCCATGAGGCTGGGGCTCATATGGATGTCGGTGGCAAGCAGTACCAACATCCTTCATCCCATGGCAATACGTATTTCTCTTGTACGGTTCTGGGCGACGTGGATCCCAAATCGCGTATAGCCCAAATGGAATGTGGGTCAGGTTCATTTCCGTTGTGTCTGTGTACTGTAGCTGTGTACAGTGTTCGCGCCCGTTGCCTTGCTCATCCGGTACGACGACATCGAAGAAGCTATCAACATTGCAAACGGAACCCGCTATGGTCTCGGTGCCAGCGTGTTTGGACCTCACCAAGACTTATGCCTGGAAGTTGCACGAGAGTTGGAATGTGGCATGGTCTGTATCAACGATTTTGCGATATTTTATGTGAGTACCGTACATTAGGCTTCCTTGAAAACCCGTCGCTGATAGTGTCGCAGCTCAAGTAAGTTGGGGTGCTGTTCTCTACACCGTCAGCTAAGCTTCTGTTTTATAGCCAAGATCTTCCGTTCGGTGGGACGAAAGCTAGTGGTTATGGTCGGTTCGGTAGGTTTCTCCTCGTATATCGATCTCGCCTCTTATCTCATGCCTACGGTGCAGGTGGACCTGAAGGGCTGCGTTCCCTAACGAATCCAAAAGCCATTGTAAGCGACTGCTGGCCTTCTATAATGCAGACGGCCATTCCGAAGGTCCTTGATTACCCTGTGCGGTCGCTAGTGCGAAGCTGGTAAGGATCGAGTGGTCTCAACATGAGATCGAAACGCTGAACGCTCTTGCAGGGACTTCATCAGCGGCCTTATTATTCTTTTATATGCCGATAGCTATCGCGCCCGATTCAACGGCTTGGTGCAGTTGACGAAGGCACGGAAATGATACCAGACGGACGTTGCTTTCTGGTGGATTGCTGGATTGCTACCGAGATGACGCACTTTTCATTTACTTATCGTATTTTTCGCTATCTTAGCTACGGATGTATTTGTTTCCGTTCCGCCTCTACTACTGCTGTGCGACAAGCGTGTAGGCCGCGTCAATTGTGCACTTGAAGGACTTCCAGTCTCACAGCTTCATCCGACTCAGTTCCCAAGTGTACGTATATTAAGATTATGCTCTGAAGCTTCTTTCTGTCATGGTCGTGAGCCCCTTCTCGCCTGGCGTCGTCGTTCTTCTCCAACGAGCTCGCACACACGCAGACACATTCTTGCGGTCTTTTGGAATGTGCGTCGCCGTGTTCTCGTCTCGATTTCTTCTGATAGAACCGTTCGCGTTGACTGCAGACATTGTGCAACGCACCAGATACGCTTAATTCTCATTTCCGCCGTCGTTATCACGTCCCTGTCCTATCCAGCACTCGCCACTTACTGGTCGGCTCCTTCTTATGCCCGTCTTGTATCAACATCGAACGTGCTCGACTCGTTTCTGGAGGAACATGTGGCCTCCGGTAGTCGTGCACAGCGCGACCTCCAGCACTTCTGGCAGGGCCACCATAACCTCCAACTCCGCGAGGACGCAGTTGCGCGGGCACGCTGCGGGTTCGACCGTACTCTTCGTGTAGAACGAATCCTCGTCCGCAGCAACACAGCTGAAGAGGCCGGCGCACTGACCTCTCAGACGCTATCCTCCACCCTAGAGTTCGAGCGCCGCATATTGGAACGCGTCAATGCTCAAGGAAACCCGTGTCTTAGAGCTAACCCGACAGACTGTTTCGTACTCAGTCCCCTGGCATTCTGGGACCACGACGAAGAACGCCTTCACGCCGACTTTAACATTTCTAACACCCTCAAGCACTACAATGATGTCACGATTGCAGGAATCCCTCTCACACCCGAAATGGTCCTTGCAGGACGCAATTACGATTGGACCGGAAACATCAATGCCGCACTTTTCCTTGTCTTGACATTTGTGTTTCCCGAATCCGACTGCTCAACCAATGCTGGTCACAGCACCTGGCTCCAAATCTTGGCTAACTCTACCCACGAACGCGTAGATGTTTTCGCTGAAGCTGTTGAACCGAGGCTAATAGCTCTCGAGGTGGGTGGCTTTACGTTCAAAAGCGCAGGGTGTGCACTTATGCGTTTGCCAGTATGACCACAGTCTCGCACGGAGCAAGAGTCTTTATTCGATATCCTCATTCCTTTACCTCGCCTATGGAATATTCTTTGTCTACGTCAGCTGGTCAATGAAACGTATGAAAGGCGTGCATACGAGGATCGGGCTAACGTTCACCGCCCTGTTTGAAATTGCTGCCAGTACAATCACGAGTCTCAGTGTATGTGCTCTGATGCGCTTCAAGGTTAATATGGTACCATGGTAAATTTTTCCTTTGCACACTATGTCACCATTTCTCACATTGGGCAGGAGTCTGCTGCCTGTCGTCATTATCTTTGTCGGAGCGGAAAACATGTTTAATCTCGTAAGTCAATGCGGTTCCTCCTTAGTCCTTTTGACAATAGCGCGGGTTCCAGGTGGATGCAGTGACTAAGACTTCTGTAACACTGTCCGTCAAGGAACGAGTCGCAGAGGGATTGAGCCGAGCTGGTACCTCCAACACATTGAAAGTTGTCTCCTACAACGCCGTTCTCGGTGTCATTGCATATTTCTCCGCGGGTGCAATACGCCAATTTTGTACTTTCGCGGTCGTGGTGCTAGTGGCCCATTGGTTTCTTGCACATACCTTCTTCCTGGCAGTCTTATCGATCGATATTCAGAGACTGGAGGCAAGTGATCCTTGCAGCATGCTTTCGGTCTGAACTCAATATTCTCTGTCTAGCTGGATGAACTGCTACGTCAAAACCCCAGCTTGACTCCTGCTGTTGCTAGCTCTCAACGTGATTCTGCCCCTCCAACCTCTACACCATGGTGGCAACGAATCACTTATCTTACGAAAGAGCTCCTCAAGAGTCGTGCTACTAAAAATATTAGCTTATTGCTCGTACGTTGTCATTGTTTTTCAGTTGCTCAGAAAGCAGAAATCTTAGAAGCTTCCAGCTTTTGGCAATAACAGCCACTCTCTATTTCATGACGAGACCAAGTATTCGTGATCAGCCTGACATCGGGATCGTGTTTCCTCCTGCCTTTCCTCGTTTCTCGGTACAGCCCGACCGTCACAAGATCGAGGATCCTGCATGGCAAATATGGAAAGTACTCAATCCAGAAGAAGATCCTCTAGTTCACCTGCGGATAGAAGTTCCTACCATTGTTGCATTCAGGCCCGACGTCGACGTCGGTCAAGTTCCCCGATATCACCTTGGCCCGTCCTCACCGTGGCTGGGCTTCATTGTTTGGCTTTTGAAGATTCTAGTCCTTCCCATGGTGGCCACTCTCATCCCCCTATACGGACTCCTGCTCTACCTACTCAAGGACGCTGAGTTATTGGAAGCTCAGCGCAATCGTGCTGGTGAGGATGCTACGGTAGCTTGCGCCGCAAGCACCTTATTCGATCACGTTTCCTTTTCGACCCTGCCTCGCAGTTTTGCTACCGATATAGAGTTACTGGTGACAAGTGGAAACGGTCGTGTTCACGCTGCTGTTGGCCTGCAGAACGAGCTTAGCATCTGGAGACCCGACGAAAAAGAGCCAATTTGCATCGATACTGATTCCATCCTCATGCGGTTACCTACTACTCCATCGGCTCAACCGTCCATCTCTGCTCTTGCCATAGATGGTGAAGGAGATTTGCTTGCTTTCGGGACGTCGACTGGGGTAATCTATGTGGGCCCCTTCAATGGAACAGAGACGAAGTTCCATCAACCATTGGTTCTAATCGACAATCACTCGGAAGTCATGGAGCTTCATTTCGTCTCCCAGAGTTCAGTGCCCCTGCAAAAATTGACACCAAACTCCCGACCAACTACCCCCGCGTCGTCGGGAGCTCTAATTGCGTTGTATGAGTCAGGGGCCGTTGCATCGTGGAAACTTGATTCTCTTCCTGCTCATTCTTTCGTTAAACCGAAAAATTCTTCAAGTCCCATCATACGAAGCCATTTCCTGCGCATACGTTCGAGCGACCGCTTTTTAACGGCGTTTTCTTTTGAAGACGGATCCCTAGAAGTCATTGAAGTCGGCGTTGTTAAAGAGACGGCGCCTGTTTCTAGTTGTCTGCGTGCTGGGAATCCCTTCGACAGAGTAGTGAAGGTCGACGCTTGCTGTATTCAGAGTAACGACACGGAACACATCATCATGTGCATAGCATCAGAGGCAGGAGTCGTATCTCTGTGGGATGCACATTCTGCCGAATGCCTGCTTATCATGGGCGAACCACGCGGTAATGTTGACAAATTGCGCGTTTCTGCCATCCGTTCGGAGACTTGTCACTTTTGCGGTGAACTTCCTCTCGATAGTTTCCTCGTCGCTCTTTCGGTTGGCCATACCGTCGTCGCTTATAGAGTATACATGACTTCCCAAACGAGGCGTTGTTCATGTCCAAGCAACGTTCCTAGACAGGGGTCCGTTCTGTCCCCAGGAATGGGTCTGCGCTCGCGAAGCAGTAGTATGGTTTCGGTGACCGGGTCTCCCACCTCGGCAAGGAGGCTTTCTACTGTTAGCAATTCCTCAACATCTGATACAAGCTTTCCTGTTTCCGGGCATGGGGTGCTCTCTCGCAGAGCTTCGGAAAAGGAATCCCTCCGCCGTCCTCTCGAAATCTTGTCTTTACCCTCATCCATTGACGAGCAAGATGGGCATCCCCACCCTGTTGGTCCTGCAGATTCGACATTACTTCTCCCTGTCACGCCGTCTCGAGCGACGTTTATCCGAGTTGGAGAAGCATCTTGTGAGCGAGGTGGGTGGGATATCGTCGATGGAAAAGTGGTAGGGATAAGGCGAATATCTCGCCCTCAGGGCAAGTCAACAGTGGGTCTTTCCGGTGGCCCTTCTGCCACTCAATTGTGGGGCTTGACAGAAGGTGTCCTTGACCGGTGGGAGTGTTGGTCGTACGAACCTAGAGGCAGTTCATTGCAGGCATCCATGCTGAGTCGTCTGTGCGGCGGCCCTCGCCATTTTTCCTTGATTGCAAAGCAGTCACACAACACACTGGGAGCCAGGGTTGACTATCCACGGCTACCGTTCACCCGGGTCACGGGGTTCCAGATAGTTGGATCCACTGGAATGGCAGGTTTTGGGAATACGGTCGGGATCTTTCATTTTTCTTAGTTTACATATTTTACGGACTCCTTGTATCTGTTGCTGTCATCGCATTTTTATGTTTTGTATTTTGCGACTAGTCGCGCGTAAAATCTTGATGCAATCGTTATCATAATTCAAAACGCACATATCAACAAAGTCTCTCATCGAACCATTGCTAATATTCTCTGGTAATCATCGCGGACACTTTGGAAAGTTTCCTCGAGTTTCTCTAGCCGTTCTTCCTTCTCCAGTTGCGCCAAAACCTCCTATTCAAATGAAGTGAAGTTAGTGTATGCACGAGAATCTTAGCCGCCACCCACGAAGTTGAACCGGTATAGTCGCTCTTTTACTTGCAGTCGGAATGCCCTCTCTGCCCGCACATCTGCAGAGTCAAGGTGCAGTAGGATTAGCATTTCCACCAGCCTATGGAATTGTCGCTGCCACGATGAGTTAGCACGCAATAGATGGCCTCAGTCAAAGTGTTCCCACACTGGCAATCTTAAGGTCTTTACGCCAATTCTCCGCCCACGCCCTGTCCACGGGTGGACCCATTTTCCCTTTACCCTTGCTTCCAAGTGGGGCAACTTGAGTTCGGGAACGCGATTTTCCTTTGATAACTCGACCGCCACCATGTGAACCGGTCACGGCAGAATCACCAAATCCTTCTCGTATAAACTGTTCATGAGCGAGGAGCATCCGAAGATCATTTCGATCGCGGAGGTCCTCAAAAGCTTCTGCGGGGTCCTCCACCGTGAGCTCAGACACGGCGGGACAAGAAAGAACGTAGTTATATATTGCTGTATATAACTCGGCTACAATCTGGCGTCAGGAGGGCACCGTGGAATTAGGTTGAACACGTACAGCCATGACCTTGTCGTTGGTAAGGAGGAAGGATGACGAATTGGCTGTTCCGGTCGTCAGCTATGGTGGATTATATCATTTCTGCACGCGGGACTTACCTGAGACGCAGCCGAACCCTTTCCGGGAAGCAATAGAAGTTGTAGAGTGACGAATAACCCACAAAATGATAGGTTGGTGTACCATCTGCGCGTTTCCGTTTCTCGTACCTGCAAAACCCTCCTAATCAGCCCTCTGCGGCAAGAACAAGTTTGAGAGAAAACCGACAGTACGACGAACTCCCACCCTTCTTCCTCTTCGTTAATATACGAACCCGCCTCAATATATAACAATATAAAAATCTGCATTCGTCTGTGATACTCCCTGAATCCAGGGTCGTCCAACGTAGCCTGGGATGCACTGTCACGACGCTGCCGTTGCAGAAAGAGATGCAACTGACATGATATACTTCGTACTCTATGGTCTCCTCGCTCGTGCCATCCAGTAGAGCACGAGTTCTCGGGGAGCGCTTGTACGAATGAACGAGCCTTCCTATTGGCTTGAATGAAATCGCATCTTCTTTAACTCGTGAAAGGAACATTGCCTCGTTGGTGTCATACCCTGTGTTAGCCTGAGAGTGGGGAAAACCCGGCTCAGGACACGAGGCGTACCAGGGGGTATAAATTCGCTGAGAATACCTTCTGCGTTGTCCACTGTTGATGACGCATCTAGCTTCTTGGCATAGCTGACAGAGAGGAATTGTGCAAGAGAACCCGAAGCAAAACGCAGCTGAGCGAATACGTTCAGAAACGAGCGTCGACGGTGGATACAGTGCGTGGACTGACGTCAATGACGAGGTCTTCATAGCCGTATATCTTTTCCTCTTCGCCGTATATCTACGAAGATGATACGGAATCCGTTTCTAAGTCTGCCTCACTAACTGCGATGTTCCTCACCGGATACGTGAACGTCGGGTGAAAATGTTCGAATGATTCGTCACTCCGCAAGGCCTTTTTATCTTCCTGAGCCCGAACTATGTGCCACCAGCGAAAACGCGCTCGTCAGTCACCGCATTATCTAGCTTAGCGCCCGGGTACCTACCCAAGGAGAGGGTTAACGCCTCGTTTGAGTCTGTCGTCCAGTCACCACCAGCCATTGATTGAGTATGTTATGTGGTTTTTCAGGTCTGAGGTTTCTGTGCCAGCAGTACTATTTGGTGGACAGGATGGACGCGTCGTGTCTCGGTCGACGCGCCTGTCATTGAAGCCACGATGAATGCACAGGGACCAACTGTTCCACCCGTCTTACTCCCCGAAATTCTCGAGTTTTCTCCCCAATTACTACTCGACGACATTATCAACTTCGCTAATGAAGCTATTACGAATGCCGTAGACGGTCTGGAGGAGTTCCTCTTTCGTTGGGCAGCGGACCGTGAAGCGAGGGTCCGTGACGACTGGGACAGCACTCAGGAAGTGGAACAGGGTCTCGTCGCGTTTCAGACGCTCCTGGAGTACCATACAGACATTGCGTTCGATTTCTTCGAGACGTGGTCTCTCCGCAATATCTTTGCTATCCCAGCAGACCTTCCAATTGTCGTGCCCCACCAAGAAGGGCTGGACTTGGACTACCCCGCTGAGCTAGAGACGGAACTCATGGCAGAAGTACAGAGTTTGCGTAAGAAGATAGATGCTGTGAGTGCAACTTGCAAAGACGATGTCCACCACAGTGTCAATGACACGTCCCACCAGCAACGGCGGCTGAAGCGCCTTCTGACGCGCTCTGCAAGACTATCCGCAGCCAAGGCACGCCAAAGTGAAAAGAAGTTATCAGATCTGTCGTTTCTGCAGGATCCACTACTGCTTGAACTAGGCCAGATTGCCGACCGTTTTGAATCCATGTTCACCGCAGCGTCATCGCTGCCACCTCTCACTCCCGAATCTACGGCGGCACTGACACAACTGCCTCTTCCTGACCCAGGAAAGAGACCTTGGGAATTAAGCAGGGCTGGATACATGGACTGGGCAACAAAACAGCTGTTGGCCAAAGTCAAGCAACGGAGCCCAGACGTAGGAAACTCCGTTACCGGGTCCATAACTGCCCTCATCGATAACATCGGAACGGCCCAACGCCTCGAAGTTATTGCGAAATACGAATCTGTTAGATCGTCTAAGGAAACTCGACAACACCCCGCCCCTCCAAATGACGTTGAGATGAATGATTTGGATTAGTAAGGTTTGCCTAGGGATAAGTCTGTACGAGGTTTCTGATCGTTCGTTAGGGCATTTATGTGTTCTGTATTTTTTGTATAGTTTCAATGATTGGTATTGTCCTGCGTTTGTAGTAAGTGTGGCACTTGTCAAAGAAGACGAAAAACGTTCCTGGATTGGATAGTCAACATCCATAGGATCGAGTCGATCCTCAGGAGGTCGCAAGAGAACCTCTTGACGGCACACTAGGCAGAATCATAACGAGGTGAGATGCATGACTAGGACTCCTGGTTTATCGACAGAAGAATGTTTACCTTGCCAGAAACTGGCTCAGGGAGCCGGCAAACTCCCGAGGATGCTGCCGCGATCAATATCCTGCGAAAACTGGATAACGCCAGTGAACATCGGCGCAGGCTTCGGTGTGGTCGCTCACAAGGTTTAAATCCGCCTGAAATCGATGTATGCTAATCAGGACCAGAAAAATGTTGGATATCTCGATCCTCACTCCCCTTGGCGAGGCTCGACCTGGCAGTCGTGAATTATACATTCAACGTTCGTCCGCACTCCAGCATAGACTCGAAGAGGGGATTATGATTCTGCTCTCAAGCAGCGCGAAGTGACCACATCAAAACTAGCTGTGTTTCACCGTAATCCTTCGGCATGCCTTACATAAATCACCACTTTGTATTGAGAGTTCGACAGCAAGAGACACTCAAAACATGGTGCGCACTGCCTCCACCCGTCTTCATCAGAAGGAATGGTGTTCCACGGCCGTGTTGTGGACACCAAGAGATACTTATCTTCACGTCACTGGCTCACCATCTCAACGTTATCCACCAAAGAAATTGTGGATGCAGCATCCTTGATGTCTCAATTTGATGATTATCGTAATACCTGCTCAGGGAGACCTCGGAATGTATGAAATGGGCTTGGCTGCGGCGATCCGGGACGGCTCTCCCCTAGGGATAATCATTGACAATGAAGGGACAGACCTGGACAGACGCACAGGAGCCTTCCTTTGGCGACTCTCCAGCCGGGGTTGAGAAATGAGGGCATACCCGGAAAGATAAGCGCAAGGGCGACAATGCGCTCGACAGCATTGATGTCTTGGCAGGTCTAACCCGTAAGCCCTTTCTTCTTTTCATACTAATCATCCTGTAGGACTCCTGACACACTTCCGTCACTTGCGAGTGGTATCTTTATAGGTAGGGCCCGATACTGTTCCACCATCATGTTCTAGAAGATCGGTGAACATATAAAATCATATCAGATCAATGTACCTTAACTTCAAATCCGTTGCCGGTCTCCAGGAGGCGAAGAGAGACACTCAAAGCTGGTAAGCCGGCAACTTATTAGTATGAGGGATAGAACTCCCTGACAAGGCCAAAGGGTTCAGTAAGCACAAGGCTTACCCCACATTACTTGCCAAAAAGACTTGCCGTAAGATCTGCTGGACGATTCGTCAGCTAGATAAGACCTGGTTTTGTGTCAAGTCACCGTCGACCGAGGGTTAAGCACTAAGGACTTATCGGGGTTGCGAGGTATGTAGTGCCCCGTCATCTTCTCGCGATGGAGTAGTACCTGTCATCGACAGACTGCATTTTGGAGGGGAGGGGGAAAATGCGGCACAAGAATGTGGTACAATGAACTTGCCAAGTCCCTGTTAAGCGGTTTTGGATTTGGGTAAGTTAGTTTTCAGATCGGCGGCTTTCAAAGGCAGCAGCCGCTAAACCTTTTGTGTCCTGCCAAGGTTATGGTTTTCTAGAGAGAAGACGGAGTGCTGTTTATCATTCAGCGGCAGCCACAAAGCGGATATGCACCTATTAACCCGGTAGCCACAAGTTCATACGTCAATGCTTCCATTACCCCTGAGTTGCATACTGGTTGCTTTCCACTAGAAGATCATTTTAATAGATACTAGGCTGCAGCGACGTCCCACGGCGTGTCCCCCTGGTCAGTTTGACGCGCCAAGCTGGCCTTGTGACGAATTTGTCTTGAAATCTGTCACTTAAGATAGACAACCCAACCAGTATGACCGTCGGTGGCCACATCTTGTGCTTGTCACGCTAAGAGCAGAATGGTGAATTTGCGATAAACATCATAGTGGAAATCGCGCGCCCCACATTTGCGTCACAACAGGCACAGGAAAGCAGACCGCACGGTAGGATATGAACGGGGTTATATCTTGGCGCACCTTCAAGCTTCAAGTGGCTCGAGGGTGTCCACCTCACTGCTATTACCACTCCTTTTCCCCCAATGCCAGCGGTGACCCAAATCGAGGCTTGCAGGGAGTCGATTGACTCTCAGGTACAAGCGATGCACATACTATACCTCCTCAGCCTGGAGGGACGCCTGTATTCGCCGCAGATTCCCCCCAGGAAGATACACTACACTACTCAAACTATGTATTGGAAACCTGCGTAGAATGGTGGAGAGAGCCGGTGTGTGTGGTGAGGCGTAGATGAACGGAATGGTGCCGAAGCGGAGATGTGACGACGGACTGCTGACGGTCATCTACAAATTGGGACGTTGGGAGACATCCATTGGTCATCTATTCAAGCCATATATTGTCAAAAAAGTCTTGTACTGTAGTGTGCAGGATCTTGACATTCTTAGCACGGGGACCTCGTGAACTCGCGGTACCCTTACATCGGTTTTTAGCTGCACTGTAATACGCAACTGTGTTCATTGCAGTGGGCCAGACTATTGAGTGCGATCAGAGCTCCATCATAACCCTCTCCGCAATCCACTCTTGTGCCTTGGAGTCGGAGAGGACAACGGGAACCTTAATCTGGCCAACACCAAACTTCATACTTTCACCTCGCCACCGCCGATAGTCTGCAAAAGTCTCGGGCTTAACAATACGAATCGTGGGCAAACCAAGCTCGCCCCCATCGAATGCGATCTGGTGTTCTTCGCTTGTCGCAGCGAGGGCTGCGAAGGCTTTCTGTCTTGCAAATTTCGCATTGGGACCTATTGGATCACATGAGTTTTGCGAGTCAAACAGTCAACACAATACTGTAGTACCTATGTCTCCTGTGATTCCGATAAAAAATCCCACTGTCTGTGGGAACTTGCGGTCGTCAACGACCGTTGTGAACTCGTGTACCTGCACAGTATCCTCCCCGCTAATCGCATGAATCACGCTGACAAGATCAGCTTCAGTGATCATGGCATGTGGCAGCCGGAGTTCCAGACTCCACGATTGTGCATGAAAGAATCGTAATTAGGAAAGGAAAATAAGTGACCGAAGGAATCTCCCTTACTTCTTCCGCCTGGAGTACCTGAATACCGGCAACCCATTACGCGGGTCGAAGCCGGTGACTTGGATGACGTCGTCTATAAGATATCTCCATAGTCCATCATAGGTCGTTGACACAGGCTGGTAGAACATTCCAGGTTGAAGTTCCCACTAACCGGAATGCATCAGTTGAAGACGAGCATAAAGGCAAGATACACACCGCTTGAAGTATTTTTCTATTTGTCTCTCCTTCTGTCATGTCAAGAAACTCGATAAGGTCATTGGCTGCAATAACGAAAGTCTCTGTATCTTCAAAGTTGAGGGTTCTACCTATGAGACCTTCTGTACATATATACCAAGTGTTGTGGATGATTACATTTGGTCCAAGCACTGACCTCGCCTAACCGAGGTGAGGTACATTGTCCTGTTATGAAAGGGGTATATGCTCACCTGAGGTAATGCCGCAGCGAATGTACCGCTACAGATGCCTTTGAGGAGCTTCAAATTCGGCCAGACACGCTGGGCCCACCCTGAGTAAGAGAGAGGAGGTCCTATGCTCTGAAGTTCATCTGCCCGTTGTGGGTCTGTACGCAAGTGGACCTAATGCCATCAGATTTCGTCACAACACGCGCATCATTTTGATTACTTACCTGCAAATAAGGCCGGACGTGGTCTATCTGATCGAAATCTGGGATGATCCCATTCCGAATACCTGAGACGAGTACGTCCCACTCTTCTTTGATGCGATGCACCATGTCGATGAAATAAGGTAAAAATGTCACAGCAAACCCCTCCAGGGATGTATTCGCCAACGCAAAGAGTGCGTGGATCAGCAGGAAGGACCGATGGTGAATGATAAATCCTGTTGCCCATGGAGCTACGTGGCCGGGGACTGTGCAAGTAACGTCGTGTGTAAATGACCACAATCAATGAAATTTGGATGATCATCCACTTACGTATAGACCCCATGCGAGTATCATCAGTTTCGATGGACCAATTATTCTGTAAGCGCATTACCCCGGACGACTGGTTGCATAGAGGAATCCTCTTCGTGACTTCTCCAGAATCCGTTACTACTTCTACCGGGTCTCTATATGCGAAGGTAAAAAGGAATGCAGTAGTCTTTATACGCAAGGGCGGGGGTCCGTGGGCATAGGGCTGAGAGCGAAAGTACTTCACGAACTGCTTGGACTTCCTGTTCGTTGTGGCACTTGAGAGGGGGATGTAAACTGGAAGACCAGGTGCAAACATGTCCTCAACTTCGGACAACTTGCAAGGGCGGGAATTGAACTTGTCAAAAAACGGGCGGTAAGACTCGTAGTCTGTAAGCGGGACAAGGCGACGGAAGTCAGCAAGAACAGACTCGTCAGTCTGCACGTCTGTATTTTCAATAGCCAGACGGAAGTCCGAGAGGCTGGAGGAGCTACGAGCATAACGGCTCTTGCTGTTCATAGCTATCAAGTCCCTCAAACGACGGTCCGTGTCCTCTTTCAGGACTGCCTCAAGCTCGGGGGTCAAGGTAGTAGTCGGATGCACTGTGTTAGTAGACATCGAGGGTGGGAAATCTGGACTACGTGTGGCTGGTCTGGTGATTTTGAAGAAAAGTTCGATATCAAGGTGAACCTTTTATATAGACATCCCCACAGGACTACGGCTCCCTTGCCGCCTAGCTCCACCTCGTAACCGGTACGACGAAGATGCACTTGGATGATATTGCTCGGCTAAAGTGGGGGAGTGTGAAAGTCATATCCGCCTTCGCTGCGAGGGGTATACATTAGTACCGGGTTGTTGTACAGTCTGTTACCGCCGATTGGCCGATCGGTAGGGCCATACTTCCATTGAGTTGAAATCTCATTCAATTGAATGGAATTCTTCGGGAGTTGTATCAAATGAACTGATTTTTCAGCTAGAGCCCATGCATCATCTTGTGCTGCAGTGACGTCCCACGGCCGATACCAGTCAGTCCCAGGTACCAAGCTCCTGCGGTTGTGTCCAGGGCTTGAAACCCGTCACCCATAAACAGGCCAACTCGTACACCTGGCGGGATCGAATGTCGCAAGCTTGTCATGCAGGTGACGCTATGAAAATAACAGGCAGAATTCTGGCGAATTCGCGATAAGAATCTTGAATGGACGTACAAGCCCGGACGTATCTCGGGAAAACAGACTCGCTGCATTGCAGTATAGAATTCTAAGCCGCACAGCACGCCCTGGCATACCTTGAACTTGGCGCCAGGGTAAACATGTGGATTCCTTTCTTCGTTACGATGCAGTTGCAAGGCCAGAGGTCTGGACTGGTCAGGGTGGTGGCACCATGGAGCTAACTCGGAATACCGCATTCGGTTACACAAACGGTGTCACAGCCACTTTTGCAACCTCGGGCCCAGCGTTCTCTCCGAATGACGACGTCCAGGTAGGTCACTGTCGTTACGTTTCCATGCATAAATAAATGAGAATTGTGGTTCGCGGACTCGACTGCGTTCGTTGACACGAAGTGGAATAAAATGCTGGGAAATGAAGGGAGCTTTTGTACGGTAGGTACGAAGAGCTGCCAGTGCTAACGCGCAGGTGAGTTCGTTTCCACATCATTCCTCACTCACCGTCCTTAAGAGACGAGCCAAGCTATTAGCGTGGTTGACTCTGCCGTTTACTGTCTGCCACCCGCTTGTTTCCATCCATCGGATTGGCCCTAGACCTTCGGATCACCTAAGGAAATACACTTCATCCTAGCGCGTCCTGGAAGGACAAGCGAGCGACTTGAGAGGGGACGGGACACTCGCTAGGACAATCCGACGCCTCATTGACAGTACTGCTACATACAGTTCGTATGTTGGACCTCAGAGGCGTCGAGCAAGATATGGAGCAGCTTCTCGTGGTCGATGGCATTTTCATACGGTGGTTTGCCTCCTACCATCCAAAACAAGGGGCGGCGCAAATATTACTGATAAGGAAAACCGATATATGGCTATGTCTGGCCTTGTCTGGCGTATGGAGGCATTTTCAGCATAAGCCAATTGGGCACCGTTCAAAACCGAAAAAGACCAGACACCAACTCATAAATGTAGACTCCAGGAATCCCCCACCATCAAGACCCCACTCTCGGGGGACCATATTTCCGCAGTAGGAAGGATTCCAGAAGATGTCGCAATCACGATCCGGATGAGGTATGGGGTGCCTTTGTCTTATCATTCAGCTCAAGGCCGTCAGCTCCACAGAAATACTAAGGTAATCCCTGGTGACTAACTTCCCAGACGGGGTGTGTACCACTTCCAGCCCGGCAGCTCGGACGTTGGTGGTACGACCGCTGGTGGCCTGCCACCTAGCACAACCCAGCCCTGGCCTGCTTCTTGAGAAGGACACGTCAAATGACCAGAAACCGTTAACCCTCATCGTGGCGTCCAACGTTCAACAGCTTTGTGGCACGGTAGAAGCGATTTAGCGAGGAGAACTTTATCCGGGCCAGGCTCTGTCATCCAGAGAGTGGGACCCCGGGGCCAAGGGAAAATCTATGAGAGAGGCCTCGTTTTGGCTTGGTTGGAATGCTGCGGGCTTTGTTCTTTTTTAAGAGGGACGTGTGGAGTCCGCAAAGCTTTTCATGATCGGTGAACTGGCAAACCGTGATTCAACCGCTGGCCGCGTCCCAAGGCAATGGGAATGCGTATATAAACCATACTTACCTACTTCGTGCCAACACGCTACGACGCTTGCACACACGTGTAGGGTCAGGTATGTCCCGAAACTACCATATTTTTACCTCCCAGTTCATTGAACCATGGCCATCCTATTCGCCTCCACCATATTATCGTCTGACCCTAGCACTTCACGAAATGGCCTCGCCATGTAGAGCATGCACCACGGCTTCTAGTCATTGCGCAGCACGCCCACTTGTTGCCCACTCCAACAGCAACCATTACTAACCCTCTTTGGCACCGAACGTTGAACAACAAACTCTGTGCGAATAAAGCAACTTAGCCAGTTGTCGGCTATTAGTTTTCCAGCAGCAGTAGTAAGCATTACTTCGCTGGGTTCGTTTATAGGAATCAAGTCTCATTCTACGTAAGAACCCTCGATTTCGGTAATCTCATAACCAACTATAGCTGGCTTGCTTCGGACCACAATTGGTAGTACCCCACACAACTACCGAACTCCAACAAGTTCTGGCGATTTATGAGCCACACCGCGCAAGGAAGCTTCCATTCTCAACTTCTCATTCACCATCCTCACTCCCGCATTATCAGACAAGGACTCCCGCTTGCACGTCGAACGCTATCACTGCGCGCGTTATTCCCAGATGTTTCGATGGCCACCGGTAATCTTCCAAGGGAAAACAAAGGAACATAACTGGAAAAGCGAACCGACGAATCTAACGTTTACATATCTACCTTCTGACAAGGTCGTTTCCATAAAGCGAGATTACGGCTTCAGCTCATTCAACTCGCACTATTTATATGCACATCAGCCTACGGTCTAATTTTAACTCCTGCTAGTGTTGTTCGCTACGCTGGCCGCGGTCATGTGCGAGATCGCAGTGCAGACAGACCAAGCCACCTTTGTAAAAAAGAGCCTGACACGCTGGGCCCCCGTTCGATCCTCTCCCAGGCGATACGGTTGCCTGGCACTATATCCAGATTCGCAAAGCTTCCAGTCCTTTCGAACATCGATGTATTAGTACTCACGCGACCCTCTTCGATGCGTCGAGGTTTCGTGGTGGTGCAAATTTTCTGGAGTCGCCAGTACATACTACACAGTGACATGCTCTAGAACCTGCTCGCCTGCATCCCACCTAGCCATATGTACATAGGCTCGTTACGGTACGCCCCACGATCGATCTACTGTAATCATTAACTTTATTTCAACCGACCCTCGATCAAAAGTGAGTAGTAACACGGCCTCCGTGCGAAAGTTGGTAATCCGCTTACGGCCTCGAAGATAAGGGAAATACCACGCCAACGCCAGCCTCATATCCGAGGACAGGCTCCGCGGGAGCTGTTTCCAATGCTCAGCGGGTGCTTTTCACCTGCCAACCTTGCTTTACTATCACATGTTTCTGTGGACTTGCTTATCAGGACCGTGCCACTTACGTAATTGTAGCAACCGTCGAATCTTCTTCTCGATAGTCAAAATGTAAGGTGGTCTCGGTCAAATTAAACGTGTGGATGATGTGCGGTATGCGCACGCAGAGAACTCGTGCCCATCCTCATTGCCTGTACAATTGTCCTTCTCGGGAAGACGCCGCAGTTCCACCGTAACGCTTAATATCGTAAACTCCGTAGGCCTTCTATCGCATCAGATAGGGGCTCGAGATATATCAGTCACGGAACACGATCGATTGTGATTGTCACATGAGGTACAGCAGAAGGTACTTATCAGAGTTGTTGGGGGCCACACACCTGACTCGACTTGAAAGAACACGTTCTCTCCGACCATATACAGGGGGCAACTGGGCACACCACTGGGTCATCATCACGCCCTTGATGCCGCAGTCAAACAAAATGCGAGAAGTACGCCAAGGTATCACAAGTAATCCAGATAGATCGGTCCCAGGAAGGCTTCCCGCACTCATGTTACATACCAGGTTTGTTGGAAGATGATCAGACTCGATATCCCATCGTCAGATCCACTCGTCCGTGAAGTCCAACTCAGGTATCACAGATACCCTGGCTGACTCCACCGAAGAGTCAATCATGATGCGTGATGCATTGATGGTGGGCACGCACTGTGCGCGTGTTCGTATCCTCAGGGTTTGGGCGCCACTCGTAAGACGAAAAGAACCCACTCGCAATTCAACATACTTGCCGAATTTGAAATTTGCTGTTGGATGCCTGTCGCCGGTGTTGGAATCGCAATATGCTTGCCTTGCTCGTGGCATGTGCTGAACCTGTCGCCCTTTATCTCAATGTCGAGTCCCATTAGCACCGCTTGTTTGTCGATGAGCCTACCGATAGTTATAGACTATGGCTGATTTGTCCGGCATGAGCGTCGTGCACTTACGTACCCTGACTCATTAACAGGGATTGCAGTGCAAAATGGACTGAACGTGCTGCGGCAATTGTCCAAGGTGGAGGTGATCGATTAGTGCATACTCCTATGTGTATGGTGTGGCGACTGCAGGTCGAAATTCCGCGAGGCGACCCCCGCAACCGGTGACAATGACGTTAAATCATAGCTGCTGTTGGTCAATGGAATGTATAAAGAGCGAGTAGCAGTTGTCAGGTACATGAAGCCAACTAATTGCTTCCCTTTATGCATACCCAGTTACCTGTATCACTGGGTCAAGGGCAACGAAAAGTTGGACCTGGAAGACATACACATACATAGCCTCCTTTGAGGTTTGAAACAGGCACATGCAACCGAGACCTACCTGGAACCAACGCGAACATCATCTCCACCTTATCGTGCAATTGCCACTCGTACAGGGAAAACGGCGATCACGTCTTCCCAAGATAATTTGTATTTCCAGCTCCACTTGTATCGAGGATGTTGTCTGCAGACTCTCACATGTGATCAAAGACGTCCGACAACCACGTCTACAAGGTGAGATAGACAGAGTGAACGTAATATCGATGAACGTAATACATATATATGCACGTTGGTCCGGGTATCCGAGACCGACTCGGCAGAACAATATACCGGCACGCAGCGGCTTTTCTTCAGGAATATGTGGATTCTAGAAAAAAACAGTACAGGGAGAGTCGGTGCTGTGTAAGCACAATGTACCGCAGCACTTCAATGCTGTGCACCGAGATCGATTGCTGGGTTCGATTCGACAAAAGCAACAATTTCGAATCGGAAAAACGTGTCGCTCAGCGGTGACTCGGGGATGACCGTGGACTGTGCAGATCGTGTCCTAGGAAGAAGGCTTCCGCTGAATGGCCAAGCTGTGGGTCACTTCGCCCGGTCAACTTGTTGCACATAGCTTGTTGCAGCCCAGAAACTGTCCAAAACCTGCACCCGGCTCCGACACCTCATCAAGGGTCCTCCGAGTCGCTGAGATCACGCCAAGCTTTAGCCCTGTGTACGATCAGCCTGGCAGAATGTTATAACTTTAAGCCGCAAATATCGATGTGGGAGGCTAGCAATGTAATGGGAAGACCAGAATTGCTCTGGTGACCTCTGTTAAACAGTTGTTCGCGCTTCTTCGACATGTGGCATCGTTCACGTCATTCGTTGTACACCCTGGTGCCACCACGGTGCGATGGTTTACGAACCCTGAGGCCTGACGTGGCCGACCCCTCGGAGTCGCTAAGAAACAAACGTTACCGATGATCGCGATGCGGCCCGTTATTATTCGAAGCAAGAGATTTTCCGAAGGGATGAACTTTGGAATTTCCAATGCAGGGATTGGGCCTGGGCGGCGTCTGGTCGAGAGAGATCGTTGAGCGCAGCGCGTAAGTTCAAGTTGTAGACCTTTCGGATTTGATTTCGAGTCTTGAATTGGAGAAGTCAGGGATTGCAATCCAATCCTCCACCGTATGGCCCGAGCTCGCTGAGGTTGCAAGGATGCGTATCTTTACACCAAGATCCAAATTTTGGCACTGTACTTGCTTATTTAGTATTTCAATACCACTATTTACGTCCCAGACTCGAGCCCAGCAGCTCTGATGTAACTCTCGAGAACCAAATCTACCGGTGCTCACCGTCACGGTTATTACGTCCCAAACATTAGCTCGACGCGTCAAGGTTCGGCTTCATTTATTGATCAACCGAGTTGTATGTAACTTGTAACGTACTAGCGTTCTTCTATGTACAGTACTTCCTTATCATCGCGTCCGTCCGCCGGCGATGTACCCCCGTAAAAAGCGATATATGTATCGCAGTAAGTGCTATCCTCCTACGGCGGAACGCATAGCAAACACATGTGGCTGACCAAGTTTTTGGAAGGTTCGGACAGAAATTTGGCGACGATGCAGTCCGCGTGTCACCAGTGATCAGACACACAACAGCGCGGCCCATCGACCCCCCGAACACCACCTTTCACGTCAAACTCGACAGGACTCGAGAACCTCCTTCCTCGATACAGTAACAGACAATGAATCTCATTTTATCATATCAAGCTATCCTTCCATTTCCTGTGTAATAAGCGATACAGGCCGAGTGATCATCAACGACAACGACGCACAACTCGTGATACGAACGAGCGATGAAAGACTTTATCTGTTTTTATTCGACCCATCACGGGCAATTGCTACCGAGAGCCACTGTGGTGACCACAGATGACGATATGACAACTCCGTGTGTATCGGAAAACGTTATACTGTTCAATCTGCGTAGCAAAGTATGAAGCTCCACAGCTGTCACTTGCTGGTCCTTTCGTGGGGAAGATCTTATAATGCATAGTCGTCAGGGCGGTACTCCGCAACACCACTTCAGTGCAGTCCGCGGGGGAAGTAGATTGATAGTGGATATGTATGTATACTCGAAACAAGGGGAGGCGCTCGGGCTACACCAAACTAGGCGATGTTGGCGCACAGACTGCGATATTTTTTCGTGCGTTTGATGGGAGAGAAAACAACCGAGCATGCGCGCATCAGTTTGTTGTGATGAATATAAAGATTATTGAGCGGCCGTCCTGGAATGCTTTGAATATCCATTCAACATTCTTGCATGTATTATCAAACATACGCCGCTCGTACGCCTACTCGCCTGGATGTGCACGGAACGCCCTGGAGTCATCGTCAAGGATCCCTGCTGCGGTCGCTGCTACAAGCGAAGCAACGCTCCTATGTGCAGATGTCACCATCATTATGATGGGCCTCATGTAGGAACTCCTATCTCCAGAATCCTTCGTGGGACATATATAGGATTCTAGGTCGAGAGATACCGGCGTCCGTAACTCCGGTCAGTCAACCGTTGGCAGTCGCGCGATGTCCAATCTTGGTTGGCAGGCCGAGGAGGTTGTCGTTGCGGTTTCCTGGGTCCAAGGGGCTGCATGGTGTGCAACCGCATGCTTCTCCGATATTCGCACTTGTGGGGATCCATTTAAATCCTCGAAGAGAAGGTTGGATCCATGGTGGAGAAGTTCTCCCAGGGGCCCCTGCCAGTCACGTGGTCAATCATGCAATGAATATTAGCCCGCCTATTATCATTTGTGCGAGCTAACTGTCAGGGCGAGTTGCACGCACCTGCCAAGACGGAGTATTGCAGTGGAACAACTATCAGCTTGCCATAATATTATCGCAAGCGTCGCAAATCAAATAATGAAGGAATATGCCGCAACACGTTGCCAGGTTTCCGAAGGGGAGCCATTTCTCTCCTGCGCTTTATCAGGTCATATCGAGATGTCATCAAGCTGGCCGCCGTTCCGTGTTTTGACCCTGGACATCCGCACGTTCGAACTCCCCGGCGATGCGTTTCTTCCCGCGGAAACGAGCGAAGGGTAGTGTTCCGTGGATCAGGGTGGATCGTAAACGTATTCGGAAACTCCCAGGAAGGAGCCTACAAGGTATTGGAGTTTGGATGGTAGGTGTCTGATTGAAGTTCAGAGTGGTTGATCGCGAGTGTCTAGGATGCGGCTAGTGCGGTCAGCCTCTGTGGTCCACTCAAATCGGGCCCGCAGATATATGGACTGCATAAGGCGATGTTTTTCAGCAGAATAGGGGAGTTACGTATCGGTAGCGCGCTGGGTGTCATGAAATATACGAGGTTGTGAGTTGTCCTAATAACAACAGCTGGGCGTGATATATCGATGGGCCGGAAGGCAATATCATGATATTTTTATGATCCGTTCCAGACGAACAGATGGGTTACGATGGCAGCGTAGGATCCGTATGTGATGGCAAGACGTTGAACCTGAACCTGAGTCATGGGCGTAGGAAATGCCGCGCGTGCTGTGTGCGTGCAACGCCGTCGCGTCGACTAGAAATATTAATGCGGCGTTTTGAAAAGCTGAGTGTGTACCCGCGATGGGCCAGCTGATCAGTGGCGACGCACATTTGTCTAGATGTGACGTTATGACAGCCTCTTTATCGTTTCGTCAACCAGAAGTTTTTCTTTCTTATTGGTGCACAGTCGCTAACAGCCTGAAGGTCTGACGTCTGCCGCTAGTTTGCGGTTTGGTACCAGTCGCACGTGCGTTCGGGCTCGGTTGTGCTCTCGACAAGTTTGTCCTCGGAGAGAGATTTCCATGTTTGGATAAGGGCCGATCTGAGATCTGGACACAGCCCCCGAGTGGGACCCCGGGCTGAGGTGGGCTGTCCGAATAGGAAATGCGAGTATTTTATAATTCCTATAATTGTTTATATTCTCTCGCTCGCTCGGCAGGGCGACAATTATTATATGGCCTCCTCCTCCACTGGCAGTACTCCTGCACCACCGTCGATTCTACTCCGTCCAGCCTTGCTCGACAACATGTTCGCATCCTCCCCGTCCTCATCGTCGTCCTCGTCCTCGTCTGTGTCTGTGTCCTTCCGCCACCCTCGCATCCGTTTCGCACCCCTCCCAGAGCCGAGGCGAGACGACAACCCGTGCACCGACGGTGAAGACTGCGATGACGACGAGACCACTTCCGAATCAGAGACATCCGAGGAACGCGACTCCCTTTTCGCTGATCCATCTCCCTCCTCGTCGCCGTGCGCCACACAGTCAACGCCCGCCGTCCAGTCTGTCTCGCGGGCCAGCAAACTCCTCCGCCTGTTTCGTCTGACGTCAGCATCCACCCCCGCGCCTGCCTCCCGGGACGACGACCTCCGTCCTCGCAGTCGCTCTCCTCCCCCGGCCTCCTCCTCGTCATCCACCGTCCTCTGCCGCACCACGTCTCTCTCCTCCAACCACTCCCGCTCTAAAACGAATCACTCTCGGAGACATTCCGCCCCGCCACTCGGCGCAGGTGGTGGTCGCCACAGTTTCGTATCCAAAATGCTCGCCGCTCCATCTCCACTCTCACAGCAGCAACAGCCGCCATCTCCTTCGACGCCGCGTGGAAATTCCAACAGAAATCCAAAACACGTCAGAATGCTAAACGGAAGGATATACGGTGCGAAACGACACCCAGGTATGTCCCTTTCTTTCCTATTACGTACCATCGCTTCCTACGCGCTGGTATCATTCTACTATCATTATATAACTATCACAACGCTCACGGTAACGACACACAGTCCACTCCAACGCGAACCCGTTCGCATCCGCACGCGACGAACCAGAATTCGTGGAGTGGGGTTATGGCGGTATGGGCTCCGTACGCGCAAGCGGAGACGTCGCAAACTCAGTGTGGAAGGGCCTCCATGCAAACGGAGGCTCGGGTGCGTATATCACTGCCTTTATTGGCCCGCTCTTGTTCTCATGTCATTGCACAGGTACATTATCCCATAAACCCACCGCTTGGGGGGCAGGCGGTGGAAGAAGCACTGCGTCTGCTCGTAGGCACATGACCCAGACAGCACCAGAATGCAGTATGGGTAGTGTGACCGCTGGCGGTGACGACGAAGACGACGGCAGCGGAATGGGGTGGGTAAAGCGCAGAAGAGCTGAGAGAGAGGCAAAGTTGAAAGCAGAGCGCGAGGCAAAGGAACGTGCGGAACGTGAGGCTGCAGAAGACGAGAAAGAACCCAGAAAGAGTGGCGAGAGCATGTGTGCGTCTACCCTATCTACATCAACATCCTCAGGTGGTACGATCGGGGCTGGTTCTTCTCCAGTGGCGAGCACCAGCACGTCCGTGACTGACCTGTCATCATCACCAGCTGGAGACCGAACAACCGGAGAACACAAGGACACCGGCGATCACCAGCAGCACCAGGAACATCGCGTTTTGGCAACCATCCTCAGACCCCTCACCAACAAACAAGTTCAGTCGGGCGAACCCAGTCCCATCGAGAGCAAGACCCCATCCTCCCCTGGCGAGGACGACGACGATGACGAAGAGGTGTTGGTAAGTCGGCTGTTCTGTGCGTTGCATCAGCCGCTGATCAAGCAACAGGATACGCGCAGTAGGATGGCCCGTGGGGCCGGGGTGGAGAAAGTGAGCAAACATGTCAGCGGTGTAGGTCTTGGCGAGCCGTAAAAGATCTCAAGCGCTTGCGGGAGCGACGCGGATAACGGACACTCGTCGTCGTCCCCCCACCTCACCTCACTCCACCGCCTTCCGTGTCGAAGTGCCATACCTTCCGACCATATCAGTCCGCTGCGTCCGCCGTGCGCCTATGCAGCTCGTCTAACTGGCGTTGCTTGCACTTCACGCCATAAATTTATCCCCTTTAATACTCTCGGTCAACACCGACGTCCAAACTGTATCCATACGAACTCTCCCTCCGACACATTGTACAGCATAGTTGGCCATTGGCCTGACAAGTACCTCTCTCAGACAAGCGACGCAAGATGCGGCATATCGGCTCCCTTCCTTCAATTTCGTCACCTCAACCCCTGCTCTCATTCTCCATTACCTTATTCGCCCTCCTGGCCATTCTCCGTATCGTATTTCTTTTCGCTGCCTGCCTCTGCACGCCGCATATTATATACCGTACTCCCCGTCAGTCGTGTTCAATTCTGGATGTTCCCCCCGATTCTTTCTTTTTTCTTTCACTTAGGGTTTCCCCACCTTTTTCGGTGGTTTCTTCGAAAGACTATTCACATCCCGCCTCGTTCTTCATTTCTCGTGGCTTCTAGTAGTTGGTCCCATTTCAGTCTCTTTCTTTTTCTTTGACTTGTGACTTGGCATGTATGCGTATCACCGCTCCCTCCTTTTGTCCGTTTTCTTTTTCTTTCTCACTTGGTTTCGCAACCCCATCCGCTTATACGCTCCCCACTGTGCACATTATTGGCATTCGTCTTTGCATGTAAAAGCTACACGAGTAGGTAGCTAGATACACCACAGCACCTTTGTTGATACCCTTCAAATCTTCAGCCTGCAATCACACTTATCCTTGGTCTGCAAATGACCAAGCAATGGCAATGACAATTGAGTTATCGTTAGAACTCCGACGTCCAGTACTGTTTGACAGGTGCGTGCCAGTCAAAAGTCGTTAACCTTGTTCCCAGCGACTCGATCGACAGCTCCTCGACTCACGCCTCAGGAGAGGGTCTGTCCATTCCGAATTCTCCATACGGACATCCAGACGCTCGAGATCGAAGAAGGAAGATCTGGGGACGGAATCTGTGCGTGCACACACAAACACATACACGCAGTCATGAGAGATATAAGCCATTCGTGCCCGCGTGCCACCATGGCGCACTACTTCAGAAGGATCGATGATGATGATGATGATGATGATGTGACATGACTTCGACACGATAAGTTTAGAGTATGGTAGTATGGTGTATGGGCGTGCGTGAGTTTTGCGGGAGGAGATTAGATCAAATGTATGTGAGTGGAGATTAGATAGATATATAATAGTCCAGTGCAATATACATACCTACCGTATCAAATGATGATGATGATGGTGGTGGTGATGAGTCGGAAGTGTGTGAGATAAGTAGTATGCGGCATTTGTGCTTTGGAGGACGACTAGTTCGTGTGTGCAATCATTTGCGTACGGGATTAGACGGGCGATGGAGAAGGGTTTGGGGATACAGTTGTGTTCCAAGGCACGGGGACCGCGGAAGGTAGAACATGCGTGAGAAGCTAAGAAGGACCTTCTAGAGAAGACGGTGGTCAACACGGTCCGAGTCTTCAGTTCGCCGGAGTTGCGGGTGTGAAGGACCTCGATCGAGATAGAAAGGCCACTGGCTGTTATCCAACATAGGTATACAGAGAAAGGGTGACGGCCGCGATGACAAGTCTGTGGGAAACGAAGCCCAATCGGTTTGTAGGATAGATAACCGTGTCATCCATTCAACCAGTGGAAGGCTGAAGGTTGACTGACGGAGCGAAAGAAAAGAGGGAGGGAAAAAAGACAAGGTACAATGGGCGCTGCGGTCCCAGCGCAGTAAATGCGCAACCCCTTCCGGTTCCCACTACATATCGGCGTATTAGTTTCCATGAACCCCCATTAGCAGTACGTATGAATGTTGTTCTGGATAGAAAATTCCATCCGTTGTCATTACACAGGGTGTGGCTTACCGTCACATTGAATGTGATAAGGGAACGATGGACGTGCCAAGAGATATTTATTATCGATAGCCCGGTTGGTCCTGATAACCTGTCCGTCGCCACTGAGCTGATCTGCCCGCGATAATCCCCAGAAGCGTAAACCTACGTTCGAACAGAACCTCAATTATCGAAGGGAGGCACGAGACTATCGAGGTCTACTGGACCACCGGTGATCAAAGGCGAAAGGAATGTATAGGGGGTTAGAATGCCCGAAACAAGGAGTGTGACAGACATGCCTTCGTCAACTGGTCAGCCTAACCACATAAAATCTCGGACAAGGAACAGAAAATGGTTTGAAAGCCTATCCAACGCTTGTCGCCTGTCATCGCGCTGTTACGAGGACTGTCCATTATCGTTACACATACATACCTATCACATGCAGATGGGTCATTGGCAGCCTCGTACGCCACCCTGATCCCTATTAGCATGTACCAACACTGTACCACATTCCCAACCACTGGCGATCGCTTACCAGCATACACCTACTATTACGCAATTGGCTCACGATTTCCCACATTCCACCATGAGAGGTTTGTCGATTTCTACGAGTGGCGTTTGAGTTGTCGGTCTTCTGGATCTCTCTCGAGACAAAGAGGAATGTGAAACCGGGGGACCCCGGGTAGATGGATTCGAACGCCTGTTATGATCAATCAGCCAAGGGTCCTCCGGTCACAGGCACACACGCACCGGACCGAAGCCAAGAAAACGGTCTCCATGAAGGATTGGATGTCTTGGCCTTAGGCTAGGAATGAACCCCAGCGTGATCCCCGTGATGCGGGGTGTCCTGACGCTAAACGATTAAGCTTTGCAGCCTCTCTTTCTTTCTGGTCCACCCTTAAGTAAGTAGGTACACGTCACCCGACCTTCATTAAGGGACTCACTGCACCACCATGGACTGGCAAGCACCACCATGCACCATCAGAATTCTGCATAGAAAGATAACGAAGAAGGTATGGTAATGTCTTGGCATTGAGACAAGCCCTTTCCGAATTGCCAATATGTAGTAAGTCAGCAAATTCTTGGATAAGCAGGCTGTGCAAGTCTCAAGATATGCTAGTCACTTACAAGCTCTGAAGTATTAGCCCTGTGATCATGCCTATCCCCTTGATTGGGACTCTAGTGTCGGACGAGTTTACGAGTGCTAAGCCACCGAAAGCGCGATTAGTAATGATGTGCACAAGGGAAGTGCGTGTAGCGTACACGCTGATGCCAAGCCAACATGCTCAGAACAGCAACAATTGGCCTAGGTGTGTGTACGCCGCCATCAGTATACAAACAACGGTAACGGACTCTTACGAACTGCGAGCGAGTCAGTCCGCAGCTCGGAAGCTTTTCAGTGTGATTTTCTACAAAACTCATCTGGCCTTGACGAAATGGCGATCAGCCGTGCTGCTGTCCGTTACGCCTTCTACAACACCTGGATGACTGGATACAAGAAGAAAATGTGCAGCGGACGTAATGCCACTCTGACACCCTGGGAAGCACGAAGTAAGACATACCGACATACTTTCTTAGCCCCTCTCCGCGCGAGAAAATCCATGACATGTCTGAATCTGCAACCCCCGAAACAACTATTTTCACCACTCGAATTTGCGTTCATGTTCTCACGAAAAATGCTGTGTTGCACCCGAAAGAGGTTTTTCCGGCTATTTTCCAAACGGGTCCGCAAAATCAGCTGGAGCTGGGAAGTGCCGGATTACTTGTTTGCGGTTGTCCTAGTCACCACCCAAGCCTGCTGGAACAGACTAGAACATACGTTAGCTGCGATCAAACGAAAGGAAAGGAATTTGTGATAAGTTCCCCCCACATCAACCTAGACTGTTCTGCCAGGCAACTTGACAGTTAATGTGTAGAGGACCCACGACACTGTGCCATTCGTGCCACTTTGGAAAGTGCGTGCCATGGTGAAGGCTACAAGGCATTAGACTAAAGCTTCATCGCTATCGCGTCCCTTTAACACCACACAGGCGAAAGGGTGATCGGGGGTGTACGAGATATTCCTTGCTGACAACGGGGAGCTGGAGATTGTAGGTGGCCGATACAACGAATTCCAGTATCGATCTTATCAGATGACAGGATCGATAACACTCAAAGATGACCCCAGTGGCTCAGGAACCCACGGGGTGTACAGGTGTTATCAAGTCTTGTGACCACTGCGGAAGCGTAAATAGTCGACCCTGCACTAGATAGGGGAAGGGGACTTTCCACCGTTCATGAAGAGCATTTATGCCAGAGGACAATGAGTATGCAATCGTGTCTCCTGTGTTTCAGTGATTATGGTTAAGTCCACAACAAGGCAAGTCTAACCGTCGATTTCGCTGGGAATACCAGAGGGATAATCGCCATTGACAAACAGGGAACCTCGAGGCAAAACTTTGCCAGGTTTTCAGTTCGAACGGTGATCAAGATTGATCAATGAGTCATCCGCCTCTGTCGACATGCTGCAAGGTAGGAAAGTGTCTTGAACCCTAGCGGGTTAAAGACGGGGTTGTTGCTCGCCTTGTGGTTCCTGCGCGGACGACCACAAAGGCCATGGAATCACTCCATGACTCTTTGAGGGCAAGGGTAAATTGGGAGCATCGTCACCACCTTTGTGCTGGTGACGGAAGTGAGGAATTGAATTTCGCACGGGACAATCTATGTGCCGGCGAGAAGAAGTCTTCCATGAATGATGGTGTGCCCACCCTCTGATCGCAGGAAGATACCCAGCTTCTTATCGCGATGCCGCGAGCAGGTGACCCATCACAGAGAAGACGAGAACCTCCCCCCACTCCGGATGTCTACTTCGTCAGCCCTATAACCATTCGGGTCGGTCCGCAGCGGGGCGTAACTTGAAGGCAGTAAGGCTGGTCGTACGTATCAGTGTTATTGCTCCTAGTCTGACGATAGGTACATTCCGCTCGGTGAGTGGACAAACTTGAAACTTGAAGCTTGAAGGCGCGTTCCAGGTCGCGTGCCACACGCTAACCCCGATATGAACCCGAGCGACACGCGCGTCGTGAGAACGATACAGTTTACCCCTTTCCAAACCATTGCGAAGTACAAAACCACGAAGCATGCTGCAGAATGGAACGGTACGAAGACTTATATTATACTAAGTCTATATGCCCACATACAGCGCCCACAATTTGTGATTCTGTCCTCGTGGCAGCAGTGAGTCAGGCTTGCTAAGGTGCAGATTACACCATAGTTGCATTTTTCTACGTCACAGTAAGGTGAGATTTATATATCGCTTGTACGTCCTTGTTCGAGTCGCCCTACTATGAACTGAGAGTTGAGTAATGCCTGCGCTCCACGTGTGAGACAGTACCGACGCACCGCCGACGTCCACACGAACAGAGCACTTTGGACTTGTCACATGACTAATGATTGGTTCGTTGCGTCATTTGTGTCACGTGACTCGGATTACTTTTTTGAGTGAACATCATGCTTTTGGCTCAGTAATCCAACGCTCCTTTGGGGGGTCACGCTGACTGCATAGACGCAGGAAAACAGTATAAAACTCTCACTCAGCGAGCTCGCAGTGGCTCGCTTTTGACTAGCAAAGCTGGCTCTCAGATTGTCCTCGGCGCTCTCCGCAGCGAGATTCATACGACCACCTAGTGCTGGACCCTTGGCTAGACTCCACCAGGTTTGCGGCGCCCCATATGTCTATTTTGATTTTTAACGCCACACTGTCGTTATCTGTTATCATGACATCAGATATCCAGGTCTCTCGCTTCCACCAGCACCATCAAGAATGGCGCCATTGGATCGTCCGACAGTCGACCGTTACGACTATATCTGTATAGGTGGAGGTAGTGGAGGCGTGGCTTCGTCGGTATACTGCGCGTTTATCGCTTCTAAGTTGAAATGTTGATAGTTGGCATTCAGCGTCGGGCAGCGTCCTATGGAAAGAAAGTCGCACTCGTCGAAGTCTCTCCCTACCTCGGCGGTACCTGCGTGAATGTTGGTACGTGTCGCCCGGTTCTTTCTCGTGAAATCTCGGATCAAATGCTTCCCAACACATTATAGGATGTGTTCCTAAGAAGGTTAATCTCCCTTTCCTCTCCCAGCCTCCTGAGCTGATAATGGGTCGCCTGATGTAGATAATGTGGCACGCCGCTGACATGGCAGATAGACTTCGCCATGCCGCCGATGGATATCACTTTCCGCGGCGTCCCCGAGCCCAACTTCGACTGGCCAACCTTCAAACTCCAGAGGGATGCATACATTCGGAAATTGAATAACATCTACGAAAAAAACCTCGACAGAGAACACGTCGAGTATCACCCGGGGTATGCGCGCTTCGTTGCCAAGGACGCAATCGAGGTGATAAGGCCCAATGGTGAAAAATATGTGATGCGCGCAGGATCACATTACTGTCGCAGTCGGCGGATGCCCTGTGATTCCTTCTGACGACAAGATTCCGGGAGCGTCGCTTGGTATCGACTCGGATGGGTTTTTTGAGCTCGAGGATCAACCAAAACGTGTCGCAATTGTTGGTGCTGGGTATATCGCCGTTGAACTGGCTGGTGTTTTGAATGCGCTCGGTTCTGAAACGCATCTTATCATCCGAAAAGACAATGTTCTACGCAGCTTCGACCCTACATTGCAATGATATCCTGACTCCATGGATGGAACACACTGGAATCAAGGTTCACAAGCATTCTAACGTAACAAGAGTGGAAGGTGAAAAGGGCAAGACATTGACTGTAGCAGACGGACAAGGGGGACGCAATTGAGGTTGATTGTCTGCTTTGGGCCATTGGTCGGCGGTCTAACACGGAAAACCTCGGGTTGGAGGATATAGGGGTTAAAACGGACAAAAAAGGTGACATCGTCGTCGATGATTACCAGAATACCACCACGAAGGGCATATACGCTATTGGTGACGTGCAGGGGAAGGCGTTACTCACCCCTGTAGCCATTGCAGCAGGAAGACGCCTTTCAAACAGACTATTCGGTCCCGAGAAGTTCAAAGACGACAAGCTATCGTACAGGAACATCCCCACGGTTATATTCTCGTGAGTGAGTGACACTGACTCGCTGGCCATATATCTGACCGATTACCAGGCATCCACCGATTGGTACTGTCGGTCTGACAGAACCAGAGGCTCGACAATTGTATGGCGATGACGTGAAAATCTGTGTGTTATTGTTTTACGTCGCTCCCTCCTGATCACTGACCCGAGCAGACAAATCTTCGTTCCGTTCGCTGTACTTCTCACAGATTGACGAGGAACACAAAGAGCCGACCGTTTACAAACTGGTCGCCGTCGGTGAAGAGGAGCGTATTGTTGGTGTGCACATGATTGGGCAGGGCAGCGACGAAGCCTTACAAGGTTTTGCGGTCGCAGTCAAAATGGGAGGTGCGTTCTTCTGCATTGGGGTCATCTCGTACGTATCAGTTGATGAGAGATATGCATTAGCACGCAAAAAGGACTTCGATGACACCGTTGCCATCCACCCAACTTCTGCTGAAGGTGAGTCAAGCATGCTTTCCGTTATCGCTGCTGATGTTTTGGGCCTGTACGTAGAGCTGGTCACGATGCGTTAAACAAATCTGGTCATCTTCAACAATTAGTTGTGTAGGGAAATATTGTATGGCGTTTCTTGTGTATGTATTAGTGTTGTCCCCTATAAGGCCAAGATCGGGGGTTGCCAGGGGCACTCCAATCCCCCTGAATATGTTTTCACGTGCTTGCTTTCCGACTTCCTAGGAACCGAGAAACTTGCACAATCGCCGCGGAATTTTCTGTGGAGCAACTCATGATCGGACACTGGCTTGAGGAAACTCGGGGGACGCTGCCGTCGAAAGTTGATTGAAATGGGTGTCGGAGCTGCCGTCGCCAGTAATGTCATATACAAAGCAGCACGTCGTGAGCAGTCCGTAAGGTGACGACTTGAACAACGAGCATCGTTGATGCGCTCAAATGGCAATGGCACGTCAACACTAAAATGGATTTGGTGGGTAACATATTCCCAGCTCATAGATATGCGGCTGCCACATCGAAGGTACGAGTGCGACAGTTGTACGCTCTATGTGCTCATGATACCCCCTCACATCAACTCAACTTACTTGTAACTTTCACTCCAGAAAGTGTATGCACCTGTCTGTCCGTCCGTGTGCCTGTTTGATGGATATGATCCCGTTTGCTGACTTGTAACAGGCGCCCTTGCACAGCACAGGTTATTATCCCCATGTAATTGAGCTTGTGGTAAAGCTCCCCTGGCCATAACAACAACAAAAACGCGGTGGTTTTCTGTCGATTTGCTTGCATCGCCACTTTTCACTTCTTCCCCTTCCATTCCTTAGTTCGCCCTCCCGTCCCTAATATACCAGCGGGATAGATTGAGTTCCCTTGGACTCCTGCTGGTTTATTATGCTTGGTCTTATTTCGAGTGTTTGGCTCGTCGCTTTCACGTTCTTTATCGCCGTTCGGACATATACCATCGATGACAGCAACTACTCGGTGCTCAAATTCTCTGAAAACCCAGCTGGACCCGTGTGGGGTCCATTCGGTTCGGATACGGGGGAACAGCTCTCGATCCGTCTTCCTAATGGAACAATGATGGCCATAAACTCTGCGCAGTGCTATGATGGGACGTTGTGAGTACCATCCGTTCGTGGAAAATGTGAGTTCGTTCGTATACTAACCCAGATTCCTTTGTTGGACAGTACTTGTAAGTGGTGAATAACGCTCGTTTACGGATTGGGTTTATCTAGCTATCATTTGTCCAGATGCCGCATGTTCAACGTCGAATAACTGTGCTGTCCAGTTTTCATTTACAGGTATTAACTGGTTCATGTTCTCTTTTTCGGTGTTCATTATACCCTGTTCCAACTCTAGGCTCCGGAATCACGATATATGTGCTCCAGGCCGGCCCACAAGGCATGTCCGCGTCGCTATCCATCGATTCTGGGACTGCGACGACTGCAACATTGGGCGCACCACCTGCACCCCAATACAATATCCCACAAGTGGTCCTTTTTGATGTTCAAAATTTAGTCTCTGGCAATCACACGGCGATTATGACAGTCCTGGATTGGGACGATGGTTTCAGCGGTATGATGTTGGATTACATAGACGTTAACGATGCAGTGGTTGCTGGAACCACGCCGACTACCCCTGTTGCGAATCAGACACCTACCCCCACCACGACTCAGAGTTCCTCCAACCCCTCAACTACCGTTTCCGTGACTTCACAATCGTCACAAAGCACGACCACTGCATCGAACCAGACTTCTTCCACTGCAACACCACCGGCTATCGTATCTTCATTAACCAATAGCACGTCAACATCGGCGGCCGTAGGCGCTACGTCCAGCCCTTTGGCTGGAAGTAGTAACTTGTCGACCTCGAGTTCCTCAAAGTAAGCACAACCGATGGTATTCCCCAAAAACGGTGAATGTTTGTTGATATCTTCCAGAATTAATGTTGGGGCCATTGCCGGAGGAGCTGCGGCCGGTGCGGTTGGTCTGCTTGCGCTATGCGCACTCGTCGTTCTCTTTTTCCGCCGTCGAAGATCGCGGTCGTCCAACGGCAATACTACACCTCTTCTTCGTCGTCCTGAATCCAGATTTTTGGCTGGACCTTTTGTAGATCCTTTCGCTAGAACCCCAACTGTGCCCGGTGATGGGTCTATCCTCACTGTTGCAGCTGGGGAACTGAGTGGGGCGAGTATCGGGGGTGCTGACGCTGGTACCACACCGGACATAGGCAGCCAATCCCCTTCGCTTCCTTCATCAACTGCTGCACGTTTCAGTCCTCAAGGAGGGAGCGCGGCCCAGAGCAGCGTTCCTGATATCAGCTCGGCTCCCGTCGGAGTTAGTCCTCTGCGACAGCTACCCGCTATACCTATCTCGCCGTCTACCCTGAGCACTCGCGCCACCGAAAACGCACAATTTTCATCGCAGGGGGGATTCGCGTGAGGCCAATCAAGCTGGCGGAACAGGACCCAATTCACAGTCTAGAATGCAGCCCGTCCTGACAGACGAACAAGCGGACTTTGTAACCAGTCTATACCAGAACAACGTCCCAGCACCTGTGGTAGCACGCGTGCTCGAGCGGATGTTGGCTAACCCGAATCCAAGTCCGTATGGCTCTAACCCTGGTGCAGCCGTTGGGCCATACGATCCAGAGCTGCGCGCGTACATGCCTATGCCAGCATCAGGTCACAGACGAGTACTCTCATGGCTAGGCAGTCAAGTCGGCGATGCAGAGTCGACCGCGCCACCTAGCTACGACCATGCACAGACACACTCATGATGTACATATTTCCTTGTAGTGGGACTTTTGTTGTAATTTGTCAGCTTTCGAGAGACCGCGTGCATGACTTTCAAATGGATGTCTTCCCAGTATATATTATGCTGTTGTAGGTGTTTTGTTTATTCAGTAATAAAGGACAGGTTTCCAGGGCTTTTTTCAAAAGGACGTACGTACGAAAGACCGAAAAAAGGCCAAGTCTGTAAATTCTAGCAGGCGCGGAACCAAACGCCTAGGGCGTGAACGTTGAGACGTGGCGTAATCAATCTTTTGTCCACCAATTCCAAGGTCGGTATGACCAGACTAGATTGGTTTGTCGCCCACCAGTAAAGCGGTTAAGCGACGGACTACCAAAGAGTAACCAGAAGGATAGGCATTCGAAGGCTAAAGCCGCCAAATGAGCATGGCCAAGGATGAGTTGTAGATTCGACGCTTCCGACTCGCCACCATGAACGGAAAAATTAGCCTGCCAGGACCAGGGAAGCTCTGTGTAGGAGCACGAATCGTGCATTTAGTTAAGCAGAAAGAGTGGAGCCCCGTAGGGACGATATCCCAATGACATGAATGCCACGTGAGACAGAAATCATGGGTCACCTACTTTGATCCGGTCGTGTTCTAGCTGCTGTCCATCATCGTTAAGTCCGTCAGATGTGGTCCTAAGTGTGTGGATGATCATTATTGATTATTGCTCCATTTGTTGCTGCCGCTGTCAACGTATCATACCGTCGTTATTCTAATGATCGTCGCTGCCATGATGAGTTGTCTATCCATGTGTATGTACGATTTCTGATGGACATTCTGTGGTTAATCGTTCCGCATCCGTAGTCCTGGGATGAACAAGGGAAAATGCTTGAATGCTAGAAACAAAAGTTACCAACGCGTGTCGGACTGGAAAAGTCGGTGTCAGTGCTAGCGGGAAGATTAGCAGCCAGCGTATTAGTACATTGTTCTTGAGCCAACGCCGTTGTGCTTGGCTGGCAATACTCTAATCTGCAAGCAGGCATACCACGTCAGATTTGCGCGTACAAATCACTTGCCTTTCATTGTGATGTCAAGTCCGTCCCGTCCTTGAGCAAACGTTTTCTACCTAACACAGTTCGTTTCGGACCCTGTTGACCAGTGGGCCGTTTCCGGTGATTTCAAGTGTCTCGGGGCCCATGCGATTTCGGTGGGAGATTTTTGCAACAAATTTGACACTTACGTCAGTGCTTGAATCATGACCGGAGACTCTCACGCCGCAGTCGAGGGTGATGCATGCACGGTCAATACACGTTGCAAAGGGCAGGATCTGATCCATCAAACTACCCGGCGTGTAGCGCCGAACCTGCAGCAGTAATACTGCTTAAGCTCTAACCCGTCTAGCTTCCCTCCTCACACGACTGACGATAAGCATTCGCATTCCCTAGATGGGTCTACTTGATAGGTTTCGCGTTTCTAAAAAGACCAACATTGTGCCGAAGGATATCGTTGTGTTGTGAGTGTATATTGATGAGCCACGTTTAGTGATATAACAACGCTAGGAACACGACTAGTCTCGTAGGCCCTTCTGGCGCAGGAAAGAGTTGGGTAAAATCAGTTTCGAGCCTATCGTAGTTTCGTACCAACGCTTGTTTTGCTCTCTCTGCATTTCGATCCAGCTCCTTAGCATCCTCTTACAAGTTGCGAAGTCTCATGTTCCGATCGGGAGAGGGCAGAGGCTCGATGTCGCCGAAATTCACGCGGAAAGGTGCCGTTTCGAAGGAGAACAAAGTGACATCGTCCTTGTAGACACCCCATCTCTTTGCACGTTCCGAGGGTCAGCTGGGGAGGAAGACTTGAAAGGATGGTTGGATTCAAAGTAAGGCCAACCTTCTTGCATCATTTACTGAGTAATGTGTCTGGCCAGATACAGGAAGCCGTGTAAAGCGGCTGGAATCCTGTACCTTCATAACATCGGATCTAACCCATATGATGAATGGCTAAAGGTCTCAAGGCATCTCGGCTGCTTGATGCCCATGTACCAAGAAGGTCTCGCTCCTAGCACCATTTACGTCGTCCCAACTATAACTCCTGGGGCAAAATTATCTACCGGGCGGATTGATACATCAATTTTAATACTCAAACGTCAGGCAGATGACGGAGGCGCATCGATGTTTATGACGCCTTTTGACGGAAGTCCGGAGACAGCGTGGGGTGTTGTGCGGGAACTTCTAAATGGCATGAAACTGGGGGGCTCGTTTGCGGGAGGATGCGTGTCCGAAGAAATTCCCTTCCGCTGGTGGGGAACAACGGATGTTGCTCTGGAAAAGAACATCGCCCTCAGCAGAACTCTGTTGGAAGGCGCTCCCTTGGGACACCCAGACCACTACTTAGCTCTTGTTGATCTCGCAGAATCTTTTGCATCAACGATTCATGAGAGAAGAAGACGGAAGGGATTTGGACGAGATAATTACCCTTCAACGCGCCGCATTTCAACTTACTTCCCCGGGCCACCAAGAACACCTTGTGACCCTCACTAACTTCGCGGACTGCCTTGAAAAGCGGTTCTGGAAGGAGGGCGACATGGAAGATTTAATGGAAGCCATACCCATCCGACGTGCTGCGCTGGAGCTCACTCCTCCAGGGCATCAAGAATATCGTACCTTCTCTTGTCCGTCTTGCGAGTTGCCTAGAACAGCGGTTTAGTAATGAAGGCGCCCTGGAGGACTTGACAGAAGTCATCAACCTCCGACGTGTTGCACTGAAACTCACTCCCACTGAGCATGGAGAACACTTCGCGTCTCTTGCCAAGCTTGCGGATTGCCTGGACTTGCAATATTTCAAACGTGGGGGTACCATGTCAGATCTGGAGGAGATCATTTCTCTCCAACAAGCTGCGTTGGCATGCAATCCCTTATCAACCTTCGGACCAAGCCATGTGTCGAGCAAGTCTTGCAAGATGCCTTGGCGAAAAGCATCTGAGACAGCATGTCACTCCCCCAGCCGTTGACTTCGCCCCTCCAGTTTACAACAGTCCGAGTATCAGCGATCCCATCTTTCCCCACCCAACTTTTCTCCTACTTGCTTCACGCAACCGGTCGGAGATTCGGCCGCGTGGACCCGCTTGCGCGAGCCTGTAGCCTTAGCGACAACCGCTGACGGCTGGAGAGACGCCGCCTCCGAATCGAACGTACCTCTTTTTCGTAGTGGTCACGTCGTTCGCCACTGTTCATATACCAATGATACTTCCGTTGTCCGTCTGAGCGAATCATTCCCTCTGTTCGATCCACCCGCCAGTCTTGCTTGGAGGCAACCCTTGCGACACATCGTTCAGCTATTTCAGCATTTCACCGGGCAGTCACTACCGTGTCATATCGTCCGAAGGGACGTCCAGGATCCTCTCTGTACATGTTAGACACTTGTATATCACCTATTGCGACACTGATAATTCAATCACACTACGCACCTCTGTCAGGCTTTCGAAACAAGCGGTGACGGGTTTAGAAATCAGGTCGGTCTGTGAACTGAAAAGGTATGGCACATGGTACGATGAGTCTAGAATCGTCCTCCTCCTTCGTGGTCTGCGGCGCGTACTGGGTGATCGCAATCAATGCGCTAAGGAAATACCAGACGGCCTAAGCCGAAGTATGCCTTGAGAATCATCATTAGACCCAAAAGCGAGGCACCTGGATATTATTTCTCTGCATTTCAGCAGGTAAGACATCGATGCATCCATATTCGATTCTATGCAGGACGGGAACAGATTCAATATGATAAGGAATTGGCACACGGCTCACACAACTCATGAATCTTCAGTCTTCCATCAGCTCAGCTAATTCACGCTCTTCTTCTTCAGTTAGCTCTTCAGCCGTCCCATCACCCCTGGGTTCGGGTACAGGGGAAAACACGACAGCATGCATGGGTTCCGCAGGATTGTTGGGCGTCGATGTGAGAAGTTCTGCGAGGAACAGTTGAGAGAAAACATCGAAAGACAGGTCGATTTACAGCGCACCGCTGAGTTTCCACTTGCGAACTGTCCCGTCAAGGCTTGCACTGACGATGAAAGGTTCAATTGTTGTTCTTCCGGTCGCATTGTGACTTGTCCGTAGCCACAATCGGACAGCTGTCACATCGTGCCAGTGAGCATCGATTTCCCCAGCCACCTCCGCCTCAAACACAGTAGAGACATCGTATAGCCGGATGACATCCCCGTAGGCAGTGACTACGTAAGGTTCTGCTAGGGGAGTTAATGAGAGAGGAAGGAGTGCGCGAACCGGTAACGGATGTATTAGCGGAGGTACCGACTTTGATGCGGAGGTGTCGGGCGGGTACGTCGTGATTTGAACGGTTTCATCTGAGGAGGCTGTACCAATTTCGTTAGTACTTGCAAGTCAAACGTAGGCCGGAATAGCTACAGGTCCACAGTTGTCCAGCGCCGTATATCATCTGAGTGACTCTCGTTCGATGCAGACTCAAGGTGTCCAAAAGAGTGATACAGCATCGAGATTGAGGTCCACGCCCCTTCACAAGCTTCCAAACCTTGATAACACCCATTGTATCCCCGGTAAAGAGCATAGCTTCCGTATCTGATACGACGGAACCAGCTAAGCACTCCACCGGCCGGCTGTGGGCGGAAACTGATCCAACCGGAGTGATCGTCTTTCGCTCGACGACATCCGTAAGATCCCTCGACACTAAGTGTTTTCAACTTTTACGTTAGACGAGATGTGCACCTACCAGAATCTGACGGTCTTGTCGGAGCTGCTAGAGACCAAAAGCCTAAGAGAGGAAACTACTAGCAGCGATTTTACGAAGTCATCGTGGGCACTAATCGAACAAAGCAGTAATTTTGACTGCGGACGATCATCGACTCAAAACTGAGGATCAGAACAACGATACTCACATTAGTGTCCCATATTTTGATCGTCTACGGGATGACCAAGTCAGATACTAACTGGGCAGACCTGATCCTTTCTACTTGCCTTATCCCAAGAGCCGGTAATAAGGACCTGCAAGCCACGCGTATCATGATCATCTTGATAAAATGCTAGACAGGTGACAGGTGCCGTATGACCTCTGTAGGTCTGTAAGATTATGCCTGACTACCGTATATCAACTATGAGATTTCGAGATGGGACTGCATCAATGTTCTCACCTCCAAGTCAATTTTCCTCGCAACGTGCGTGCTTTCCGCTATCCATATAGTTTTTCCTTCGACGACGACGTCTATTGCTTTACTCCCTAGTTGAATGGGTGAACCAAGCGATTTCGTTCTCTTAGCCTTTTGTTTGCGTGCCTGAAGGCCCGTTGCATCAGATGATTTGTGTACTCTGGGGTTGCAAAGGACCTACTTCTGTGATTGCGAGCTCCGACTCTGCCCTGAACAGTACAGTGTCGTCCATGATGACCAGAAATTGAATGTTAAGTGGCCCTGGTAGAGTCAATGCAGATCGATTGATCGGCGAACGTCCGCCACAGTTCCTTCACTCAAGTTGCGTCATGTCCAAACGCCTGGCTTCCTTCCATGGCCCGTCCACACCGACGTCTTCACCAATACCCCAACCACGTCAGCCCGGCACTCCAGCCTCTCCATCACGCGCTTCAGAGAATACGATCCACAGAAAAGTCAGAACATTGTTGCAAGAGCTACGGTCTTTATCGCACGCATGGGACAATCTTGTTCTCGTCGACGGTCTGAGGGCTGTGCGTACGCTAGTGGACACGAGAACAGAGCTCGAGTGTGTATATCTATACGATAATGCAAATGTGGGTCTCGCCTAAGTGATCCCTTCGTTTACTAGTAACGCGTTGGCTCTCCTTGCGCCAGGGAGCCTGCCGCGGTCCCCGATAGTTGGACCGAAGCTCGCTATAATGGAGAAGTGCATTGTACAGTTAGACTCTGTCCTAACAAAACTTGTGAGGGTTCCCTAGAGCATGTTTTCTTGTCAGTCGTAACCCTGTGACTAATAGCAGAAGAATCTACGACGAATGGGAACCGTAGTTGATAACTTGGAAGCTTTGTACCACGAAACGCAGAAGACTAAGGGTCCCAAGTGGTGCAAAGAAGAACCACTTTGGCTTTCGTGGTCAATTGAGAAATTCGGTCCGTACCTTATACTTTGGGTGTGCAATGGCGAGGCGCGCTGACATCTCCTGCACAGTATTATCCATGGGTGATATAACTACACCCTACCACAGATCCCTGGTTTTACTCACTGATCTCGTCAATAAACTGAGAAGTCACTCTCTGGCGTTCGAGGCATCCAGGGATATCGTAAATCAATGGGTCGAGCAACCTTACCTTGAGGAAAACGGATGGGATGTACAGTGGGAAGATCTCTGCGCGGTGGAGGTCGAAAAATGGGATGCAAGATTATAAACGCACTACATATTCCAGGACGCGTAAGCAAGTCCTGGTATGGGATGAGGCTTGTACAGTCGATCTATTTCTGTTTCAAAACCACATGTTGGAAACCAGGCAGGCCAGTGCGGTTCGAACTCTCGCATCGCAGTCCCATACGTCCGAGAAACGTCTGTCGCTAACTTCACTGTTAACACATCGTTACAGTAACGATCGTAAAAACTTCCTCACAGAACACACAAGGACGGGTGATCCAACTCAAAAGCATTCGGCTCAGGAATAATCTGGCCACATTGGTACTGATTATGACTAAATTCATGCCAAAACTTTGCACGACATGTGTATGAGACACCAATTCAAAGTACGAAGTACAGCAACGAAAGAACTACGATCATCAGTGAACCTAAGACACTCTTCCGTGTGTGAATGTCGAATGCCATTTTTCTTCTCCACTTGACTTTGAACCACATAATCTGGGTCCTGGTATATTACAGTGGGCGAGGTGCGTCGAAAGAGTCTAGGGTCTGGGTTGTGTAACCCCGTGTCATTTGTAGCCAGGCCGAGGACTACGAGCACTGCTAGACTGCGTGGGGCTGCTCTGCAGGGCAGCAACATTATCTGAGAGAGGTGGCGGGAGGCCCGCAGCCAAAGGTGCGGAACGGGCGCGGTCATTTGTGTGTAGTTCGTCGAAATCTTCATTCCCACCGGAGGTCCTAGATTCTCTACCAATGTCTGAAGAACACCCGGAAAGCAGTCCGTCCCTCGTTGAAGGGCGGTCACTAGAACGTATCTCTGTGTGTACCTCTGGTGACCGAGACTGTGCCGCTCGCATGCGCGCCCTCTCCTCAGAAGCAGGTGTTAATGGTAAGGGCGATCTCCGCACATCGGTGAACAGCTCCGGTACACGGTTATCCGCCTCTTTCTTGGTCTTGGCCCCGCGTGATTTGAGATAGAGAATAACGCCGGCAGCCAATAGCGTACTAGTGGCACACGGGACGGCTATTTCAATAGCACGGAGGCTACGTGCAAGGTGCATCAGTTGTCATTTTTGTGTTCGGCGGGTTGTTCGTACCAGTTGGTGCAACTTGAAATGCTCGACGAAGACCCTGAAGCCTCCGTCGTGGACGCAGTCGGCAGCAGGGTGGTAGTGGGCATCGTGATGGGACTGGCAGGAGGTGGTGATGCTGAAATGGCCGTCGTCAGCGTCGACGGAGGACTTGTAGTCGTCTGGACGATGCTGTCCTCTATCAATGCGTAATCAAAGTACAACGACGTAGCGCCGCCAGCCCAGTCCAGTATCGAAAGAGTCGCTATGTAGTACGCGTAGGGTAAGGACTGGATAGCCAACAGCGATACTCTGGGAGTTTGAAAGGAGGGGGGAGAGGGAGGCTGAAGGGTGCCATTAACTAAGAGCGTGCCAACGCTCAGGCTCGCATTCACTCCCTGAAAGCCTGCGTTCAACACATATATGGTGATACCAGTTCCTGAACTGTATTAATCCCCGTGTTTACAATCATGGTGGGCGGGGGAAGGCACATCCTGTAAAAGGGATCTGGGCCTGGCATTCGTCTTCGGCCATGCAAACTCCAACTAATAGCAATTGGCGTGAGCACACGAGTGGCATAGGACGGGAGGGATGCAATACGCACGACGGCTGTAAAGAAAGGTATTGATGATTTTAAACATGCTACACATATACACTCACTCACTAGTTTTCGTCATAACACACGCTGTAATCCACGGGGATGAGTTGGCCATCCCCAGTTAAAGTCATGGACCCGATGCCAGCACCATACGGCGTCCATGCTGAGCTCCGCAAGGAATAGTATTGAACAGACGTGTTCGCATTGTCAATATAATACTCCGCCACTGCCAAGGAAGTCCACAGAAGAGATGCGAGAAAACCGAGGTGAAACTGTGACCAGACATACATGCTAATCTCGGGGTTGAAGGTGACACAGCATCAGAGATGGGGGGTATATGTCTATATGAGCCAAACGCAAAGGCATCGCATCTGCTACCAAGACGGGTGTCGAATGATACCGGAGCCGTTAGTAGTGTGGTGACTACAGCAACCTTCATATCGATAGACCAGAATTGATCAAAACTCAAAAAGAGCGTTTTTATTTAGTTTTGGAATGTAGCCAAATAATGGCGTGTGCTATCCCTCGTTTGTAATACTGGGTGCACACTATCCCTTATTCGTGTTCTTCTACCGTCTACCAATATTTTAACAGACGGTAGTGGTGCGTGCATGCAATTCAACCCCCCTCATTAGTTGGTGGTACCCAACATGTCTAGAAATTAATCCCATATCTCTGATGCAGTGAAGGAGCAATGGGTGAGGATGTCTACTAGCATGAGCTCTCGAGAGAGATTGTGAGGGTCACTATCAGGTGCCAGCCAACGCACGGTGATCAAACTTTGGTGGAATGGAGAGACATGAATATTTCGGCATTGGGAAACTATGGATATCGGGCTACCTATGGTGCAAAAGTATTTGAAAGCAGTCATGATCATGCTTCTGTTGATGTTATTGTACCAATCGATGGTGGACATTCGCAACAGCGAGGAGTTGGACGCTTGAAACTGGCCCGCGGCACCACAGCACTCAAGCACAGCATGTGCTCATCCTACCCATTGTAGTAATAGTAATCGTCAGGCACATGATCCAACGGCATTTGTTTGGCTACACTCCAATACTAAATAGAAGCGCTCTTTTGAGTTTTCGTCAATTCTGGTCTATCGATATCAAGGTCGTGATCAGATTATGATCATACTGTTTCAAAATACCGCTGGATCGAAAGCGCCGTGAAATAGTAGCCTTGGGTCGGGCCCCGTCTGCTTCGGGTCTGTATGACCAGACTTCTGATGCCTGGGGGAATCTAGGTCAAACAGTATACCCACTTCTCCCTATCGCAGCGCAGGCTGCCACCAACGCGTGGATACTGTTTATCGGTTTTCTGATGCGACGAAACCCCATGAGGGAACAGGACTCCGATCATACTTTTCCGAGTGCTGTCACAGATCTTTGTGCCCCTACACGGAACGTTCCAGCTTCTCTGACATTTACACAACGTGTCGTGTCCTCCCCAATCCCAAGTCACCAGTAGTTCAGTTCGTCAACAGCCTCGATGTGCACGTACCCCAACAACCCACCATCCTGTATTTACATTCTGAAACTGCGAAGTGTGCACGAAGCACTGGCCTGCCAGTAGTTTCAAGCAGCAGCCTAGCATAGACAAAAGCAACTCACACTAACGGTAGTTCTAAGATTAGCACCATTGCCACAGCACCCTATAGTGACACTGCCTGCGTGATGTGGCGTTTAATAGCCTCATCTGTCGTTGCGGCAAATGTCATGTGTGTTGCGTCCTTTGTGTTATTCTTAGTTTTCTTTGGATTCCTTGCTGTCGCCAAGGGTGTGGCTTCTCCCCTCCTGTAGGTGTGCTCAGGCTGATTCGACAGTTCCTATGGACCCTTCCGGGTCGACATAAAATGACCACAGCTTCAAGGTTTCAAAGCCGTGCTTGCACAGGAAGTGATTGGAGCATATGGGCGATGGCAGCACTCTATTAACAATATCACGATCTTGGTAGTTTTTTTTTTGAATAGCCACAACACTCCCTGCATGACTCCGATCGCTCTATCGTACCTCGTGAAAGGTTATTCAGTGAAAACCTTGCGAAGACCAGGAGGAGAAACTGGCTCATGACGCACAGTACTTCCTTCTCGGCCCATACAGCCAGGTTTTTGCGGGTTCGGGGTATGGTGCTATGTGGCGGCAGGCGGCGTGGCCAAGTATGCACTCGAAATGCATCACTACGTCCGATAATGAAGCACCTGCATGCTGTAACACACGTTCAAAAACGCAATACATATATTGCAATGGACGAGGTATGCCGAAAGAAGTCAAGGGGCTGGGTTGTTTAACTCCGTGCTACCTGTAGCTAGGCGGGGGTCCATAAGCACTATGAGATTGTGTGGGGCTGCTCTGCAGGGCAACAACAGTATCTGACAGAGGCGCGGAGGGACCCACACCTGAGGCTGCAGAACGAGCGCGATCATTTATATGTATTTCGTCGGACTCTTCACTCCCACCACCACAAGTCGGAGATTCCCTACCGACACCTGAAGAACCCTCGGAGAGCAACCCATCCCTTACTGAAGGACGGTCACTAAAATGCGCCTCTGTATGTACCCCTAATACCCAAGACTGTGCCGCCCGCATGCGTGCCTTCCGCTCAGCAGCGGGTATCGAGGGTAATGGCGCGCTCGGCATGTCGGTGAACGGCGCTACACGGTTATCCTCTTTCTTGGCCTTGGCCCTGCGTGATTTCAGGTAGAAAATAATGCCAGCAGCCAACAGGGCACTAATGACACACGGCGCGGCTATTTCAATAGCACGGAGGCTATGGACAAGGTGTATCAGCTTTCATTTTCATTTTCGGCGAGCTGCTCGTACCAGTTGCTGCAACTTGAAGCGCTCGATGAAGACGCTGAGGTATGAGAAGCTACCGCCGTGGTAGTTCCTGTTGTTCCTCTCATGGTCGTGGTCGTGGACGTAGTCGGCAGCGCGGCCATAGTGAACATCGTGATGGGTGGTGTGGAGGCGAGAGACGATGATGCTGGAGGGGCCGGCGTCGGCGGTTGACTTGTAGTCGTCTGGATGTTGGCATCCTCTATCAATGCATAATCAAAGTACAAGTGACGTATTGCCGCCATCCCAAGTCCAGTATCGAAAGAGTCGCTACGTGGTAAGCGTAGGGTAAGGACTGGATAGCCAGCAGCGACACTCTCGGAGTTTGATAGGACGGGGGAGTGGGAGGCGGAACGGTGCCATTAACTGAGTACGTGCCATCAACGCTCAGGCTCGCATTCACTCCCTGAAAGCCTGCGTTCAACACATATATGGTGATACCGGTTCCTGAAATACATTAATCCCCATGTGTACAATCATGGTGGGTGGGGAAAGACACACCTGCAAAAGGGATCTTGGCCTGGCATTCGTCTTCGGCCATACAAGCTGCAACTGATAGCAATTGACATTAGCACACAAATGGCATAGGACGGGAGGGACGCGATGCTCACGACAACTATAAAGAAAGGTATCCATGGGTTTTTAAACATGCTACACATGCACATTAACTCACTAGTTTTCGTTGTAACACATGTTGTAATCCACATCGATGACCTGGTGACCCACGCCGAGCTCAACGGTTCCAATGCCAGCACCATACGGCGTCCACCCCGAGCCTTGCAAGGAATAATATTCAACGGACGAGTTCGCATTGTCGATATAAAACTCCGCTACCACCAAGGGAGTCCAAAGGAGAGGTGCGAGAAGACTGAGGCAAAATCGTTGCCAGACATGCATGCTAATCCTGGGTTTGAAGAAGATAGCGCCTCAGGAGGGACAACGGAAATATACAATCCAAATGCAAAGGCATCGCATCGGTTAGCAAGACGGTTGTCTGATTGATACTAGAGCTTTCAGTGTGTTAAGAGAGGATCAGACGACCATCACACTCCAAGATACAAGATCGAAGGCGTCAGGGGGTAGTGTGGGCCGCCACGCACATCTGTTTCGTCTATGTTGCGATGAATTTTTTTGGGGATTCTCGGGTCAAACAGCGCATATCCGCTCTCCCTATCCCGGCGCAGGTCCTGACAGAAGTGGTGAGCGCTCAACCGAGCATTGGAATTGCTACATGTTGCCGCCACAGACAGGAACTCCTTCGGATGATTTGCTGACGGAAAAAGACATGGAAAAAAGATGCTGGACGTCAGCGCTGTCATATATCTTTGATGATCCTCTTGCAACAAGCAAGAAGGCGAAACGAACGATGATCGAGCTTTCTATGAAACCGCGAAATAGGCTTCCATATCGGATAGATCCGGGTTCCGACAATGCCGTGCCGACAAGACACGCAATGCACGCGGCAGGTGAAAAGCAATTGAAAAGTCGAGCAGCTGTAGGCAAGTACGCAGTTCATCACCACCACCACCACCACCACCACCACCACCATTGTCGACGGCCAGAAGTTGGATACAACACCCGACACCAGTACAGAGATCATAAGTCGTTCGAGATGTCGGCCGTCTTGCACGGCGCCCGCCATCTCAAGCAGGGCATAGGTGTGCCATCAAGGCAGTGGCACGGCTCGTCCCCTGCAGCTGCTAGACCGATACATATCCCATCTTCAATACCCCACCTAAGTGGGGCCCCGCTGCCACCGCCAACACCTGCTCAGCGTCTCTTCTCTCAAACGCGCACGTTTTTCTCTCGCTTCATTGGCCATCTCACTGCACCAGGCTATAGCCACGCAGTCGCTTCCCGCCCTGCCCATGCATCCAAGTCGCTGCTCCGTCCAGCGCACTATCATTCTAGTGCACAAAGCATAAGAGCAGGATTTTCTCTTCCTGTAAAGCATGCGTTATCTAGACCCCTCTCGGCACTCCGCCTGCCGAGAGCACCTACTGTTCCCGCCAATGTGACCCAAGTTGGTCTGGGCACAGCTAGAGCATTCCATTCTTCTCGCCCCATCTTCCAAAATATGGTCGAGAATGTCCCTATCGCTACTCGCGCGCTTTGGGAAGCTGAATGGGAAGGTAAAATGAAGAAGCAAGAAGCCCGCAAACTTCGTCGGGCGAAAGAGAACTCCGCCCCTGTTGCAAAGGTCCAGGAGAGGCTCAAGCCCAGATCAGAGCCCATAATCTCTCAGGCCAAGAAGGACTCTGCAGCGTCGTCTGAGCTTGACGTTTACTTTCCCCTCCTTCCTGCTCCCGATGTCACGACTCATCTCCTTGTGCCACTCGCCCCCACGCCTACTGCGCGTGTGCCTCTGGCTGCGGGCAACTCCAGACACCGTCTCCTACCAGTTTCAGAGATAGTGTCTACTAGCCGCAACCATGAGTTACACGCCCTTCGTGTGTCAACTCTGTTCTCGAGGCTCGACGCCGGAAATGTTTGGGACGACCCGGGTGTAAGCGTTGATGCTTATGCATATGGACCAAGGGATGTTGCCAGCGATACATGCGAAAGGCAGTGCACTGTTCTGCGTGTTGCATTCGCTGGTTGGACATCGGACCGCGTGCGTGCCGTCGTCGGGCCGACAGCAGAAGAATGGTGCGCATTGGAAGAGACTCGCGTCTCCACACCAAGCACCCCGACACAATTTAGCATGGAAACTCCGGGGACTTGCACCTCCCCGCTATCTCCGTTGAGCACTTCGTCTGACAGGGACTCAGTGTCTGAGCTTGACCTTGATGAAGCTTCTGAAGTCGAGACGGCGAACTACGGGTTTGCGAAACCGAGTGCGCAAGATGAGTTCATAATTCCCACACTCGACTTTTCGTCATCATTCTCCGAGGCCGCCCACACTGCTTCGATTCCAGCACCTTCACAGCGAGAGACATACATGCATACTGCATCTGAACTGGCGGATGATACCGACACAGATTCATGGTTCCTTGCATCGGGATTGTCCTCACCATCTCTTGTGTCGTCTCTCTCACTCTCTGACTGTGGTTCGGAAGTGGCATGTCCTTCGTCATACACTGTGGTGCCCCGAGTCGGACTAAGTTCGTCTTTCACGCAAAGCATTTGGTGCAGCGAGCAGGGGACGTGAAGTCTAACGTGGAAATAACATACAAGTGTTGTCCACCCTTTCTATGTTCTGAATTGGTTTCTTGCCCTGTCCTTGTCTTCTAAATTGTGTGCGTGGTTCAGTTTTGAATTCTGCTTGTATAGTATGTACGCTGTTGGCTTCAAATAAACACAAAATGAACGACAATCAGAGGCTGTGAGGGTCTTCGTTACAACTTGCTAGACTTGAGACTCGATGGAAAAGATTGCGTTTCGGAAGATGTAAATATGACAAGACGTTCCTTCCTAACTCGTCTTGCGAATCAGGTTTGATGAAGGCAACCTGAAACATATCCTGGGTATCTAATTTACAAGAGAAACTAGAAAACCTAAACCCTATATTCGATTAGCGGCGTCGTAACTTGGTGGTGCCGTCGTAGCAATGCTATGTGATCTTGTCAGCCCAAGTTCGCTTTCCCACTCTCTGATGCCAGCTTGTCGATCGACCAGCATGCGCTGCAATACACGAGCGACGACCGGGGCAGGAATATTGTTATTATACAAGCCGGTGATAAAGTCGGCCTGTTCATCTGTGAGTGATGGCGGGAGCTCTTGAGCTGAGTTTTCAACGACTCGGCCATCGTCTGGCGACGGCTGTCTCAATGGTGGGTTGGACCACACGAACTGTGTCTTACGATCTCGCCCAAGGGAAGAACTACTTGCGGTCTGAGAGAGTGGTGGATTTGGGAACGTCAGAGGGTGTGGTGTGAAGTCGGCGCTGGTATCGGCCAATGGGTGGCGGCGATTGGGAGTGAGTGGTGTGGAGGTAGAAGATAGAGGGCCGGCATAATACGTCGAGGAAGGACCCGTACTCGGGTTGTATGATGTCTGTACTTCGGAGATTGGAGGATCGTATAGAGTGTGTGGATTATATGGCTGTACATCTCCTTCGGGGAAGTTGACCTGATCGGAACGCTTTCTGCGTCGCAGACATAGGGTAGTGATCACGCCAAATGTTATAATCGCAACGCCACCAAGAACACCACCGACGATGGCCCCAACGTTAATGCTGCTATGGATAAACATGAGCCTGGTTACTCCCCCGAATGCATGGCAAACACACTGTGAATTGGATGCCGAACCAGTAGGATTAGCAGTTGCTGTGGAACTTATCGAACTCGAGGGTAGAGAGCTTGTTGAACTTGTGGTAGTCGCAGCAGCAGATGCCTCTGCGGCGGATACAACGGTCTCGTTAACGTAGGCATAGTCGAACATCATACCACTATACGAGCCAAAAAGGTCGTTAACAGTCATCCACAGCGTATGAGGGCCTGTTGCCAGCTCTTGGACGTCAAACATGGAAACGTTGGCAATCTCGTAGTTTGGGGCGGGCGGTGCACTGAGCACATTGGTTTCGTTGTGACCCCCGTCGATTGATATACTGGCATTGATGCCAACGGGACCTGCTTGATACACGAAAACAGTGATTCCTGAACCTTGATATATATAAAATTCAGCAATATTTCTGAAGGGGTTCGATCCTGGACGCGTCCTTACCAGTAAAAGGCATTTCGAGAATGCAAGCGTCCGTTGAGAAGCAAGCAGCATCTTACCCACCAGGTCAATCCCTCTCCTTCCTCCGAGAACAATGAACTCACATCGACTAGAATCGAAATGTGAGCAGGACGAATGACTACTTTTCCACTTAGGGACTTACTAGGTGTGATTATAGCAAACGAATGGATCGATCGTTTGGTATGTGCCATTGGGTAACAGCAGTTGAAGGGTTTCTGCTCCTGCAGCAAATGGACCCCATGCGGCGTTCGGCCCAGACGAGTAGGTGAGCGTTGCGTTGGTGTCGTCAATGTAGTAGTCCGCCCACGCAGACCGCGAAATCACAGCAAGAGCAAAAAGGAAGCGCCACGCAGACTGGTGCAGTGTAAACATTGCGCGCAGAACGAGCACCTAGCCAAACGCGCCACCACACCTCAAAGCCTCGATGGCAGGGAGACAAAAATTACTTACCAAGCGGGCACAATTGCGCCGTGGGACTGATATTATCCTCATAACAGGGACCATGGCTACGTGCCTGCCAACGTAATCGTCATCCGTGCAAATGACATGGCCTTATAAAGCTGGCGCTAAAGAGCGTACACACCCACATCCACCGATGCCAGCTTGGCACGTATGCTAATGCACCAGTACTTTACTGAAAACATCAACTGCCACACCGCTGTGCATTGCAGATTACCGTCTCGGTATGTAGCAAGATTGGCCAACTGAGATAGGCTGGCAGCGGGGGCTGTACGGAAGCTGATGCCGTGTGAGAGGCATATGAGGTCCGAGGAGTGGCAGCCGAGCACAGCCTCGTCCTCCACTCCAATGGTCAATAGCAGGATACTTGTCACTCACTGGTATTTCACCAGAAATAATCGATATTCGGTAGTCACGGTAAGTTTGCATGTCATCGGGAGCGACGACGCCTCAACCGCACGAAAAATCCCGGAGGACATGGGAACTAGTGGAATCTGACGCGGTTGGGGATAAACAACACGTGAACGTTAACGGTGATGCTCGCTGGAAGTCGATTTGTTTTGAGCTGAGACAGACCCCTGACGTAATCCATGCCAAGTCTGGTTGGACAATCAGTTTTGTGAGTCAGGTCACTATCAATGTTTATCAAACATATGGAGGGCTTCCCGCCCGGCCGTTATCGAGGAGTATCTATCGTCAAATACCAGTACACCTGCGAATAAGGGCTCTCGATTCACATCATAAAGGCATGACCTGCAGTGTGGATTCTAATGCACACTTCAATCCTGTCTAGTGCCAGGCTTCAACACAGCCCTCCTCCGACGGTGAGAGTATGAGGGCTGTGTAAGCGCCTGATGCATATGAATTGCATACCCACCCATTATGTATGAGCGGCCCAATGATAGTAATAAATTACATAGAAAAATATGATGCCTTTGGATACTCTTTAATAGAGTATGCGCTATGCGGTAATAAACCGCGGGCGGAGCACTGGTGGCATCGCAACTTGGCAGTGCAACTTTCCGCTCTCTGTTGCATGAATTATTTAAAGCCGGAGAGAGCGGTAGACTTGGAGAAGCCAGGTTGGCATTGATCTCCGCCAATGGCTGGCGGTGATGGGGAACGAGTGGCATAGAGGTGGAAGATATGGATGTCATATGGTTTGTCGAAGAAGGGCCCATGTGCAAGCTGTGGTTTGTCCGTGTTTGGGAGACGGGAGCATCAAGAGGACAATATTTCCTCCATTATCTCTTCGGGACGGCGGAGATCAGATTTCTGTCCGTTACCTCTCAGCGAACCCCCCACACGCCACGGTCCGCTGCTGGTCAGCCTGAGTGAACTTGACTTGGAGACGGGACTATAGCATGACTCTCTGAGGATGGAGCGATGTACCATCTTTGTTACTAACAATTCCCATACTTTGTTAGAGCCCGTGCTTTGTTAGATGCGCCGCATTGCCAAAGGTCACTGCCCGATGTTATATCTGTACCTTGGACGACCTCCACAACTTGCTCGTTCTGAGCTATGGAAGGGCTAACAGTGGGTCCTATGGACCCGTGCAAAGCTTTGTTATGGCTTCAACCCCTCAGATGGTGCTGGCTGAGGGAACATATGGCATCCCACACCTTTGCACATCAGTACTGCAATGCTTGGACACAGGAATCATATTTTATATTTGCATCCATGTTGAAACATGGCTTGATTGGTGGCCAGTTTTCTGTGATACCATGTCACAATCCAGAATGTGGAAAGTTCTAGTCATGTTTGCAGTCTTGGCAGTCTTGGATGGTAGGATTCATATCGGACGATGGATAATTGCGCTACTTCATAAGCTAAGCAACAGTGCTGGCATCAAATGAAACATATACCATTGTTCCGATGTGCAGATAGTCTGAGTACTGCGAGGAGCAGGTACATGAAGTCATTAAGTTGTGTGAACAAAAACCAAATGACAGCCCAAAAGTTACCCTGCTACACGGCCGCAACTACAATGAGGTGGGTAGGTATGGAAAGCCGGATCCTTGACTGTGAAGAAGACATTTTCTGCCCCGTAACGAAGGAAAACAATTGACAGAGACACTAAGGTCCTCCCTGTTCCCATGAGCGGGAAATCAGGGAACCACATACTCGCAAGGCCAACAGCTGTCACTGAGGCACTTTCACCAAGAAAAACAGGATCGCTGATTTCCGTGACAATTGGACTTATCCTTATCGTGTGTCACAACCCTTTTGTAGCTTCACGAAGCAAGAGGAACATCGTGCACCTAAGTGATATATCCAGTGACGACACCTCACACATGATGGCAAATATCCATAAGATGGAACTGCTCGAACCACACCCCTCCATTTCTTCACAAGGCTGTGGTCTTATCACGGACCTGAAAGGTGCCGATATCGATAACAACCGCATCGCGCACGTCGAAATGCCTTCTTCCATCCTTTGAACTGCATCCGTCCTCCGGAAGGTTCGGAAAGTTTGCGAAATGGACAGCATTGACTTGTACATCTGACTCGGTGGCTGAACCCTGGAATCGAAGGTGTTGCCGGGTGTTCAGTGAAGCTAGAAGCGAGTTGGCATATACTAATCAACAATAAGATAGGGAGTTCTGAGAATGGCGTCCAAGGCACAGAAGACTGACGTTTTCCAATGATGAAGTCTAATCCCATTGTCCATGCAGTTTGTTCATTAGCGTCCTGAAGGAATTGTGAACGTGTTATGGTCATCTTGCAATAGGTCACACGTACCACGGTGAGTTCTGCAATGGCGACTAGTCTACCACGAAAAGTCATGTCACAGTTACAAAATAGTGAGGGATCAAACTTACAAGGTCAGCAAACACCGGTTGACAGCATATATGATAAGCGTGTTCAACAGGCGTTTTGTTCTAAGCAGAGTTCGTTAGGTAGGAACCAAACACTGACGCCGACTGAAGCCACCTTGGGATTGCGGTGCGAGAGCCACTTTCATACAAAAGTACGCAGAGTGACACCGTAATCAAAATCTCAGCTAGTACGATGGAGGACAGAGCAGGCGTTGTATAAAACTAGGAATAACGGCTCATGAGCCGATGCACCAATATCTCCGTTAACCAAACTACTACCTTGGTCTGCGAGACGAAGCTGGCCTCGTTGTTGATGAGCCTACACATGGATGTCAGTATTTCTGTGAAGATGGCTGAGCAGGCCGGAGTACGTTAAAACAACTCTCGCTGCTCTTTGATCAGTATAAGTCTCTCGTGGTAAGACAAAAAGTACAAACCTATGCCAAACCCTGTTGAAATATTGTGAAGAACCCCTCATGAGCGTAATAAAAAAACTCACCGAGGTGAGCAATTACCAGTAGTATCTATCACGACCCTGTCACTGAGTGATATCCTTGCCATCACAAGTGAATGTACCCACGATCAGCGCGGTCACCAGCCACCTCACTTGACGGCGAAAGACTGAATGCCGATCAACAAAATATCGATAGGGAAGCTGAATGTGACATACGGTAATGTATTTTATGTGCAAAGAATCTAGCGACATCTGGCCTGTGAGCGTCAACCCACAAAAGAGGGCTACTTACAACAGAACTATAGTAATCACAAAAAACTGGAATACGGTTAAAATCCTATCATAAAGGCCTCTGAGATGAAAGGAACGCACATTCACGAGAAGCGACGCCTAAGCGGGGCAATCAATTCGAATTCAGTGCCTTGTAAGTTGTAGAAAATTGGGTATGCGTACTGGGAATGACCTGCGAAGTCTCATCAGCAGGAAGTAACACTGAAATGAAAGGCATACGAACCAGACAACAAAATCCAAACTCAACAGATTGCCATAGTGGGTTATCTACAGCAGCTGAGCACGAGGGTCACAAGGAAGAGACACATCAGCCTCACCAGGTAGTAATACAGGAGATGACACACTGATCACCTATTAGTTATGCATTCACGTGGACGCAACAAACACATACTGAACGCGACGTGCAGTGTATCAAGTATCCTGATTTCACATGAGAAGACTTGACGGTTACCCCCAAGTAGCCTAACCCACCATATGGCAGCAACGATGAACTTTATGGTCGAGGAATCCGCACTATCGTGCATATAATACACATAAGACTGTATACATCCAGTAAGCAGATCACGGGCCTGAATATTTTGAATAAAGCGCGCCTGAAGAGTCGTTATACCATATAACCTTCGACATGAAACGGGGATATCAGAGGGGAGACGTGACAAAACCAACCAAAGCAATACTCACATGGCGGAGACCAAACCTCCGATGAGGGTAGCGCCTGTCGTAAACAAATGAGCAGATGACTGTGTTTGGCTATGAAGTGTCTCCACCGAATCCGCCTGGAATCCCCATGTCGTTTGTGTAACTTGTATTACGCGGACTCGTCGACGAGCTCGTTGGGGATTGTAGATGGAGAAGTAATCAGGGGTGGGGAAGACGTGTCCACCCCGTAACGGAGCAATCCAGTCCTATCTTTTAAACGATGGGTGCTGCGCTGATATGATCTGGGGAAGCTGCATCGCCCCGAGCGGCAGGTTTCATGAGGTGGACTAAACCCCCAAAGCATAAGCCTGACTGATCCTATTAACCTTGCGGAACACTTACCGTCTTGGTGGGGCCAGGGGAGATGGGTGCCCGCCGTCATCAACAATAGAATCAACACCTGCGACATGCATCATGTATCGTCGATATGGTCCACACCTACGGAGAACATCCACACGAAGAACAAGTTGGCAACTCTCCCCTGCATTACAAACGCATATCTCCGCTGCCAATGGAGGTGGACAAGGGGGCTGAGGATCATCGCCTGTAGGATAGACACCTGGCATTCGTTGGTTTTTTCATTGGCTTTCGAGGTCTTGCGGTGACTCTGTAACGATGTGACACACATAAAACCTTATCCACCTATCCGAACAAGGTCATGATGATCGGATATTGACCCCGCTTGACTGGGTGATTGATTGCGGCAGTCTTTTTACAGTAACACACATTTGGAGGCACTCGTGATGGGGGAAGGCGAGCCATGGGTAGTGTCCAGTGCAGGCAAGCTCCTGATTGCTCGATAAATAGAAGAGTCTTCAGTGCTCACAAAATATCTGAGCTAGTCAGTGGCCCGAGAACAGGCTATTTCGTGCACGCGCTTGTTGAGGTTCATTTAGGAAAGTCATCTGCAATTAGCGCCGGCGGCAACTTGAGTCACAGCCGAGCACAGCCTCCGCGGTGCGGTTTGCTTCCTGTCATTGTCCTGCACTCTCGACAGCACTACCCATGGCGGGATGGTCGTCGGTAGGAGGATACTTGCCACTCAGTAATTCACCAGAAACAACGCGTCCTCAGCGATCCTTGTTGTCCTTTCTGCGAATGTCTCGCAATGGGCCATCATCAACTCTGCTCGCATTCACTCTCATAGTCGGTCTCTTGGGTGGATTCATTCTCTCTTCGGGACAGCGGAGATCAGATTTCTGTCCACTGCCTCTCAGCGAACCTCCACAAACGCCACACGTACCAGTGTATCACTCGAACGATCCGCTGCTGGTCAGCGATGAACTTGACTTGGAGAGTCTGCAGGCCATAGTCTCCAGAACTCGTGGGTATTATGCTCGGGACTACAGCATGACTCTAGGATGGAACAATGTGCGTTTCCTGTTGTTCGTCGCTGATGATACCCATACTCCGTTAGATGCGCTATATCATTGAAACGGCCCTTCACCATGGCTCATTGCTCAACCGTACTGTAATAATACCGTCCTTTGTATATGCCCGAGCATGTGAATACAGCAAGTCAGTGATGCTTACTGCGTTTTGATTCTATTGTGTAGATGCTGAATCACCCTTCAGTGATGTCTGTGCGGCGTATGCCACCATGGTCAACCGGGGGGACGCCGTTAATTCGGACGAGTGGCGTGAGCTCCCCGAAGACAAGCAGATGGCCTGGAAGGTGCCCATTTCTGATATGTTCAACTTGAGCCATCTTCGACGCACACAATCTGTCATAACTGTTGCCGACTACCTCCGGTTACATAACCTCCCTGAAGATCTTGAGCTGAGCACGGGTCAATGGGACGCTGCGAAATACCATCAAAACCCAAGCGTATTCGATAGTCACGGTAAACCACCGAGCTTGCATGTCATCGAGAACCAATGGTACGATCCATTACGCCTCAATCGCGTGGATAGAATTCCAGAGGAAATGAAAGAAAGGGGGAAGTGGAATCCACGACTTGGGGATAAAGCTCAGGATCAATACGGTGGATGGAAAACGCCGTCAAGAACAAAGGCGTACCATGTTCTGGAACTGATGCTTGCCGGTAGACAATTCGTTTTGGGCTGGGACCAGGCACGTGCGATACTGGAATCCAATGGTATCGGAGGCGTCTCGACAGATGAAGGCTTGACAGAGGTACTCCTCAGCAATGGTTGGGAAGTCCTCTATACGTTTGATGGCGCGTAAGTGGCATGGAGTTTGCACCTGACTCTCAAAATTAATCGTTCAACCAGGCTTGGCATGGACTACGTTAAGAATGTTGTTAATCCTATCAAACAAGTCGCGCCTCACAACTCGATTCGCGGATTTGTGGATGACTTCTACAACTTCACAGAAGATGTTCTTCTCCTCAAAGGGGAGATACACTACGAGCGTAAACCCGTAAGCACGATGCTCCCAAATCACTTTATCAAACACTAACGGTACGAAGGCAAGCATGCTGTTCACATCCACGGCTGGGCGGGACAAGTTTGCGCGTTTAGTGTTGTATGAGATAACCCACACAGATTCGGTAAAAGAGCTCGCAGAAGCTATGTCCGACCGGATGCGAGATATAGTTGGTGGAAGGATGTGGATGGGCGCACATATGCGTCGTGGTGACTGTGAGTCTTTTCGCACGCAAATCTCTCGGAAGAAATGTCGGATTGACTCCCTTCGCAGTCGTGAGATATCACTGGGTGATGCATGATGACTTCGGGGAACACCTCTCACGGATAAAAAATCACCTTGACGCCGGTCGGGAAGTCCTCCGTAACCTGTCACCTGCATCCTTGGACACCTACGCTGTACCAGACGCAAAGAGCAACGCCGAATATGTGCAGCTCCATCCCCCAGAGCGAGGGGATAAGTCGGTGCATATTTTACACTTATAGAATTCACCCTAATTGTTCCCCGTAGATTCTACATCGCCACGGACGAACGGGATACCGGAAATCTCGCATATCTCACGGAACGCGGAGCGATTCGTGCTTCGGACCTCATCACCATCGAGGACCGCAGGCGATTTGGCTGGCCATTGCTTCTCACGGACGTTCTTGGGATCGTTGAGCAGGAATTACTTGCACGTGCATCGTTCTTTTACGCCCATGCACTCAGTTCGGTTGCTGGAGGTGTCATAAATTTGCGCGCAGCCAATGGTGCTGACCCACGTACCGCGCAGATAGACTAATATCCCGACGGTCATGTCATCCACTTTCTTTAACTATATGGATTTTTACCAGGGGTTGGTCGTTAATATTCACCATGATACCTCGATGATACCCACAGCGTATCTCCCAAGCTCGTTCGAGGTATCGATTCCGGACCTTTCGTCGACGCATCAGCAAAATCGTCCTTGTGTACTTGTCAAGTACTGGCGCATCTGAAAATAGTAAAGGAGACGTCGAAGTGGTCCCCAGTTAGTTGCCAGTTCCACCTCACCGGTAATGGGGGGGGAAGATTTTTAGTACATGAACCTTGTTGAAATGCTGGACCTGTAGCTGTTGGAGCTACTAGTAGTGGATGGTTGAATCCTCACCCCGACTTAGCCTCCGTCTATGGAAATGATCGACCGCAAACTTGCTATTCATGCCATCCAGAAGCTAAACCTGCACCTTTCAGCCACTAATAAACTGGACAGAATGCTATTTCGTCGACTATATGAGCATATAGTCTAGTGTCGTTGATGATTTTGGCGGGTTCAATGACCTCCGAGACGTGGAACTCATCAAGAGTCCCATGACCCTGATGTCGCTAACTCGTCTTATAATCGGAAGGGGTTGTAACGGGAGTCGGCACGGTGAGCAATACGAACGGGTTGACCGGGCAAGGAGCTCCCTCCCTGAGGAGGGCCTAAGCGGCGCACGGTCAAGGCCGACGACTGAAGACAGGCAACACCAATGTCAAGTAACACGAGATGGAGAACTTAGGCGAATCCGATCAAAAATATCCAAATAAAAGCAGCAAACAACAAAGACACACAGGGACATCCCTCGTCAGATTCTTATCGCAATGAATGACTACAATGCTGTCTGCTTGGACTGCGGGAAGACCATCAGCAACTAACACGGGATATCGATCCACGAGGCACGCTGGTGCCTCAGGAAGCTGAATCGAGGAGGCTCCAGGAGGGGGAGGGAGAGGAGCAGGATGAGGCACGTGAGGACCCGCCCGCACAACCCCTGGCGAAAAATCAGTTCGGGGATGAGATTGCGTCGTGTCTAGTGAAATAAAGAACTGAGTACTCGCGGAAGCGACAGCGCGAGTGAACCAATCCGGGGGAAAGCATAGAACGTCACCTCAACTCTTCCAAAATACACGCGCCTCCTACCACAAAGTTACTTGTGATGAACTGTTTGTTGTTCGCTGATTGTAAGAGTATATGCTAGCCTGCAACCTGTTTACAGAAGTTCCCGACTTGCGAGGGTCGAGTTGATGTTTTCCTGCATTGGGATCTGCCATTTCCCAGCTAGACCCTCAGTGCACCTACATATCACTCTCATGTTAGCTGGTACAGCCTCGCACGAAAGAACTCGGTGCTGCTAGTGGCAGTTGAAAATGGGATTCCGATACCAATGAAGCTTGAAGCTTTGAAGTCCGGTTCTTGAATCTTTTCATTCATCCCGTCCAAGTTTTCCATCAGCAGGCTCTAATCTGGGTCGGGCTGCTGGCAGGCTTGAAAATTGGTCCAGTACATCAACCAGCAGTACTGAAGATCTACTCATCAGTGCCTCGGCGATGCATTCACTGTCTGTCTGGGCTCAGGTAAAAGGTTTCTAGCTCCCTGCCCACTCGGGAGATGTAAGTGAGCGCAATCACAAGGACCGGATGGGGTACTCACGGGGAAGACACCAGTGCTAATGTAGAGTTTTCAACTGTTTTGAGCTACCATTGACCTCACCGACCCCAGCAGCCGTGACGGCTTGTTGGCTGTGCGTAGACCTGGTCTCAAGTCTTGCTACGACGTTGAATGTGCAGTGCGTTCTGCCGAGACAACAGGGTGAGCACTTGCACCATCTTTTGACTGAGAACAAACCTTATCGCCTTATCGCATAGCGAATTGGGTTGTGAAAAACGAAAAACGATTCTTACTTGTGACTTTTGTCTTCGATTTGTGCCCCACGACTTTCCGATGGAGATAGTACCAGTCGTGTCCGGCGAATTGGGGCTTGCACGGTGCAAGGTAAAACCACGAAAAGGATCGTTTTCCATGTATCTGGCACCACCCGCCGTCGGGATCATGCCGGATGCATTTTGAGTCCCCTGGGTACCCCTTCAGCAAATTCCCACGGATACTGGCGCTTAGATATGTGATCTTGCTCAAGCCTGATCCTCTCGACCACCCACCATGCCTTTGATTTGGCTCACTACCAACGTGAAAGTAAGTCATTACCCTCAAGAACAAAGAATATCATGGGACGATTCTCACAACTCGTGGCTCAGCTGGAATCGGACGATGCCTTCAGGACATTCGTCTGCGAATTCAGGCGGGTATGAATATCAATCACGACCAATATTCATAAGGCGCCCTGAAATGCTTCGATCTAGTTTGCTGCTCAGACTATCGGGAAGGACGAGAACGCCTTCATTATCGACTGCCAGTACAATCCTTTCTTGACATGCAGAGGAGGGTTTGAGCCCTCAGTCTTGGTTCAAGTTGTCAGCACTTCAGGCTGGCCTTTGATACTTCTCAGCGTTAACTCTTCCCACTTAGATGAGCCTTTTCAATACCAATGCGGAGAATTCCATTATATGGTCGAAGGCCTTCTCGGATTTCTTCGAAGAAAAACTAGGGGTTCCTCCCGATCGGGCAGTTATGTGAGTGACAAACTCATGCATCGTGGATCACAGGGGTGCTCATGTCTTTCAGGGCTTTCCTGGACGCTGGCCCTGATTTTATTGGGTAAGCACAGATTTGCGTTAGGGATGTACATACTGAATGACTGCAAACTCCTATAGCATGAAGGGAACCACAGCATCGGTGATACGCGCCAACGCAGCGAAGCAGACTTGAGAGCGCGTGCAAGCTGAAATTGATCGTAAACACAAATGCCAAATGTCATCGGTGGAATACATATATAGCGTTCGAATGTCCGGTGGGCGAACTCTGGGATTTCGTATTGCCAACAAACTTAGCGGTAAGTGTCTGTCAAAGAATGACGAACGATCATCCCCTGCCATTGGAATGACTCGTTGAAACTTTTCTCAATCACGAGAGTTCTGTGAGATAAGTAATTACATACTCTCACACCCCTCAGTCCACATTGATCCGAGGCAACACCTGCTTTCTGCCCTTCACAGGCCAAACCTCCGTCATGTCCTCAGCTTCCCATATCCTGCCCCCACGTATCACGTATTTGAGGTTTCTAGTCTTTCGGATGTTCTCCAATAAATCGACCCCTCCAGGGTAAACAACCAAATCAGCGAGTTTACCCACAGAGACTGACCCGATAGATTCATCCAACCCAAACGTCAGAGCCGCGTGGATCGTGGCAGCACGGAGAACCTGTGTAGCGACGGGCACAAAATCAGTATCTGGGTGGCGTGTCCAACGTGACAACTGTTCAAACCTCGTAGTTACTCAACCCGCCCACTTTGGCTAACGCCATCTCGTGATGGTACATGAGTCCGAGTGGCGGTTCACCGTGCGCGCCGATGTGAGCGTGGATACCACGGTGAACCATCGTTGCAACCGTTGTAGAGACATTGAAAAACGCTAGAGCTACATAATCCACACAGTGAGTATGGCTAACAACCGAGCTCATGGAACACGCTTACAATTGAAGGGACGTGCTGTAGACTCCGACAGACCTTCTAGAATGTCATGCCTTGTGAATCGCCTAAGTCTGCAATAACACTCCTCGGTCAGTAACCCTGGTCCGAGCATGGATAAGACTCACTTGGCGTCACCGGGCAGATCCTCAGTTGCCCAGAGATACTGTTCGCCGTGAGCTCCGCCATAATTAACAATGTGAGTAGGAGTGGTGCCAGTACCGCTCAAAACAAAAAGTGTGAGCAAGTCATCGTAAAGGATCGACACAGGAATATTGTGTTCGACGGTGGTCATGCCTTGGAAGTACTCGTTAGGTTGGGCTATGCACTCTGCCATGACATCGCACTTACCATCGACAACATAGGTCAAGTCCCAATCGAAATTCATGCCCTAAAATCGGGTTTAAATGCCTGGAAAGCCGAGTTCGCATTCACTCACCCCTTCAGGCACACAGGCCATGTTCATCTGTCTCGCCTGCAGTAGTAGACGCTGTCTTGAAGCTCTCGCTGGGAGATTATAATTCTTATACGACCAGCTGGCGGGGCCACCTTCCACCTTAATTCGGGTGAGAGCTTCCTTCGCTTCCTCGGTATTGGCGATATCGTGATGATACGCATGTGAAGAGGCGCCATAGATGATCTGCCCAGTATGGAAGATTCGAGGACCAATCATCAATCCACTCTCGACGCGCCCGCGCTCTACGAACCCGAGGTAATTTTGCGAACTCGGACTAAGAAGTGACAGCGAGTCAGAAGATGTGACAGCAATATCGTAGGAGACCATGGCTCTTACTTGTGAACAGTGGTTACACCATACGCAAGGAACGTTTCCATCTCCCAAGAGGACGCTGGATATGTTTCCGACTCACCGTCCCAGTGTGCGTGCGCGTCGATGAAACCAGGCACGATGTAACCTACCTCACATGTTCACATTAGTGGGTCCGTTCTACTTTGAAAAGCTTGGTATTACCTCCATCGGCTTGTATAACAACACCGCCTTCTGGGATGGCGACTTCACCATCTTTACCTACAGCGTCGATGTATCCCCCTCGCAGGACAACAGTTCCTTCCGTGATCATGTCAGCAGAGAGTTCGCCATGTTCCATGGTCAGTATTGTCGCATTGACAAAGGTGACGACGTCCCCATTAGCAGAGGTAGTATGAACCTTGGCTTCCCAGCGAAGTCTAGAAATTTCCGACTCGTAATATACGGCGATCTCGGTGACATTCAGAAGACTTTTCACGCAACCTATACCAAATGTCGAGGTGTCCTCTTGCGCGGCGTTCAAGCAGGTCGAGAGGTGGGAGACGGGAACAGTATGAAGGTAAGGACCTGAAGACAGGACAGGTATCAGAGCTATAACTGGGTATGCGTGCATTTTCGCTCACCCAACAACCATCCAATGACGGTCCCGTCCCCGCTGAATACAACATCATGTCCACCATCAAGGCTCAACCTCGTCAACCCCGTAGGTGCCTGCCCTGGCTTGCTCCACAAGGCAATCGAAGCATTGACATTGGGAGCATAGTAAACATGCAGGAAGTTGACGAAGGCTGCACCCTGAGAAGTGTGCGAGAATGCCAACTCATCCGTAGAATGGCCTTTCGCAAGTTCTTCTTCCACATAACGTCCCCATTCATCTGCGCCCTGGGCAAGATCCACTGTGAAAACCCTGTCTGATTCCTGGACAAGAAGCTTCGAGGATGAAATGAAACTAAGCTTGAGTTTGTCATCTGATGGGTCGATCGTAGTGGAGATCTTCCTGACACCCTTGACCTCTATTACAGAAGACGGCCTGTTTTCCGTTGGGAGAGTGATCTCACCGACCCAAATGCCTGTATGGGCAGTAGCCACAACATCACCTGTGAGGATATCTCCGCCCGTCTTTATGAAGGCAATTCTGCGCTGAGCAGTATCTCCTCCGGATACGACAGGACTGAAATACCTCCCGATAGGAAGGTTCGTAACCTCGTAAATAGTCCCAGTGTTCAAATCCGCAATTTCGAATGCTGAGAGAGATGTATCGGACCACCGGGCATGTATAACCAGCGTTCCATCGCCGCCGACGAATGACGGAGAGTAATATGCTGCTTTGGGATAGGCCACCGGAACGCGCTCAGCAAGAACGTTGGAGCCGATGCCTTGCAGATAAGTAACGCCGGAAGCCTGGAAAACGGCGTTCTTGCCACTGTTATCAAGAGAGAGATGGGTGAAAGCATGCAGCCGTTGGTCTCCCTCTTCCAAATCTCTCACATCGGTTCTGGCTCTTAAGGTGTCTGCAATCTTAATCTCTATGTTTGCACGGAACCGGACAGGGCGCGGTTCAGCGCCAGCCATGCGCTCGCCTACAGTGTTCTTCGACAGTGGTACATGATAAATTTGACCTGCTGCCCAGATGAGTATGGCGTCATCGGAAGGGCTGAATGCAAAGGACGGGTAGGTGCCCATTGGGGCATAAATTGTCGAGAGGTCGTATGTCAGACCAAACCAGATATAATCCAGCGTACCGGTTTCGAGGTCTCTGAATAGGGCATAAGTGTCAAGATGGGAGGTTAAGTTGGGAAAACCTACTTTAGTGCAAGAGCTTCCTTGTCCCCCACACGGCGGACAAACGCAAGAGTACGTCCATCGCGGGACAAAGTAGGCCTGCTTGCACCACCGGGAAAAGCATCCACAAGGACTTCTGCAAGCCCGCTCGTCAGATTCTTCGAGAATATGGAGTATATACCCTTGTGCACGTCTGGATTGCCATTAACGGTCGCCGTTCGCGGACAGAAACGTCAAGATGCATACCTTTGGAGTACTTAAATATGCCTTGTGAATCTCTCACATTGCCCGCGTAGATAACGACATCATCTGCTGCCCACGAAAATTGTTCATGACCAATTTGTTGTTCGACGTAGTCGGATTTTTCCCACCCGAAAGGGAGGTCTCTGGAAACGAGACGCTTGCCTGCATTGACTTCAATGGGGTGTTCTTTGCCATCTAGGCTGGGAACAAGGTATTCCCATCCTTCTCCGGCGCCCAAAGAACGCGATGAGAAGTACCATTTGGTCGCTATGATTTTCTTCCCAGATGGGTGCCAACGGGGATCTGACACCCAGTTATATGTCTCATTTGTAACCCGTCGGGCTGGAAGTAAAACATGAGCACGTCACCATGCTGTTTGGCTCAGAAATGCTGACCAGACAATCTCCCTTCCCTCTCAAGTCGCCTCAACCTACGATCTTCCGTCTCCTTGACACCTTGAGCAAGGATATTATCTTCGTACTCCTTAAGTGCAATGGCTTCGGTAGTTATGGCAGAGGGTGAGCGCACATCCATCTCTTCACAACCACCAGCAGACCAAGGCATAACCCAGATATTGTCCACACCCAAACCCGCATCGCTCCTGAAGGCCAACACATCGCCTTTCGGTGAAAATCTGGGGTCGGAATCGTGTGGTACTCCAGTGAGAATAGGTATCGCTCGCGTGGTGGTCCCCAATACAAGATTTTCCTGGGTATAAGAAGATCGGGGAAGACAGTATAGGTCACCAGCCATGTCAAAGACGACATCACCAGAGACTGGATGCACGTCCAAACGAAGCCAAGTACCCTCTTCAACGTCATATTTCAACGTACGGGAGTATGAGAAATCGGTAGAAATGTCCCATGGGTCGTGTTGGCGGAGAGGGAAGACGTCGTCCTTGAACTCGGACGCCGGGTCATCATAATCTGGGCTAAGTGGTGAAGTCGAAGGGTAATTCACAGACGGCGTGTGAAGAGGGTTGTAGACACTAGGAAGTGATGCTCCTCTCCAGACCAAGAAAGCAAGACAGACGGATGCCGATAGTGTAAGAACAGCTCCACCCGTTCTACTGCGACGCGTCGGCGATGACGCGTAAGTGGGAGATAAAGGAAAGGGTAACTCGTCCTGCTCAGTTGATTTAGCATCTCGTTTCGCGTCGACGTGCATGGCTGCAAGGACAAGCAAGCAGACGTGTGAGTGCTCCCCGAGTCCCTCGCGTTGCGGCCGAACTTCGCTTCGGGCCGTTCACTTAAGTACCGGGCCGAGGAGTGGACCATTGCCGGCTTTCGCCTTACGCTTCGAAGGTCTTCATGATCATTTCCGACTCGCGACCTCGTGTAGGATGGTGCATGGGAGAAAGTTTGTGCTCACCGAGGAATCAGTATTGACTGATACAGCCCACTCAACTCATGCAGTTGCCCCCAATACGAGCTTCATCATTCACACCAAGAATTTTATCCACTGGAACAAGACTTCAGTTCAAGGAAGGTAAGATTACATCGACTAGCCTATCCTGTGCAATAGCAACCAAAGTGGATATCCCGTCCACCTTAACCAAACAAGACCGGTGCACTAACCACTTTTCAAAAAAAGAATCATAGACCTGTGGAGATATCTATATAACCACGTTCATATTGAATGTATTTTCAAAACCATCAGACGAGTTGTGATAAATCTGGATCTCGAATTACTGATGCCTACCACCATGATACACCTGATCACTGCCTTGACTCCTGAGCTTGCAGTGATCTTGAAAGAGGACATGGACTGTTGCTTGAGGAACCTGATAGCTGCCAACATCAAGACCCATTATGCCCATAGTTCCTCTCAACTCTCAGACTTCTTTCTGGCCATCAATGATAAGGATCTACAGAATGATGAATCAGTCCTCTTGGACTTCTGTCGACTTGTCTCCCCTACAGACTATGAATCTTACCACCTGTTTATGATCATGTTCAATTCCCACCCTTGCAAATTATCCAAAGTCAAGGATATGCTTGCACCAGGCCTTCCAATTTACATTCTGCTTTCAAGTGCTACCTCTGGCAAGAAACCCAAGCAATTTGTGAAGTATTTGTGATCTCAACCCTACTCCCCCAACCCCTCACCATTCTGCATAGGAGCTACTTCACTCATTTACTTGTTCACATACAGAGACCCAGTGGAGATCATGACAGATTCTGGGGAAGTTGTGAAGAGGATTCCTGTTTGCAATGGGTCAACTGGGATAATGCACATGCAAAATGATTGGACCATTGAAACAGATGATGCTTGCATGGCACCTATAAGTAAGTGAAAAGTCCATGTAATTTGTTTTTTGAATTCAATCACCTACACCTGATATCCCTTGTGCAGTTCCAGGTCACACAGCTCTGTGGGCTACAGGACTTATCATCCACCATCAGTCTTTCCTGTTGATCCATGCATTGTTTTCTTTGGTGAGTACATCCCTGGAGGAGTTTGCTATGGTATTTGTAGCAAATTTCATGGACATGGTGCACCTCATTGAAGAAGGGTGGGTCACACTCATCTCAAGCATTTGAAATGGGACCATCCAAGACTTCAAACAGATAGACCATGTCTGACCTTATCTGCAGGTGAATGATCAGAGTGGTGCTGCATAGTGACAAAAGCTGACTACACCAGCTGAACATGCATGCAGACCCACAGTGGGCAGATGAACTTCAGCACATAGGACCACCCCTTTCTTGTCCTGGATGGGCCCAGCATGTTTGGCCAAAGCTGAAGCTCCTTACAAACATTTGTAGTGGTACATTCACTACAGCACTACCCCAGGTGAGCATATCCATCTTTTATAACAGATCAATGGATTTCACATCAGTTAGGTGAGGTCAATTCTTGGACCAAGCATAATCATCCACAACCCTTGGTGTATATGTTCAGAATGCCTCATAGGTAGAACCCTCAACTTTGGTGATACCAAGACTTTTGTTGTTGCAGCCAATGACCTCATCAAGTTTCTTGACATGACAACAGAACAGATGCCTGGACAAGTACTTCAAGCAGTGGGCATCCTGTATTCATCCTGGTCTTTGACTGATGCATTCCTGTCAGTGGGACCTTCAACCAGGAAAGTTCTACCAGCCCATGGCAATGACCCATGATGGGCTGTGGAGATACCTTATAGACAATGGCATCCAAGTGACTGGCTTTGACCCATGTGATGGGTTGCTGGTGTTTAGGTACTCCAGACAAAAGAAGTAAGGAAAACTCTGTTGGTCACTTGTTTTCCTCTGCTCATTATGATCCTCCCATGTACAATTGTGAAGTCTGGGGCTCTGGCTGCCATATGATATGCTTTCGTCAAGGACCTTTCCTTTTTCGACTCCTTGCAGTCACATGCATCACATGCCTGGTCGCGTCACTCGTACTTGTCATCGTACTCGGGATATGCATGTTACAGGGACGCCTCGGATCTCCGGTTGTCCAGGTACTCTCAGTACCTGTTGAGACTCATCAAAGATGATCCATGACATTCACTGCTCTCGTGATTGACAAGATGTCCCTTTCTTGTTCCGTTTGACTCCCTCTGACTCGTTTATATTGCCTGTATGTTGTACTATAGCTCCGGTGTCTGGCTCCTTGCTGCGCATTGATTGCACAGCCGGTATAGCCTTCGTTTCCTTGACTACCCCCGTCTATGACACCTGTTTGACTCATATTTATTTCAAAGATTAGTTCGTTGATTACTGCAGATACGCGTCGCGACGCATTGCTCGCGACTGGTATGGTACTCTTACTTAGGGGTATATAAACCTACGTACCATACCTTGTATCCTCAGTTTTTCGATAGCTTGCAACTGAGCTAATTACTTTGCTTCGATCCTTGTCTTCTCTCCGCACGAACAACCTTAGGGACTCACCAGCAGACAAGACCTCTGTCGGATCTTCACAATAACTCAGCCATAGGGGTTACGATACGTTCGGCCTGTAGACTCCCACCTCGCGCGCTTCGTGACTATTCCATTTGAAGAAGTCACCGCGCTCGGGCATAACAAAATCGAAAAACTCAACGCAGCTTTCAGGACTTGTCGACCTCTTTGTGAAAGTCTACTCGTCCCTGGTTACTGAACTTCAACAAACCAATCCTTCCACACAGCAAAAGGCTCGTCGGTCTCCCTACGTGTAAAGACTAACTCACCTTCTTCACTGTGCCTCTCAACTCGACCGCAACAAGTTGATAACAAAATTGAGAAGCACCCCTCTACCCTAAATCAAATCCACCACTCTACAGGCAGCCACTAGGCTTTAATAGATCGCCTCCCTAGAGTCCGCGCTCGTGGTTCCCTACACGTAAAATCACTCGCAGCACATCCCCCTACGCTGACAGGTTTCTTTCGAGAAATAAATCCTCCCTCAGCCCTCGTTGTCACTATTCGTCAAAGTGTCAAACCCTATGAAGTCGAGACCTCCTGTCCCTCCACGTAATACCCCATTAGGACTAGGAAGGAACCTGCCTTTACCGCCGATACCAGGAAGACTTGGGCTGTCCGCCACAGCAAGTAATCCTAGGTTGTCTTATCTGTCCCGTTTTAGGGAATCGGAAGTTGCGCTTAGTTCAGAAGAAGAAGACGATCAGAAGTCTGAGACTTCTTTTGGATCAGTCCTCAAAGAAGAACAGGAAGCACGAATATTACCCGTTATGTCCATGACAATCGGTCACGGAGAATCAGCCCCTGAGATGCCGCCGAAGGTATACTCTGAAGAGGAGCTGAAGGAAAGGTTGGAAAGACAGATGCACTCTTTGGCAGAGGACTGGCGCAAGATTGCCAGTCAAGGTCAGTCGAGTGATCCCTTCCCAACAGGAACGCCTACGGACTCGGCTCTACGAGCTTGGTATGCCAGGAACTTCGGAAAGGTAATTCCCCCAGAGGGCCCTGTTGGTGGGTCCAGTAAGGGTAAGGCCCCAGCCGAAGGTGGCGATGACTCGTATGATGTCCACCCCCCCAATGGAGGAAGGGAGTTTAATGTTGGGCGTCCTGGAGAGTACGATGGAAGCCACAATGGGCTTCAGACCTGGGTCACACAAGTCGAAGGTTACCTCAACCTTAATAAACACGTCTACAACACGGAGTCGCTCAAGATTTCGTTTGCCCTAACGTATATGACAAAGGGAGCAGCTGTAACGTTCGCCGAGAACTACCAAAACGAAAACAAGCTACTCGACGGGACTATCTGGTACACAGACACCTTCCAGAGGTTCGTCGAACGCCTAAAAGCTACTTTCGAATCTGGCAATCAAACCGCGCTCGCTATCTTACGTCTCTCTGACATCACGCAAGGCAAATGAGAACTTGAAGCGTATATTGCCGAGTTTACCGGACTTGTCAATAAGGCCCAGCTAAAAGAAGAGTCACGAGAAGCAGGGATCTTCTTCGGGAAGGGACTCAACATGGAGTATCGCGATTGGATTCTTAACTCCAGACGTGCACCTACCACAGTTATCGAGTGGATCCAGTGCACGGGAGAAGCCAGAACCGCAATCGCTACGAAGCATATCCTTGAAGGGAAGGAGTCCCGGTACGAGCGAAAGTTCATTCACTATCACGGAAGTTCCCGAGATCCTGATGTGATGGACGTCGACAAAGGAAGGCGAAATGTACGCTGATCAAATAATGACGTCACATGCTTCGAATGCGGAGCAAAGGGTCACTTCAAGCATGACTGCAAATCCCAGAAACCCAAGCCTCCACCTGGTGTTCGGGTTGTTCTTTCCGACGATGGAAAGAGAACCGCTTATGTAGGAGATTGTCTGGCGACAGATGATGAGATGAAGGCGCATGGTGTAAATTTTTAAATGGGACCGTGGCAACTCCTCACGTGGGTCCCATTTCAATGTTATCCGCTGTCTGTACTACTACCATAGATGACAAATCCAAAATGAGAGTTGGTTCACCTTTGGGAAGAGTATGGCTACCGGATTATGGAGCAGGAGTAATGGTCTGCATCGATTCGGGTGCAGAGGTTTCGCTCATCTCGGAGCGAATCGTTCAAAAATTGAAGATCCCTACCTATCGCGTCAAGAACCGCTTCAAGACCACTTCGTTTACGGGAAAGGACGTCGAATGGATAACCCGGAAGGTAACAATACAGGTCATCATCAAAAATCGGGTAATACGGATCAAATGTTACGTCGGTCCATTGGTAGGAAAGGAACACATCCTTCTTGGGATGCCGTTTCTCCGGTTCTACAAGCCAAGAATGGACTGGGAAAATAACAAGATCTCGTGTTGGGATGATGGGTTTGTACCTACCCGAGAAACTGACGTTTACATTCATAGTCAGGTCCCGTACTATGAAGGATACGCGGTGAAATTCAACAAAGATGGTTCCGTAAAGGAACCAGAGGTAAGGGAAATTAATAAAACAACTTTGTCTACAGAACTGGAAGCCGCCCTGGCCTCTACAAAGGACAAGGTGGAACTTCCAACTGAATATCGCGAATTCGCTCAGGTTTTCTCTGAGGAAGACATACCGCTCCCTTCTCACTGGCCAGGTTTGGACCATGAAATCCGGCTACGAGAAGACTTCAAGCTGAAAAAGGCAGCAGTGTATCCAA